AGTATAAGGACGAACATGATGTTCCAGAAAAAGTCCACTACCAGCAGCCAATTCAGTCCAATCCATGAAGATAACAATAAACAAAAGTAGAATAAATACTTAAGCATCAGATCCAGTTGACTCCTTCGGCTGTTCGACATCGATGTGCTCCCACTCATCTATAGCTTCAGATTGTACTCGTTCAGAAGGGTCCAAAGGGGAAGGCGAGACCAAACGGCACCGCAGTGTACAGACACCCTTCACGATCGTGAAGAGAATGCAGTAACCAACACCCATGCCGATGATGTAAGCAGCTAACCGTCCGTGCTCTGATGGATCAAGGAAACTGTAAGCTAATGGTGGGCGTCAGCGTTGCTGTGATCCATGTAAAAATAAACTTACTGTAAAATCCTTGCGTTGCATGTGTTATATACGCAACACCGAGGTAACACGCAAAAAGGACGAAACATGGTATGATGTGGCTCCAAGGACTAGGACCCGCATTCGTTAGGAGTATCTCAAATAGAATGAAGCTACAATTCATCGCATGTTGGGATACATTGGACCAAGCTAGGAATAGCACATTATGAGCAACAGCAGCCGATATGAGGAAACGCCATCCACACCTGAGTACCGGGTGCTAAAAGTCGATGGAGAAGCAAGTAGAGACCAAAAAACAACAGTCACGATGATTGCTGCAAAAAATTGCTCAAACTTAGACTGGGAAGCTAAACATTGAACTCACGAAATATGGTGATGGTGGTGTACAGGAGGACATGCAGGAACTGCAGGATCCGTGGCCACTTTTGCAAAGGGTATGCCTTCTGTCCCGACAAAACAAATACAATGGTTTGGACGCTGGATGCCCAGAGGTATGCGACAAGGCCGATGTAACTGAGATCGGTGAAGTAAGAAAAAAAACTGGAGTAGCAGGACCAATCACAAAGTTCTGGATCAGACCACTCGTTGAGCCACGCCAAGTCTGGTGTTTGCTTACCTATGAACGTCGTGGTAACGAACAGACTCAAAAACGAGAACGGTGATTGTTGTAACGAGCGAATAAACAGCAAACAGCAGACGAAGTGCGCCGAGACTCAGAGGAGAAAAGAATGGAGATGTCACAAGCCTACAGGTTGGGTCGAAGGGAGACAAGACGCCAAACCATTCATAAGATAGATAAGATCTCAAGCCAGTGAGTTTCATGAATGCAGTATTGAAAGAATGTGAAAATAGAGATGATTGACAACTGAGTGTTCAGAACTTCAGTGCGACCCGAGTGCGACCGCCCTTGGTAACCCCCGCTCGGTAATATTAAAATTTCGAGACACTTTAAGTTAGCTTCAGGTCCGAGCACTGCCAAGCTTCAGGTCCACCTCTGCCAAGGCCTCAGGCCTCAGGGTCCAAGCAAACCAAGTTTGGGCAGTCATCTTTTGCTGCTTGATCCGAGACGCTGACATACAAACAAGTATAAGTACATAGGTTAGCCAAGATCCCCTTGCGATCGCAAGCCATACAGTAATGAATATGCTTTTTTGGCTCAGCGACAACCCCTCTTTATCCACTACCTCTCAGTCCAGTCAGATCCAGCCCAAGGTCCTAGTAATAGATTGAAGATAAGGACATGCGGACATACTAAACAGAATGCGTACCTGCGCAACGAGACTCTGTGCAATGGGATGAAACTGCGTCCGAGCCTGCTTGAACGTTGATATAGTGAGGTCAGGGTTGACCTTGAACATCGCCCTAAACACAGGTCTGCAAAATTTCATGCGACCTTTGATGACACCTGTGTCATCTGCCCCAATAACCCAATTTGCTGCTCCTTGAACAAAATACATCGCTGCCGGGGACTTAAGTACCAAGGTATAGAATCTGAATCGAATTTCGGCACTGAGGGTCGTCGAGAAACTGTACAACTTATCGAAATGGAAAAGGTGACCCGCAGGAAGAGATTCATTGCAACTCTCCAATCGTTCGAGGAAGACAGCTGCAATCCTACTTCCTCAACTGATACAAACAACAAAACATGTTGGCGCGCACCTCTTTGATTAGCGTCCAGGCTATCTAAATCAGAACTCTTGAAATCTAGCTTCGAAATGTCCGTAGTGTGTCGTGATTCATACCACCGGTCGGCAAGCGCATTTGCAGGATTCACCAGAGTCAAATCATATTCTATCTCAACAGGTAAACGTAGTCCACTTTGATGAAGCCATGCCTGTCGGACAATTTCAGTGGTTCTTTCCTTAACTATCAGTTGTCCGGCCTTACATCCCAATTAATGCCGTTCAATGCTTCGATCTGTCCCTCGCTGCCATTCTTCTGGAAGTAGGCATAGAGGTGGTTCTTCCATGTCTCTGTGGTAATACTGTGACCCATATAAGTAGCGATGTAGTCCTTAACATAGGGTAGGAAGACCGCAAGGCCACCGAGCGTACGCTCTGGGACAATCTAGCTCAGTAGACAACTTCACGAAGCAAATACAACCTACCAATGTGCAAGAGGAAATTGGCACCCTTATCGTAAGGCACCCGACTGTATGCAGAATCCGGATCCTCTCCATAATTAAAGTTGATAACCAGTTTTTGATATTTGGGTTTTTCTTCGAAGAACGCGAGGGCATCCAGCAATGCTTTGTATCCGATCACAGAAGATAGACCTCGGTGTGCAGGTGAGTGTATAATCTGCAGTAGCACACGTTCGACATAAGTTGTCCAGCCTTCGTTAAGCCAGAAGTGAGAAGCGTCAGCATGCCTAGAGTACCATCAGCAAATGTAAAAAAGAAAGCTGCAGAAAACTAACGTAACACCATTCCCAAACCATGAGTGCGTAAGTTCATGAATCACCACGTCTGTCAGAGACCTATCTCCAGCAAGAAGGGCTGAAGGGGATCAACAGTCTGATACAGGTACGCAACATGCTCACTGGGTGTTACAAAGGTCAAACACGGATTCTCCTAGTAGTAATGAGTAAGTGGTCGTGTGCAATAACGTGTAGCTCACCATGCCGCCATAAGGAAACGACGGTGGAAGAACAAGGAGGTCATAAACTCCAAATCGGTACGGCCCGGCAAGATTCTCTGCAGCCGCTAGAAATCTGGCATACAATAACACTCCATTTTTGTTCAGCGAAAGCTCATGCGCATTTACCTAGCAGTATCCCGGCTGAACTCCCAGAACGATTTGTCCATAAGCTCAGGTTCAGACCAAACCCCAGACTTCCATTGTTTTCCATCAGGAACTTGGAATGACTGGTACTGTAAATTCCCGGCGGCGATCGCGAGAAGGTATGATGGAATCGGAGTAGGCTGAAGACACCAATATCTGTCATGAAGTGGAATTGTGATGATAAGCTGGTGAGACATGCCTGATCGTAGGTATACACAACTTCATCCTTTCCGATGATCTTGCCATCATGAGCTGGACCATCTGAGGGCGGAGAAATCCGTCTCGCAGATAGCAGAACTGGGAGTACGGAACGGACACTGGCGCCATACGTCTGATGATCGAAAATCAGCACGACAAGTACTGGGGTGATCAGCGGAAACACCCACTAGCTTCACGGACGGAGTATCTTGTCCATGTGCATAAGTGTTTTTCTATGTCGCGGGATCAAATTATAAAGACTTCTCACCTTGCACAGGAGCGAGGTCTCGCGCGTGGATGGGTTGGCACTGGCTGAACAGGAATGGGAAGGTTTTACCCTGGGTCTGTCTGAAGAAACATGAACGACAGAGTGACATTGCGCACATGGTAAGCCTACTCTTTTTCAAGGAATTGCAAGGCTATGCCATTCGCAGTCGTCCTGTACGTGATCTCGACCAAGATACTCGATCCGGCACACAATGTTCGAGGAAGGGGGACACGCAACGCAGATCCCATCACCTCATGCTTGGGACCAAGTCCGAACTATAGATAATGCAAGCTCAGAGAAGCACGCCAGTTAAGAGACGCAGAGCGCACATCTTGGACCGCATCTCCATCAACTTTTACTCCCTCGATGTGCAGATACGAGGTATCGAAGCTGAGACAGCTCAAACCCGTGCCGAATAGATAAATAAACAGTCGTCCTCACATTACCTCAGACACTTCATCAATTTTTGCAATTAGCTCATGTGTTGCGGTGCCTGCGATGACCTTGTTGTCAAAATCAACCGTCCAATCAAAAGTGATATGCTTCGTAGCGATCTGCAGATAATTCGATTGAGAGGTTGGGTCCACTTCGTGCATTTTTATGCTAATGATGAATTATCCGAAGCTTCGCGATATGAAATGAAGAAAGAGGATTTTGAATGCTTCTCCACACTTGGTATATTATATACGACCGCGTTTGTTTGGCAAGAGCCTTAGAAACAAACAATCCCACGTGATCTATTCGCGTCAAAACGCGCGCGAGGAGCGTGACGTTCGTCAATCAAGTTTAACTTAGCAGCCACTGAATTAGTCTCTCCATCCCACACTGTTCAGCAGCATCTGCAAGCATGGCAACATCTCAAGCACCAACACGCCAGGCCATCACTTTGAAAGGCTCCACGAATCTTGTCACAGAGTTTTTCAAGTATGCAGCCAACACGTGCGTTATTTCGAGCCACTTTCCGACTCAACAACTCACGATTTCATGCATTGACACAGGATTCTCTTTCAACGTGGAGTATACCCGTCGGATGACTTTCACATGGTAAAGAAGTACGGGCAAACTGTCCTCGTCACTCAGGACTTGGCACTAGAGAACTACCTTGACAGGTGCATCTCATTCGATATCTATTTTCGTGCACTTGCTTACTTTCATTTAAGGATACTGAAACAAGTCAATAGTAGGTGCCACGCGATTCGTTATACTCTAACTCAACTGGACTTCAGAATGGCTACTTACCGGGTCGGTAACGCAGCTCGTACTTGCGATTATATCAAAAGATGCCAGACTACCACTTGAGCGATGGGTGTTCGATGTTAACCTTGTTGAACAACCAGCTGATTCTGCCGAACCGTAAGTCTCTTGCTGTTCGGGTCATCCAGTTGGTTGACCTGCTTTACAAGAACACCTACAAAGCCTGAATCAGAGATCCAAGCCGAGATTCGCTACATCCTCAAACAAATCGTATCAACCGTGACCTTCCTCCCAATTATTGACACGCCGACTGTCTTCAATATCCTTGCATATACACATGACTCCGCTGACGTGCCTGCAGATGAGTGGGTCGACACTGATCCACTGGCGATCGAGGCGAGCAAGAGTCAGCAAGTGAAGTTGCGAAGCTTCAGCACTGATGTACACCGAATAGAAGCGTTGGTTGCGTATCGCTACGAAGGATAAAACGATTGTTTAGACCTTTGTTTTCCCTGTTACAACAATGATGGACAAAAACTAGTCGCTTTCTTCATGGTGAAATGATATGTAATAGTGAACGCATGTTTGTGAAGGAATGTGTGAACACGCGGAAAGAAAAAAAACTGTCCAACGCCATGATCATGATGTCACTTCGTATGGATTCAGATAGAACAAGCACCACGTTAGGGGCTTCTAACGGCTCAAACTTGCCACAAAGTCAGTGACCGCGGTCCAATATCCTTGCTGGACACACGTATCATCTAAATACCGTCATTAAACCTAGTGGTTCAGATCATCAAAATAACGCACTATGGTGTCCTCCTTCAAATTCAAGGAATCTCGATTTCCCATTACCGACTTCCGGCATGTCAGATTTGTTTCCTGTATCACTAGATTTGGTACCCTGGCGCCGCGAAACAATCTGCCATAACTCTTGCATGTGCTCGCGTGGAACAACCTCATCTCTAACACCGCTCAGCATTAAGATCGGCATCGACCGAGGTATTAGAGGTATTTTCGAAGCCGAGTCCCATTTTTGATGGCAAAGAAACGAAAGAGGGCTAAGAAGAGGAAGAACTTTAGGTACGAGACGTGGGAGGTTCGTGAATGTGTTCTCCAGGATTAGCGCCGTGATCTGCAGCCTCAGATTATGATAGGTATGGAAAAAAATTGGAATTTAATCGCCTTCGATGGATTTCGACTTGCAAGGTCAATAGCGACAGCACCACCAATAGACTGGCCGTAAAGGATCTTAATACAAAAGCAAGTTAGCCCAATCCTTTGGAAATGGCGTCAACAACACTTACGACGGGAGTGTTTTTCAAATATGGATGCGAAGCAAGATAGTCGAGGGCCGTCTGAGCATCTATACGTATGCCTAGAAAATGCAGTGAGCAAAGATTAGATTACTGGATACACAGTGTCTCGCCTGATTCTGATGGAGAACCCTCTGAATGACCATATCTGTTGGTATGAATGAGTAAGGGATTCCCCAATAGACTGGATTGCGAAAGACAGAGGGCGCACCCGCGGTATGAGAGCATGAGTACATTGCAGCGCATTTTGACGTAGAATACTTTTGCGAGAGGTATCCGGTGACCGTGATTGCCGCCATTACCGTGGAACATCAAAACTGTTGGTCGGGTGGATGCAAACTTGCATCAGACGAACAAATAGAAGTGAATGAATGAATGCGAAGTATCGGGATAGTGCGACGTACCTCTTCATGCGTCTGTTGGTCTGGGTAATCTATGTGTGCAGCGTGGCTGTTGCTTATCTCTGTCCGTTGCATGAGAAGATAGCACCGTAAAGTAAACCTATCTTCAGTGACAAGGGGTAAATCCTGGTATTCAAGTCCAAAATCCGTGGGCACTGGGACCTCTGTTAAAGTTTGGCCAGTTACGTTGGCGTCGAATGTGAAGTGCCCAGTAAACATATACCTATGCGAGAGCCCGGGGGGAATGCGGATGGATAAATGAGATAATTTTGTCCATAATATAGTAGTCCGCAGCCTAATGAGATATATAAAGGTCAGTTGAGCTGCATCATAAATTAGGAGGAGCTAGACCTAGCGTTGCAACACCAGCTACGGTAGCGGCGGTTCCCTGTGGACAATGTGTTATGATTAAGGGTCGCTGAACATTGCGAGAAGATATGGAAGCACCTTGGCAAAGGCCTCTAATGATGGCAGCGAAGGCATATGTTCGAGATGAGTCGTGGCCTTACAGTCACGGTGAACAAGGTCACTATTGTAGTAAGATATTTGTGACTGTTTACCGGACCAGGAGTCATTAATAGGTCAACACTAATCTGGCAACAGCATGTTCAACGCACAGACCTGCGCAGGCCCTGCCTGCAACTAGACGCAAGTTGTGCACTCCCTGAATAGTCAAGGGCACCGTTCGAGCCCCCTCACTCCTCTCTTCCAGTGACAGTCCCGTGCCTCGCCAAGGTCATAGATTCATGTGTCCCACAATCCTGGATGCTCCTCCATGTTCTTGTATGTTGCCAACCTGTAAGGCTATTCAAGCTTCGCAGATCCAAGATCTGATCCATGATCGAAGGACGATATCATTGATGAACTGATGATAACTGGATGATCGGAAGTTTTGGATCACAGTCCTGAGAGTCTGATAATATTAGGTGCCAGAGTGATCATCACGAGTCCGCGCTCGCTCCATGTACGCTTCGTCATAAACATTTTCCAGTGCCATCATTCATTTTTTGACAGACAAGCAAAGACCTCGAGCTAAATCACGCTTTCGTAGGCTTCGTGTAAAAATTTCGGAAGTGTCGCAGTCCCCGGACCCGCGGATATATATTCGTGCAAATATTCCATTTGCTCATGGAAATCTTATCCATATGCTCCACTGCACATGTTGTCAAGTCGGATGTCTCCCAGGTCGGGAGATATAGTCCTTCGGACAACACCGCGGTTGAACTTCCCATCCTGCGGTCTTTCACTACTGTCTTCAACCAGATCTAGCCATTGACTATCTTATCGTCTCCTAACCCTTCATTACTACAGACAATGCCGTTGTTGCGTAGCTCAAATCAAAACTCAGCTTACCAGTGCTGTCTCTCAACGTTGACCAAAACTCTTCGGTTATCCTTGCGCCTGTTGAGGGCACCGTCTCGTTGACTGTCGCTAAACTCGCGGCGCTCATTGCTGGTGACCTCTGCGCAAGCATCTTGTAATGCAACCCGGTCATTCTTGCGGAGCCTCCGCTTTAGCTTCTCTTCACTGCTCTCTGCCGTGCTGAAGATCTTTATCGACGACATCCGCGCTGAGGTTCTCACCATACTCAGTGACCTTGGCTGCGAGGTTACTTCTATCCTGGAGATCGTTATCACACTTGTCGCTGGCATCATTGTCTCCCTTTCTCCTCTCCTTGCTCCTGTCGTCGCTATTATCGCTCCTTTAGGTCCACTTCCTCAGGGGCTAATCAATACCAAAGCAGACTCATACCGGTGTTTATACCCTCCCACGATAGGGCGACAAACATGCATTGTCAGGATATCACGAATGTTGCAATGTTGTCCTATAATTTAGTGTTTAGTGTCAACATCACAGGTTTAGCCCGCGTTTACTTATATCAGTATTTCATTTTTGATCGCGTAACACAAGCTCAACAAGGGAAATTCAATCTCTATTTCGTATGGTGTCATAATACTAGTGAGGGGCGCACAAGAGGATTCACACACCTGAGATAGGTTTGAATTGGATAGCAGTTGAAGGAACGACACCTGAGTGGTGACGAGGCATTTTCAGGGCGACGCCTTTCAGGATCTATACTTCTACATTGTCTCGCGCTTCTTGACACTTTCGTTGTCAGATATCGTTGAACAGTCATGGTGTGCTGGAAATGCGTCTCGAGAATGCTGGATGAGAGATTGCCCGGTACGTAAGGTGCTACAAAACGATTGACAGGAGGACGACGTCCACAGTCCACACCTTCAAGCTCCTGATTTGATGGAAGTCAAAAGGAATTCCAAAAGAGCTTAATGCATGATGGAGGCGGCCTTCAGGAAATTTGCGATATGAAAACAAGGCGAGGCGGAGTGCATCATAGAGTCTGCTATGCAGCTATAGATCAAAGCCATAGTCCAATATGTGATACAAAGGTCAAATTGTAGGTTTGAATTCGAGGGCACTCTGGTATAGGCTAAGCGGAATTCCAGTAAATGATAACAGAGCTGCAATCTCGCAACACCCGCCCACGCGGTAAAACCATACCCTGTAGATGCATTTCACCATGGCTCATCCGGAATTGAATCGACAGTCGGAATCTGTGCCCGAACATCAGAAATTTCCTTCGCGTCGATGCGATACAATTCCATCAACTCGATGATTTTACGCAAGGTATCGCGGTCTGCGCGTTCTAGGAGCGTCAATGTCCTACCGTATTCCTGAATCCGATTATGGACATCTCCGCTTATCGGTGATTTATAATACGCAGCGACCGCGAGTTTGATAACTCTACGAGACAGTTCCTGGCCGTCCGACACAAGATGAAGTATCTGCAGCACAAGGGTCAAATCGACAATGTACGCTATAAAGCGCTGGAGCACCACGCCGCTGAGCAGGATATGTCAATATTCTCTCAATCAATGATAGGAAGCGGCACGTACGACAGCTTGTACACGTCGTAAGCCCATTTCGCGATCACCACACTTGCTACTATCGGCAATACGATAGGAGCTGCAGGTCCCGCCAGGACAGCCAAGATGCCTGCAACGGCTCCCACCGTAGATAGTCCAGCAGCCCTGTGAATAATCATGAGATAAAAATCCATTCACACGAAAAATTGGCCTACATGGTCCTGTCAGGATTGGTAGGGGATCCAACATCTAGCTTGTCAACCATATTCACCACCATAGTTCTGAATTCGTGGCTGCCCAAGTACTGTACACAAATCACGTCAGAACACGTGTGGTGATAACGAAGATGGGCATTACACCGTGAGGGTCATGGAAGTTCCACACTCTGACAATGTCAGTGTGAAGCACATGCAGGCAGTCCGACGTCCTACGGTCCTGAAATGCTGCGCAAGATGCTAGTGCCTTCCAATATCCTGTAATATAGAGAAGCTCAGATTGCGCTCAAGAACCATCAAGGTGGTATCGAGACAAACTTCTCTTGCCAACCCTAACACTACATGAATTTTCAGATAAGAATGATGCAAATGAGGCTTACTCAATTGATGCTTTTATTTTGAGTCCAGGGTCCACTCGCTGGGCCATGGAAGTCATCACCGACGCCTCGGCTGCAACATGCTTATAAACACGCTCTTCTGTTATCTGGATTAGACGAGCCAGCGTTTCTGCATGCTCCTTGTTTGCTGCGTTATGATTATTGTGATTGTTGTAAGAATTAGAATTAAAGACAATAACGGTAGTGATACCCACTGGAGACCGTGGCATGCGGAACATCCAACCCTGCAAATTTTTCTAGGGGTCCGATGCAGATTTCCTTCAACTCAGCGTCCGCTTTGTTCTTGATGAGTTCCTTGACGGCATTGGAGCTCAATCCCACGAGAGATGATTCATTCAGAGTACGATTGACGCGGTTGATGAACCTATCGTATTTAGTGAAAACAACGACGACAGGAACTTGGCCACCGGTGAGCTCTAACATAGCAGAGAGATAGGTATTGGTTCACTCACTATTTCCCAGCTTTCCACTACGCTTCAATGCCAAGAATTCCTCCGTGCCCGTCTCCAGTAAACGCCCGCCTGCGCGGGGTATTTCAAAGCAAAGCCTTCCATGTATTTTGTCAACTAGTTAGATGAAATCATCAAGATAGAAAACCGTACCAAACAGCATGTAGCTGATCTTCCAAAGACATCTCTCTTCGACGTTCGATGAAACCTTGAACTATGTTCACGTTGCCTTCGTCGCCTGGTTCAAAACCCTTGCTATCGTGAAGAACAAACCTGTCGTTCTGTGGTGAGATAAACTCGTGGTCGATGTCGGCCTCGCCTGGCTTATGAGTCGAAGCGATCTATGGACACAGAATGAGTAACCCTCGGTGACATGGTGTCGTGAGTAGCCCACCGCTTCGTGTACTCCGAAGGCACGGTTGATGAGCGAAGATTTGCCAACACCGGTCTATTGGAAACACTGCATTAATACTAGCCTGAGATTAACGAAACTCCGATACCTTTCCTATCACTAGAATTCGGAACCTGGGGAGTCCTTGGTGTCAACCTGGAGATCACATGTCACGGTCATCCTGGCTCACCGAGGACAAATCTGGACTATCTCGTCGGTTGTGGGCTGGAGCTCCAGTGTTGTATCTGAGGTAGAACCAGGCTGCTCTACGTGCTAATCTACGACTCAGAGGCTGTATCCGAAGGGAAACATGGATCCATACCTCGATTATTGTGTTTCCGGCAAGTATAACTACGATCTTGATGTTGTCATGAGACTTACGGTATTCTGTGCCATTGAGGTGAGTACATTATCGAGGCGATGATGGATTGATAGCTGCTCGACCTTGTCTTGCATCAGGTCTGCGAGGTATTTCATCCAGATCGAAATGAATGTCTTCATGGCTCTTTCGAAATCGTTTCTTGTACCGTAAACGTAAGGAAAACGTATCTCCCAGAGAAATCTTGCTAGAACAAAATAGCAATTTAGATGGCACGCTCATCTGCGTCTGTCAAGTTCTTACATTGGTGGGTAAAACGTCTGGCGCATAGTCTTTCCTGCATTGTGATCAATTGGCCTCGATGATTTGCCGATCCGTGCCTCAGCAGACTCTACATTCTTTTCCGAAAGGCTAAAATCGATGGAGATGCCTAGGATAGTTGATGGAATCAGCGGGCTTAATCGTCCAATTAGTGCGAGAGTTGAGTACCAGAGATATGGATAGCACAGGGAGCGGTTAAGGTGTGGATATGGTTTGCCATCCTAATTCTTGATTCGAGTTAGAAAAAAGCCTCCTTCAAGTTTGCGCTGAATTGCGGCAGGGTTGGGTACAGACCATGTGCCAGGTGTGGACCATGCGCCGAATCCTGTGATAGGCTATGAGCGCTTGCAGAGTTCACACACTGGCACTACTCGGAGCTCGAGCAGGCACGAGCGCTTCCTGGCCGGCTTCGCTACCTTTCCATTGCACCCTCATTATAGGAAGAGTGGACCCAGGAAGAACGGAGAGAATTTAGAACGCAAGGGAGAAACAATGGCGACGGGAAAAGGTGCGGAGCATGAACGTTTGAATATATAGGCTAGCTACGAACAGATCAAATTTCTCGTAGTATAGATGATCATCTTTGGCCGTAAAATAGTTAGGCTTTCATGTAATTCCCACGGCTACAATATCAAGGACTTAGGACTCACGCGTTCACTGATGGCCTTCAGCGAATTCGCAACACGTGACCGTTAACGTTCAGTTCTAATTATATGACTTTGCTATCACTACTAGTAACACAACGATCTACCAGAGTACGGCTTCCTCTTGGTCCCTGCGAGGTACGTAGCCACACTTGCGAGTCCGTTAAATGGCAAGGATTTAAGTTCTAAATATAACGCTGCAGTAACAGATTAATCCTGTTCTTGTGGAACAATTACGGTTTCATCTTGCCCAAGCCACCGTGACATTGCCTTTGCTTGTCTCATCGAATGATGCTCTCCGTGACTCCTCATACACCACCATCACATAATTCCCCAATGTTACCGCCAGATACAGTTCCATTCATTCGTCATACCTCAGGAGCTGATTATCGCACGGGGGATCTGAAACTGGGCCGCACCGCTGTTCTCACTGATTTGGGAAGGTATCTGCGGGTTCCATTCGATTGCCTGGTGAAATGCGTTGGTGCCATGCCCTCTCAGCAGGATCTGCAGCAGATACGCAACAACTTGACAAAGTGCAAGATTCTCACCGACGACAAGAGTGGCTTGCGATGGACGGACTTTACCCCACCTGCCACATCAAAAGTGTCCGAAGAGAATGCGTTTAAGCCCCTCGGTCGCATCATCGCTGAAATTTTGGCGGAAGTCCCGAAGAGTGGAGTCTCGTTCCTAGCGAACCCAAACGTGTCACCCCTGTCGCAGCGCAACAATACTTCCAGGCCTGATGGATACCTTGTACTTAGCAGCCAAAAAACCCAGCCCAAGATACATTGGTTCGATATTGCTGTTCCATTTGAGTTCAAGAAGGCACAGGATAGAGAGTCTCTCCGAGATGTGAGTTGTTACAGATCTTGTTGGCATCCGCTCACAAAACCTGCTCTAGGACGAACATAAGATAATCTGGAGCCTTCACAGTATCATGCGCGAGGATCTTCGTCGTCGTTTTGCGTTTGGTATCACAATGGAGGACACGCAATTGAGACTGTGGCTCAGCAATCGAGCGTTCCTTGCAGTTACGGAACCTATCAACTTCTTCGAGGTACGCAACCATATCACGCTGTGCGTCAGGGTGCTAACAGGCATAGTACATCTAGAACATCGATGGTGTTATCTCGCTCTTTTACGCTCTTGGATCTGCGTCTTCGGATTTGAAAAACCTCGGATGGGACCCCACTGTCGAGCGGATCCGTGATGAGGAGGGTTTCCAATACAAGTTCACTATTGGGGAGGAAGTGTTCACCACGACACGTGAACTTGCAACCTATGGCGCAGACTCTATGGTTGGGCGTGGAACTCGCGTGTACGAAGCCAAAGACGCCAAGGGAAAGAAAGTTGCCCTCAAAGATTCATGGAGAGAAGCTGGACGTCAATCAGAGGGCGAAATCCTAGAAAACATCTTGGCTTCCTGTGCGAAGAAGCTGCAAGCGGAGGAGTTGGCGGACGCCAAGAAGCACTTCGTTGGAGTCCGGCTCTGGCAGGATGTAACAATCAACGATGCCCTAGACGAGACGCTGGACCCGATGTTCGTAGAAGAGCATAATCATACCTGGGTGTCCATCGACCTCAATCCCATCGTCTCTACGACACCACATTTACCTAGCACAGGCGACGTACCCCACTCTGGTCAGCTGTCTACCTTTCTTTCCACACAATTGGGCATCATTGCGCGAAAAGACATTGGCATCCCACGCAGAGTCCATACTCGCACTATCTTCCATGATGTAGGAGTAGCTCTCAAGGATGTCACCTCTTTGGCTGACAATCTGAATTGCTTGTCCGGCGCACTTTTGGGTGAGCAAAATATTAATATCGTCACTCTCCTTTCCTCAGTCGCTCATTCAACCTTAGCCTTGCGTTATATGCACAAAGCAGGCTGGGTCCATCGCGATTTCAGCGTCGGGAACGCAATTTGGGTCGGGGGTGTGGGGAAGTTGGGTGACTTCGAGTACGCGAAAGAGATTGATTCAAACACTTCTAATGATGTTCGAACGGTAAGAGTTTTTGAAGATGATCTCTTTCGCTGTTAACTCGTCGACAGGGAACGATGCATTTCATGGCTGTGGAAGTAGAAAGCCAGGAATACCTTTTCTCCCCACGTCATGCATACCATCGGCACCAGCCTTCATTTCGCATGAATTTCCTGCACGACATTGAATCCATATGGTGGGCATTTACCTGGATTTTATTTTATCACACGGACACGAAGACGGCGAACGCCGACCATTCCTTTGATGCACATGCTCAGTTGAAAGAATATCATTCGGCCTTCCCTGGTACGGTCGGCCAGACATCACGCCTTCAATTCTTCCTCCGCACTGGAAAACTCCAAACGAAGCTTGAAAATCTCCTTTCAAAGACGTGCTTTAATGTTTGCAGCCATATTATTCCTGATCTCGCACATGCTCTCCAAGATGGCTATGAAAAGGCGGAGGCAAAATTTCCCACGCTAACGCTCGACGATGCTCTTCTGAACGATATGCACACAAAAGCGGCAACACATCTTAATGATGCGCAACGGCGTGCTGGTGGCATAGAACTGTGTCCGCTCTCCAATCTCCTGAAGCAGAAGAGGCCCAGACCGGGAGATGAAACATCGCCCCCGCCAAAAAATCAAGGGAAGAAGCCTCGACGCGATTGATTTTTATTGTTTGTTCGAGAAAGAACCATGTAGCTTGGCGTCTCGTATACGTAGCTGTGACTTCGTGGTTACAAATGATAGGAATATATACGATCCGCGAATATACTTGTCATGGATTCAAACGTTTCTCACGTGTTGGGATGCAGCATCAGTAGATAAATCAACCTCGTACTGCGCGCTGACTACTGCCCATCCGATTCCACCACTTCGTCCGACAACAGACTACCTTGTAAGCTTTTTACCTTTAGTCTTTCAATTTCCTTCTTGATGTTATCACCATCAACACCACATGCAGTATCGCCCTTGGCGTCTTCTTTACTTCTTGACCATACGAGTACCCTCCGCACGTCGTTTCCCCGGTCTCGTTAGCTACCGGTATTTAGTCTTGCTCTTCTCGTATCGCACACCTCAGTATTGTTCTACGACTTACTGAGGTGTGCAGACTCTATCTTGCTCGTATCTGATTCTCACACGTACTGATTGTATACTAGCGTGTCGTCTCTCCGCTAGGTACATAACATGAATGCTAGTATTGTTCTACGACTTACTGAGCGTGTCGTCTCTCCGCTAGTCTCTCCGCTAGTTCGCCACTTCATATAGGTTATGAGCCCTGAGCTCGTCTAGAGCTCAGACCCACACGAACGCGATCAAACTCGCAGAACTTTACTCAGGTTCATCTAACGGTTGGACCACCACGAACCCCACGATCGATCGACTCGTTTATCCTCTAGTATGGGTAAATATGATCATATCGTCGAATTGACGGGCGCCGACATCTACCCCAGCTGGCGAAGGGCTGTCGAGCTAGCCCTAGCGGGAGAAGGCCTCTGGAACCATTGTAGCAATGGCGCTGACCCCAATGACGTTGCTGAATTCGCCAGCACCATGCCCACAGCAGTTAAACCTACACAACCTACTGATGCAGAACTTACCACCATGAAAAATTGGATAAAAGAGGACGCCCAAGCCAAGGCTATCATCGGCAGACGCCTCTCCATCATCGTTCAGAACATGCTTGGCGAAAAGCTAACGGCTCGTCAGCAGTGGGACGCTCTCTCCAAACGCTTCGGTCGACTCGACGTAACATCTCAATTCGAACTTCGCGACCAACTGTTCTCAGAACGACTCAAGGACGCTGAAGATGCCTCGCGCTATATTAGTGTTTTCGAGAACGGACGACGCAGATTCGCTGAAATGGGAATAGCTTTCACAGATTCCGAAGCGGTTTGGATGCTGCTACATGGACTACCAGAAACCCCACAATGGGTTGTATTCCGCAGCCTCACGCTCGGGCTCTACAAAGTCCCCTCTTCCACGTCATCCACTACCACTGTTCCTCCCCCAGTCGCATTCGAAGATGTCGCAGCAGCATTCTCAGAAGAAGCTAACCGTCAACGAGGTCAACAGAAACTCGCTAGACCAGGCTCTGAGTATGCCAACGCCGTTAGCACACACTCTCTTGAACGGAAAGTGAACCCCGCGAACGGCATACGAATTCACAAGCACAACCCTAAGGGGGTGAGCTGTTCCAATCCCGCCTGCAACGGACTTCCTCGGTCCATGACGCATGACCAAGAACACTGTATGCAACCGGGAGGAGGTATGGAGGGCAAGGCCCCATGGGGCCAACAACGAGGTGAACGTGGGGGCAAGCGTAGGGATACGTCCGCAGTCGCAACGGAAACTAAGTCCGTCACCAATGCCAACACTCCTTCATCCTCTTCCACCCCACAGGAGACATCAGCTGCTGCACTCGCACCAACTCACAGTCGTGATTGGTCCTGTGCCCTCATCGAGGATTTCGATCCTACCAGCGCACCTTCGAACGAGGATATTGCTTGCATTGTGAACCAGACACTATCGATGATTCTTGACTCCGGAACGACCTCCACCCTTATCACACGCAGGGAGTTCTTCTGGACCTTCAATGCAAGCACGAACGTCAACGTGAAAACTGCCAATCACGGCACGCTGGCGACATCGGGACGTGGCGATTGCGTAGCCGACCTCACTGTTGGAGGCCGCACTCAACGCCTTCGGTTAAGGGACTGCCTGCATGCACCAGGTGCATTGGTCAATCTTATGTCAGTCGGACAGATGTTGAGTAAGGGCTGGGAGTGTAATTTTAAACCTTCCCCACCTCGTTGCCAGCTTACTTTTCGCAACAACTCACTGGGTGATATTCCCTTGCAAGTAGTGATGTTCCGGCCCGGCTTGGCCCAAAAGCCGCGGCTTTGGCCTGGCTTCAGACGGCTCTGGCCTGCAAAAAATCCAAGCCGGGCCAAAGCCGCAAATGACGGCTGGCTTTGGCCCGGCTCTGGCCTGAGCCGCGGCTCGAGTAGGGAATTTGCGATTCTGACAAAGTGAGCATGAGCAGGTCGTTGTGAAACCAGGATTCAACCACATGACTCACCTGCAGATAAATTGCGGCAGTCGAGAGCGGCGGTGGAATTTCGGCGGTTTCTTCGTGACATGCGTTACCCGAAGAGATTGATGGAGGTGGAGGGAGATGCATGAGTAGAAAGGGAACACTGGATCCAAGTGCACGGGTGAGGGTTGCGGTGGTGAATTTTGACTCTAAAGGAGGAGCGCTACTGTACCGAGTTCAGACATGCGTATGTTAGATTCGATACACCTTCCATCTTGCGAACGTAGTTTGGAGGCCAAATCACGCACACACCTTGCAGGGACCATGTTCTCCAAAACCAAGACCATTTTCGGAGAGCTGTGTCCTCCAGTAGCTCGGGCTTGCAGGACGGGGGACGCGCTTGTAAGGATTAAAGTTAGCAGGGACATTCCGAGCCCACCTCATGCCGGTTGCCCAGTAAACACCGGGACCTGCACCATTCATGTTGGAGGTAGGTTTATACTGCCAAAAGCCAGCTTTCCAATGTGGGTGAGTGTTGGCGCCAGGCGGCATGGATGGTGGACCAGGAAAGTTTGGAGGAAGAGCAACACCAGCTGGTGGGGGCCAGGTGCCTTGCCAACCCTGTGGCATAGAATGTTGCTGCATGAGTTGTGGATTGGGGTGCCAGTGTCTTCCTGATTGAGCCATGATGGGCCTTTAATAGATATGATAGTAAGTTCAGATTTTAGTTACAAGGACGAATGAGCGTACTAGATCTAATAATCTTAATGGTACGGTCGGTGGGTTGGCTGCACGGCACAACTTCCCGATATGGTAGTAACGTCAATGTAACTTCCAAATCTGGATGACGTTCTGGTGCAACCTACCTGAAAATAAGCAGGCGCCCGGCTATTATTTGAGTTTTTTCTATTAGTTGGTGTAACTTCCTAATTGGGCAGTTGCTCTGGTGTTACTTCCTGGCGCAACCTACATTGAATTAAGCGTGCGCCTGGCTATTATTCGAGTTTTGTTCCATGAGTCGGTGTAACTTCCTAATTAGGCAGTTGCTCCTGGTGTAACTTCCTAGTATGACAGTTGCTTTTGGTGCGACTTTCTCCTCAGACCACCTTCAGTTATAATACATGTACCCAGAGCTATTTGCATGTATTGGATGTTGTGGTGAAGACACATAACTACATGTAATTTCATGGTCAACAAGCCAGTCTGTAGATGTATTTGCTCAAATACAAGCAGACATCAGGCTATTTTGCATGACACTGTCTGATATAATGTCATAAAGTACCATCAAGTTTATAAGACAAGCCAACACATGATCAAGTCAGCAAATCAGATTTGTCTATCTTTGTGCATTCACAAAATGGGCAGTTTGACCTAGAAACAGATTCATATTTTTAAGGAAATAAGCATACACCAGGCTATTTATCACGACTATATCATTCAAGCTGAGACAACTTCAGACATGAACATCCAGCAAATCTAAGCAGATGCCAGGCTATTTTTCAGCACTGTAACATTTAAGGTGACGAAACTTTAGAAATAAAAATCCAGCAAATCTAAGCAGACGCCAGGCTATTTTTTGCAACTCTGTCTTGCACGAGCCGGTGCAACTGCCAAACATAGCAGTTACTCCTGGTGCAACTTCCAAACAGGGCAGTTGATCCTGGTGCAACTGTCCTAAACGAATATCAGGCTTACAAGACCAATCAAAGGATCACAATGTCAGCAGCTCGGCCTAAGGACAGATTGGCATATTCACATAAAATAAGCAGATGCCAGACTATTTTTTTAGGACTATATCATTCAAGCTGAGACAACTTCAGAAATGAACATTCAGCAAATCTAAGCAGATGCCAGGCTATTTTTTTGCAACTCTGTCTTGCACGAGCCGGTGCAACTCCCAAACAGGGCAGTTGCTTCTGGTGCAACTTCCAAACAGGGCAGTTGATCCTGGTGCAACTTCCAAACATAGCAGTTGCTCCTGGTGCAACTGTCCTAAACGAATATCAGGCTTACAAGAGCAATCAAAGGATCACAATGTCAGCAGCTCGGCCTAAGGACAGATTGGCATATTCACATAAAATAAGTAGATGCCAGGTTATTTTTCAGCACTGTAACATTTAAGGTGAGACAACTTTAGAAATGAAAATCCAGCAAATCTAAGCAGACGCCAGGCTATTTTTTGCAACTCTGTCTTGCACAAGCCAGTGCAACTTCCAAACAGGGCAGTTGATCCTGGTGCAACTTCCAAACATAGCAGTTGCTCCTGGTGCAACTGTCCTAAACTAACATTAGGCTTACAAGACCAGTCAAAGAATCACAAAGTCGGCAGCTCGACCCGAGGACAGATTAGCATATTCACAAAAAACAAGCATACAACAGGCTATTTGTCATGACTATATCATTCAAACTAAGGAAACTTCAGAAATGAACATCCAGCAAATATAAGCAGATGCCAGGCTATTTTTTGCAACTCTGTCTTGCACGAGCCGGTGCAACTGCCAAACATAGCAGTTACTCCTGGTGCAACTTCCAAACCTAGCAGTAGCTTCTGGTGCAACTATCATCACATGATATATTTGTAAGCAGTATCAGGGGTGGGAAACTCTGATGAAACTATACATCATCAAATAGTTGGAAAGATTTTCTCACGATCTCTTTCTCACATACCACCATCATCCACTTAACTCATCAGTCATGAAGTGCATCACCTGTGGCATGGTCTTTGAAACTCAAGACAAGACAAAATACATCACTCACACCAGAAATTGTATCAAGGAAGGATCATTCACCTTAGGAGATCAAAAGATTATAGTACAAAGAAATGATCAGGGCTTGTTTCTTTGCTATTGCTCCCTTCCTAGTTGTCCAAAGAAAGGTTTTTCAACTACAAGTGGTCTGAAGACTCACATGAAAAAAGCAAAGTCAACCTGGGTGGGACCAGAAGGCAAAACAAGCAAGGTGATTTCTTTCATTTAGTCAAGCAAACATAAATCCTGACTAAGCTACACCACAAGTCTAATGAGGAGCAAAGAAATTCAGTAAGTCAAGCTCTGATAAGAGCTCGATCTATTATTTAACAGCTTACTTTAATCCTAAAGTCTCATTCATCGCAAAATCAAATGTTCAGTATGGAGCAAACGATAGTGTCTCCACTGCTTGGGCCTGCAATGGTAAATAAAAATACAGATCATCAAAAAATAAAGGACGAAGCACTTATTTTCAATCGACAGCCATTTCAGGATGTACCTGATCAAGACTTGCAAATATTGGAATACAGACCATCAACATCCTCGAGTTTTGGCACTCTCAAGGTAAGAGCAAACAATGCATGAGATAGAAGACCACCAGCCAACATTCTGTTCAGTCCAAGACAGAAGTCCCGTCAGGTTTGCAGCTGAAAGCCAGCAATGCGCAGGCCAATGATGAAAATAGGCAGGCGCCTGCTTATTCTGCATCAGAGGCAAACAGAGATGCTTCAGAATCAATCCATTCCAAGCATCTGAAGACGCTCAACCTAATGATAAATGAAGAGCTTCGTATTCTTTGCTGCGAGATCTGTCAGGTCGCCATTCCACCTGAAACGGCCAAAGCTCACATCACAAACTCGCATCCCAACATAAAGTTTGATGCAGTCAAATTTTCCAAAGCCAGGGAAGCAGAGGGCATACGATCAGACCTACCTGTGATATTAGATCCTAGACCACAGGTCAAAGGACTGGCGGTGCACGATGCGATCTCTTGCGGTCAATGCAACAAAGTCCTTGTCAGCAAAAAATATATGCACGAGCATCATTCACAAGCGCACAAGGGCATAAGGATGCCTCAAGAGTGGAGGGCATGCAAAGCTCAGCGATTCAGAAGAGGAGGGCCAGGAACGCATCAGATGTATTGGGAAGTTCAGAATCACGTTGAAACAGGAGTTCATGCCAATAGACTCATCGGAGCCATATTGAAAGAGATGGAGGAAGTCCTTCGAGTAGTGGAGGCACCAGAGGACAAACGAATGGTCAGTCCATGGCTACTCACGACAGGCTGGCATGAGCATTTGGCTGGCCAAAAGACCGAGGATCTAATGGACTTGATTGCGATACCAAAGAAGAATGACCCAGAGATGCCCCTCCTGAAAGAAAGAGTCGAATCATACTATGAGAGTGTTCTGGCTCTGCTGTCCACCACAGATGAGCTGACTCTCCAAAGACTGAATTCACCTGATCCAACAAAAGAGTGAGTTTCTCCATGTTTCAAACAAGCGGACGCCCGCTTATTTTTATACCAGAGGAATATCAAACAAGCCTTTTCACAAGCATCAAAACAAGGAGACAATGCAGAAATATATACTGCCCATCGTATTCTTGCTGGCGATGCTGATGCGAAGTGAACCTTCCATGCCATTTTATTTTTCCAAGACTCAGGAGATGCATGACACGACAGAAGCTTTGAGCATGAGTTTAGAGGAAGGACTGGAGGAAGAGACCGTGTCCTCATGCATTCACGCTCTTCTCATGTCGACGTGGACAACAAAATGGAAGCAGACCGACAAGAACCCCATAGGCGATCCCACTGAGCTGTGTCTGGCCTTGCTCACGATACAGAGAGATGGCTCGTTCAAAGAACCAAAGGAGGTCACTGGCATCATAGCTAAAGATGAGTACTGCATGCGGGCATCTTTTATCAAGGAGATCAGAGACCAAGTAGAAGATGGAATTGCAGCAGACGAGAATGCAGCCTGCAACATCCTGGAGCCTTGGTTTACAGAAAAGACAAACTCGACCTTTTCGCGTCTCAGATCTCTGCAGCACCGTGCCTCCAGCATTGCATTTTCCACCAGGAGTCTCCCACGTATCTGGTGGACCGACATGGTTCATTGGCGCACCATGCTCTACAAAGGCAATCGGATTGACCTCGATGATGTCTGCAGGATGTTTGCAAAGACAGAGGAGAAGCTGGTGGAGATATGGGAAAACATGGTGTTGAAGAATATCAAGATCAGGATCGACTATGAGTTCCTCGCCGATGACCCAACCAACAGAAATGTGGGCTACTCTTTTCTCACCGTTGACGAATGAAACAAATGCTTCTCCAGAAGAGATCGGTTGCTGGAGGCATTCTTCAACGATGAAAAGATCCTGCAGCACTTTGCAGTGGTCAGAGAGGGCGAGCTATTATGGAACCGAGGCAAACTCATAGAATGGCTACAAAACTATACCGAGCTTCATAGCCTCATTCTTTTACGATGCGAGATGTTGAGCGGCTCCCCAGGATGCGGAACAGAACTAACAGCCATGATGTATCGCAACACCAGCACTCGAACGACCCGCAATCTGGTCATACTGGGCAAGCACATCACAATGCTTTGCACGTACTCAAAAACGAGCACGCTGACAGGACAAGACAAGCTCATACCCCACAGCTTGGATGCAGTCACGAGCGACATACTGATTCAGGATCTTGCCTTGGCCAGACCTTTTGCAGAATTTGCAGCTCACATCTGCTTTCCTGACGACAAGGCCATGAAGGACAGATATCGCAACCAGCTGTTCGTCAACTTCAAAAAGTCATTCGACTCCACGCACCTGTCCGCGGTCATGACGCGCTACAGCATACCTCATCTCAGTTATGGTCTGACGATAAACTCTTGGAGGCACATACACACAGCCTGGAAGCGCAAATTCAAGTGCTCCATGGAAGACCTGCTGGAGGAAGATGCAGAAGATGATGTGGATGCCCTGCAGGCTGGCCACAGCCGGCACACAGAGAATCGCGTCTATGGACTCAGCATGCAGGCTATCGCTGGAGCAGCTGAGGATGTACTCCCCCTGTTTTTGAATGCCAGCACCACATGGCAGACCACATGCAAGACAGTCCCTGGAGGACAGCTTCTTCCATACCATGAGGCACGGTCCATAGACTTTGCAAAAGTGCAGCAGATATCAGATGAAAACAAGCGGGCGCCCGCTAATTCAGCAGTGCAAATGGGAAGTCCTTCAGCCACTCATCTGGAAGCATGCAGCATCGATGACATAGCAAAGAAAGTGGTGGATCAACTGACCCCAGTCCTCACTTCAGTCATTCAAGCTGCTGTCCAGGAAGCAGTTGTGAGGCAGTTCAAGTCCGCTGTGTTGCGGCCCATTTATATGGAATCACATCAAAGTAAGCATGCGAATGGAATGCTCCGCAGCGAGACTCTGACACAGAGACATCAGAAATGGAAGATAGCAAGCAGACCACTTCATCACACCCAGCTCATGCAATATCAGAGGACAAGCATCAAGGTAAGCATCTGACTCGGATACTCAGTGGCAAGACTCTGATGCAGGGGCGTCAGAAATGCAAACAAGCGGACACCCGCTTGTTCTAGATATGGCATTGCAGCCAGCTTGCGATGAATCAAAGGACCAGCATCGAGGTAAGATTCTGACTCAGATACTCGGATAAAGACTCTGATGCAGAGACATTAGAAGAAATGCAGATAAGCGAGCGCACGCCTATTTCTGATCTCCCAGACACAAGGAGCTTCACTGAGACTGAGGCGCTGCAAGCAATGAGAAAGCTGCTGCACAATGAAAGCGCATCTTGGAAATCAGAGCAGCAGAAAGAGGCAATGAGAGTGGTGTCTGAGAGAAAGAAAGACGCGATAGTTGTCCTTCGCACAGGAGGAGGCAAGTCTATGCTCGCGATCATTCCGAGCCTGCTGGAGAAGAATTCGGCAACAGTCCTGGTCCTGCCCTTAAACTCTCTGCTGATGGACTTTCAACGAAGACTGACCAGCATGGGAGTGCCCTTCCAGACGTACGACAGAAATGTCAACAACGGAGATCTCAACATCAGAGACAACCTGATTCTGGTCACAGCAGACAAGGCTCGATCAGCACGGTTCAGAGAAGCGCTGGCGATCCTGAATAAGAAGAAGTCGGTGGGACGCATGGTGTTCGACGAGTCCCACTTACCTCTCATCGCCAATGACTACAGAGATGCTCTGGAGGACGTCTACGACCTTCGCAGCATTCCGATGCAGATCATTTGTCTCTCCGCCACACTGCCCCCCTCCTGCATTGCAGATCTCATTCTGTCGTTTGGTCTGGTCCAGGATACTGTGGTAATAAGAGAGTGCACCAACAGAGAAGAGATCGAATACATTCTGGAGAAGCCATCATTCTCAGAGATCTTGATCAGAGCATTCAGCATTGTAGAAGAGGAGATGGGGAGCTGGCAGGACAAAGACAGAGGATTGGTGTTTGTTCCGACGCTGGGCCTGGGTGAAAGGCTCATGAAGGAGAATGGCTGGCCATTATAGGACCTTTTTCTATATCCCTTAGGGTTAGCTATGGGTTTTTTTAAGGCTATCTATCTGTTTCTCGGTTTGCAGGGGTGTAAACCGTCCCCGTCCCTGCTCCTTCCTTATATGGGGCGTCCCTGCTTCCTTTTTTTCCCATGGGCGACATTTTTGGTCGGAAATGGTCATCCCTTACCTCACACCTTCCGTTTTTCATTTCAGAGGTATGTAACCATCCCTGCGTCCCTGCTTCCTTTTGTTCCCACGGTGCGCAACAATCCCTGCGTCCCTGCTCTCAAAAGGCAACCGTCCCTGCGTCCCTGTTCTTAAAAGGAAACCGTCCCTGCTCTCAAAAGGAAACCATCCCTGCGTCCCTGCTCTCAAAAGGCAACCGTCCCTGCGTCCCTGTTCTCAAAAGGAAATCATCCCTCCATCCCTCGTGTCAAATGCGAGGTAAGCATCATTTCAGTTGATATCAATACTGACCAGCAGTGGGATGCTCCAATTCCCAAGACGTCACTGCTGGTGTTTGCTGAGCCTTCCCTTTCTCCAGCTGGCTTCAGATAGTATCAGTCAATCATGATTTAAACCGTCTCATACACACTTGTAGACTACTGACTATATATCTAAGATTGGTAAAATGCAATGAAGTGTGAAGCTGAAAGAAGGAATCAGAGCCGACAATAAAGGCCAAGTGCGAAAATGAAACAACAAATGAGATCTACAGAGATGTAAAATGAGAAAATAACATGAGGAATGACGTCAAAAGACAATAGAACAAGAAAACAAAAGGAATGAGAGCGAGAAAGAGCAAGAGAGCCAAAAATGCGAAATATCAAGTGTGAAACTGAAAGGAGGGATGAGAGCTGCTGAGAAAGGCCAAAATGCGAAAATAAAACAAGAAATGAGAGCTAGAGAGAGGTAAAATGACAAGAGGATTGATATCAAAAGGAAATACAACACAAAAATAAAAGAAGGAATGAGAGCTAGAGAGATGGGGAAACTGTAACAATGACAGGAGGAATGAGACAACATGAAAGATGAAAATGCGAAAACAGAAGGAGGATTAGAGCAAAAAAGAGGCGAAAATGCGAAAATGAAAGAAGGAATGACAACAAAAGAGAGGTAAAATGTTACAGCAATGGAGGAACTCAGGGCTAGAGACAGGTAAAATGCGAAAATGATAGGATGAATGTGAGCAAGGGAAAGACGAAAATGCGAAAATAACGGAAGGAATGAGAGAAAGAGAGAGTGATAGCTAGAGAGGAAGGCAAAAATGCGAAAATGAAAGGAGCCTAAGGATTGAAACGAGAATCGAAAAAGAGATTCCTAAGAGGCAAAAATGCGAACATTGAAGGAGGGAAAATAAGAAGACAGATCTCAGAATGAGTCAGAGAGAAAGATAAATATGCACTCACTGGTCAGTTATCAACAGACACCTAGAGAGCTGTATTAAAATGGGCACAAATGCGAAAATTTGATATATCTAAACTACTTCCTACCCTCACAGCATATGATGCTCATTTGTTACATCTTACTCTGATAGCACCTTGACATGGTATATCATGGATAACAAACATTTATTCAGATAGTTTCAATACAGCAATCTTCAAAGATCATATATTGTATGGGTAGCTTCGACATTTATTCGTATTTGTTGTATTTGTTTCGTTTTCACTTCTCTTCTCTCCACTCTCACCACATCCAACCATCTGACACGGGCCTCTCTGTAAAGGGAGGTACATCTTGTGTAACTCAAGAGTCATGTAAGGTGGGGCACTACTCCCTTTTGTCAGTAATGACTGAGTATTCTTGGGCTGTAACGCCTGGGAGGAGTAGCTGCTGGAGTTTTCTTTTGGTTCTGGCTTTGCATATCTTTGTTGGTCTGCCAGCTTCATTTTTCGTGTCAGTTTTGACTATGCATGTCCTTGTTGGTCTGCCAGCCTCATTTTTATGTTAGTTTTAATAGTACATGTCTTGTTAGTTTTCTTTTCTCATTTGTCGTGTCATTTATATGGTCAAAACAGAAATAGGTTACAAAGTTCAAAACTTTTTTCTCTTCTTGGGCTGGTACATATGTTAGAGGGATTCCCAAGGATCAATATGAGCCCGGAATGAAAGAAAACGGCGGTTGGGATGTGGAGATAAAGTCCAAATACTGACTTTTTCATACCTGTGACCAAACTCAATATTTTCGACCTCCAGAGACCCTGGGACCATCACCAATCGATTTCTACGTCTTAAAAGCACCAGGACCATTATTTACAGTATCGGTTTTGAGCTAAAAGTGACCATAGTAAGATATATGAGGTAGGAGGGGGGAGGAGGACCTTCTATATCTCAACAACCTGATTTTTCCTGACAAAACGGGCTTGACCATCGTGTTTAGGGACATCAGGAGCACTCCGGAAAAATACTTTTAGAGGACAAGCAAGTCATGGGAAGCCTAGAAAAATCGACCTTTGAGGGGGGTATCAGGAAAACTCCCATATGTTAATTAGGATGGACTCAAATCACTCTGGGACCATTTCCAATCGATTTATATGATAATAAAACAGTAGGAACATCTCTTTATATACCGGTATTTACATAATATCAAGATATATGAGTTTGGGGGGGGAGGGGGACCCTGCATATCTCAACAACCTGATTTTTCCTGACAAAACTAGCTTTACCATCGTGTTCAGAGGCATCAAGAACTCTCAGGAAAAATACTTTTGTAGTCCTGGCAAGACATGGGAAGCCTGTAAAAATCGATCTTTGGGGGGGGTACCAGGAAAACTTCCATATTTGTCTCAGGATGGATTCAAAACACTCTTGAACCATCTTCAATCGATTTATATGATCATAAAACAGTAGGAACATCCTTCTATATACCGGTATTTACATAATATCAAGATATATGAGTTTGAGGGGAGGAGGGGGACCCTGCATATCTCAACAGCTTGATTTTTCCTGACACAAATAGCTTTACCATCGTGTTCAGAGGCATCAAGAACCCCCAGGAAACATACTTGTGGAGTCCTGGCAAGACATGGGAAGCCTAGAAAAATCGATCTTTGAGGGGGGTATCAGGCAAACTTGCACATCACATTCCATATTGGTTCATAACACTATGAAACCATCTCCAATCTATTAATATGATCCTTAAACACTGGGAACATCCTTTTCACATCATTATTGACATAAAGTCATGCCTCTTGGTGAAGTAGGTGGGGGGAGGGGGTAGCATGACTCTCAAACCTGATTTTTTCAGATGAAATCAGCATTGCCATCTCATTCAGATTGGTCAATAACCTCTAGATCAAGTTCAACACGAAGCCAGACAAGTCACATGAAGGCTGAAAAAATCAATCATTGAGTGAGGCAGCATGACAGGGGTGACACAGCTTACATAAGCAAAAGCGGTGGACTTGGACTCACTTATACCAAGACTTTGCAAGATCAAGTATTTCTATTGCTGCTCAATATATATGGATCAATTACCTTCATAATGAGCCTGAGATCGAGCCATGCGAGTGATATATTGGTACTGTTGACAATAGTTTGACCCTCATGAAGGGGTGGCAACCAACCTCAAATGCCCCCAGAATCACCAAGTCAAAAAGCCCCCAGAAGCGAAAATAGTTGGTACTGTTAGCAACAGTTTGACCCCCATGGAGGAGTGGCAACCAACCAAACATGCCTCCAGAATCACCAAGTCAAAAAGCCCTCAGAAGCGAAAATAGTTGGTACTATTAGCAACAGTTTGACCCTCATGAAGGGGTGGCAACCAACCAAAAATACCCCCAGAAGCGAAAATAGTTGGTACTGTTAACAACAGTTTGACCCTCATGGAGGGGTGGCAACCAACCTCAAATGCCCCAAGAATCACCAAGTCAAAAAGCGAAAATAGTTGGTACTGTTAGCAACACAGCATTACAGACATTCATAACTTTTAAATGTGATTTTTTTGAATGAAAAGGGCATTACAATCGTGTTCAGAGGGCTCAATACCCCCAAGTGAAACGTCTATTTGAAGCCAAGCAAGTCATATGAAGGTTGAAAAAATCAATCATTGCTCGAGGTGGGTCTGCTTACATAAGCAGAAAAAATGCGGAGGCAGCACAATGAGGTGGTTATTTTTCATGGACAAACTCATGTTTCCAGTGCATTAAGCAGGTTCTATCATATTCAAAACAAATTCTGCTTCAAGTCTGACCAATCACATGAACGCACAAAAAATAAAACTTAAACAGAGGCAAGCCAGTCAACTGAACTGAACCAACCAACAAATAAAGTTTAACAGACCGATGTTTGCAAGCAAAATAGAGTCTTCACTGCACATTGTGTCCATAAATGTTGCTATATAATGGTCCACCCATCCCAACCTCATATCTCCCTCCATCTGATCAGAGAGGCAGGAAGCTCTGGACTCTAGGCAAAGTTCTCTTGCCCAATTTGCCACTGATTTGGCTGTCATTGAGGATGGTAGGAGATAACATTAGCTCCAGCAGGTGGTGGAATACTTGATTATGTGAGTCGTGATGCAGCTGTGAGCTGGCTTCGTCTCCTACCACCCTCTATGCCAGACACAGCCGACTCAATGGCAAATTGTTTGGCCTGTCTTGCCGCATTTGACACATATTTGGCGATAGACAGATATCAAAACCACCATGAAGGTAAGTTCTACGTTTTAGATCACTACCTTCAGCCTTGATGTCATCAAGTAGAATGACAATTTCCTCTCTCCATGCAGCCTCGGAAAGGAACAACACATCTGCATTGATATGGGAAAAACAGAAATAGGGTTCACATATTGGTAGCTGAAATCATGGCAGGACAACACTTAAGAGCTTACTATGTGGAAATGGAAAACAGGCGAAATTGGATGGCTTTATGAATGACGCCGCATTGCAGACATTCATATTTCATCTTTGTCTGCAACCACTGCTTCCCATAATATTGCTTTTCATGCGGATGAAATATCATGTTGTAGGCAGGTGCATTGCACCCGGCACTCAAGCACTGGTCATTGGGAAGGACCAGGTTCGAATCCTTGTCCTGCCATGATTTCAGTGTTCAAACTGGTTCATCTTGACTCGCCAGTATTGGTTCACCTGTTTCAATTTGCATATGACAAGCTCTCAAGTTTTTTGTCTTCCATGATAAATAAGACAGCAAGGAACTCGCTGCATGTTTGGATGAGAGGTGAAGAAGGTGAAGGTAGTGATTTCACGACTGGTGCATGTCTAGAATATATGTCAGAACAGGTAACACAGACTCTGCTTCATCTTGAATCACCAGGATGAGTTCGGCTGGTTTCCAGTTGAACAACACATCTGCATTGATTGTGGGTGCAGTGTGATATGAAATTTCGGTGACTACAGAGGTACAGGCTGCAAATCTCCTCAGCAATCGAAATCTTATGTAGTGAAAGAATCAACTTTACCGCTCATGCCACTCTTGCCAATCATGTCCGCTGCAGACAATGATCAACATACATGGTATTGAGAGGAACTTGCCCCACTCTGCCTTGCAGTGACCACTCCCCATCTATCATTGCTGTTATGGTTGGTGATTTCCTGGCTTGTTTCTACCACCATTGTGCGTCATGACTTCACTGCTGACTTCATGAAAACCAACATCAGTGTGGCATAACTTATCTATCTCTTTAATATGACCATCTGTGCGACCAAATTGTCCAGCAAATAATGAGCCTGGTCGCTTTTTTGGCATGTCAGTGCTGGAGCTCTCACTTCAACAATAAAAGGCTGTCAGCTTATAGGAGGCTTCAGGGTCAGGAAAGAACATCAAGGACCGGTTTGCAAATGCTCTTGACCTAGGACCCATGCGACCTGGAGTTACACCTGTATGGTCCTGCAGTCCAGCATTGATTGCTTCAAAGGCCACTGATGCAAGAGTGTCATCGATGTGGAATACTTGATTAATGCGAGTCATGACGCAGCTGTGAGCTGGCTTCGTCTCCTACCACCCTCCATGCCAGACACAGCCGACTCAATAGCAAATTGTTGGCCTGTCTTGCCACCTTTGAAACATATTTGAAGATAGACAGATATCAAAACCACCATGAAGGTAAGTACTACGTTTTAGATCACTACCTTCAGCCTTAAGCTTGTTACACTGAACCCTTCCGCCAAACCCTTCCACAGCACAGAGTGGTGAAACTGTATGAGATGTGCTGATGAGCACAGAAATCATTGTTTGCAGCCTTGTAGCAGTATTTTGAATATGTTTTTAGCAGGCTTATCTATCCATGTCAAGTGTCATGCTACCAGATGCACCCAGATCCACTATGGATCTCCTCATAGTGTTTACTAATACATCGATGTCATGTATATATACTAATCAACATCCATTGCATCACCCTCTTCTATAGTCTCTCCTGTGTCCATGGGAAATAATCTGGATTTACGAGGATGTGGAGGAGGAGGCACCCTCTTGTTTTTCTTGGCCATGGTTATTTTTTTGTGGATCTCTCGACGCTTTTGCCTCTCTGTCTTTCTTCTCAGATTTCCATCAGCATCAAATGGTTGTGAGTCCATCAGGTCAGCCGCAAAGATGCGCTTGCCCTTGATTAACTTCATAGTGCGACGTGCTCTTGGGGCTCTCCTCTGGCTCTCGCCCCCCCTTCCGATGCAGTCTATCCTATAATATGCAGGATTTGTTATGAAGACTATGGCATCATTCTTCTGCACCCACACTCGTGCACCACTTGCAGGAAGACAATGAAGGTTTGAAAATACCTCAGCGTAGACCTTGCTTCAGCAATACCCGTTGTTCTTCTTCCATCATCTTCATCATCCTGTGAAACTGTGCGATGTATCCATCTCCCTCCCATAGTGTGGACCATTGAGCGTTGTTTTTATGTGATGCATCAGGATCGGGAAAAAATAGGGAGCATCTGTCCACAAACGCTCTCGACTTGGGACCCATGCGACCTGGAGTTACGCCTGTATGATCATGCAACCCAGAATTGCATGCTTCAAAAGCAACTAAAGCGAGGGTATCGTCGATGCTCGTCATCGTCCAGCACTTCATGGACTCCTTAAGCGATTTGGGGTAGGGTCTGATGCCCTTAAGGACTTCATCCGTCAGCATCAGCCACATGTGCCTCGTGAATGCAACCACAAGTCGTTCAACAGAGAGTTCGATGTTAGAAAAGCTGGATAACCATACCCATGGTCTCATGATCGTCGCAGGAGAGCTTGAAATTGCTGTCTTTAGCTGAGTCCATGTTGGTGTCCGACCAAGAGGATAGCCTTCCATTCCTGACTCTGTTATCTTCCATCCTTCCACTTTTCCCACTGCTTTGTCTCTTTGAGCCTTCGCATTTACACCCATGAGTGCCAACACATTCACATCATCGATTTGCTGCACTTCCTCCAGGCAGGTTTCGCTGCATAGATCAAATTCCTGCAAGAAGAACATCCCTGCTGTTTCGAGTACATTTCTGTATTCAAGGAGGGCGAGTGATTCACGGACATGACGGTCGTAGACGATAGGCGTTGATATGGTTGAACGAAGCATGTGGTTCAGCAAGCCAGTTAGGGTGCCAAGATTGGGAGGGTTCTTTTTGACAATGAAGATTTGGGTCCTTTGAATCTCCCGCACACGTCGCCTGATCAACTCAAACCAGACATTGGATGGAATCCACAGTATAGGATCTGAGCGCAGATAGTCTATAGCCTGCATTGACATGGAGACATTCAGCTTACATTACAACGATCGACGCAGTGTATATTACTTACCTTGTTTTCTATGTTATCCAACATTGTTCTAGCCGCTTGTCCGCTCACCCTATACTCATCTCTGACACCATATGTTTTCCCCTTGCACCCTTCGACAACCTTCATTATTTCGAAGCATTCGGCCATGTACGATGGAGAAAGCTTGTAGGCATCACTGTCCGAAGCGAAGTTTACCTGGTTGTTGTTTGTTCGGATGGATTCGTAGTATAGGTTGTAGCTGCTCCGGAATGCTATGTGGGTCTGCTGGGATCTCTGCTGCTGCATCTCTGCCTGGAGGGCACCATATCTGGAGAGTGTGTTCTGGTGATGAATCTCGCCTCGCTTGTAACCTCCTGCGCCATACGATGCCTCCAATGCATCTAATCTCCATACACCAACAACCGGAACTTCTGGAGAGCGTGGAGTGAATGAGATACCCACATCCACCAGAAGCTCGCCATGCCTGTGGTTCATCATATATGGCCAGTCCAGGTCTGACAGGTTGCGACGCAAGGCTTCCTCCGGTCCTGAGAAACGTCCTCGCTGTCCATCCTTTGTGAGGAGCTTGATTCCCTTCCCCTCCAAAATGAAGAAGAACGACCCATACATGCTGAGCTCCCCCTCTCCATTGCGTATGCAGGCTTCCATGCGTTCCTGAACATCCCTAAAGTCATCATCTGACAGGGGAATTGTTTTTGGAGGTCCCCATCCTCCTTTGCGTCCTTCCACACCTCTTGCCTTGTATCGTGCCTCCTCTAACGTGTGCTTCATATAAGGCGCCCAGCTGACATCGGTGCAATCTCCTATAGATGGAAGCAGTACCCTATCCCAGAAAATATCCAAGACCTCCTTTGGCATCAGTGTGATTCTTCGTCCATTCACTGGGTGTTGGTGGATCATCCTCGGAAATGCAATATAGAGATTGAGTGTCGAGGATGCGGATGATATGCGGCCCATACAGGCATGAGGGATGGCAGCCATAGGAAACCTTTTAGACAGCCATTCCTTTCTTCCACCAGGCGCATTCGCATCTTCTTCTGACTGTGGAATGGTGATGTTCGACATACGTGTGATTGTGCTTGAATATACCAGGTTTTGTTTGGAATGGTGGAGTGATGTATATGCCCACTGACCCCCTGCATCGGAACACCTTTGTCGTCCAAATTATACTGTCTATGTCCACTGATGTCTCTAGCTCATCTTCTGAAAATTTAACCGCATCCCGTTCAAGGTCAACATATAATGCAGGTCCGTCTCCGAAGCGATGGCTGGTCCGGCCACGAACAAAGGCATTGTGTCCGAACCTACACTCCTCATGCAGTGGGGGATCATATTGGGCGGCATCGATGAGTTCTGAAGCAGAGAGAATCTCGACGTCAGAGATGTGCGTGTTCTGACCTTCCTTAGCCAACCCCAGACGATTCAGGCTGTATGCACCTGTGACTCGATCTGGAACTTGATTCGAGGGGTCATGGAAATTGGTAGTGCCAACACACATGATGTGGTCCATGGTAGCTATGGGCTCGCATTGATAGAATATATGGAATGAGCTAGGAGTGATGCGGTATCCATGATCGATCCAGTCCACCCATGCAGTCGACAGCTGGATTCCCCCAACCTGGAATGTCATGGTTGGATTAATGTCCCTGGGAGTCATCAACATCTCTATCGTAGGTCCGCCCTCATAATCATCGAATTGATGGTTATCCTGGAGCCATGTTGATCCCCGATATGCAGCTAGTGGTGGTGGTGCAGTTGGACGTGGAAATCGTTTACTGCTTCCAAGATTCAAGTTCTTCACTCGCCTACGAGACACTGAGGCAGCCGCAGAGCGCTGTGAGTCCCCTGTATTTATGGAATCAGGTGGTGTTTCTTGCTCCAATTCAAGGTGTGTTCCAATAGCGCGAGGAACTATAGCATTACGATTCCGAGAACCAGCCAATTGTCGGTTTTCTTTGATCAGCTTTGCGAGATTGTCCCTCCTTTCTTTAGGCAGATGGATGTCGATGGCATTCTCATCTTCACTCCATTCTGCTTCTAAGCCATCCTGGTCTACTGTGGTTTGATCTCCATCGTCATCATTAGGTGAGGGGTGTTCGCCATTCTGGTTGAATATGGATTGATGACACGTTGAGCAGGTGGCGCTGACAACAGTCAATTTCTTCAAGAGCTTGACGCATTCGGCCTGGTGCTGCCCATTCTGAATCGCGTTTATTACATCCTCGTCCGGTATGTCATCCTCTGTCCGATCGTCCATTGGTCTGTCGAGGAGCATCAGGTAGTCGCTACAGCTCAGCTTGATACGCCCAGCAATTACTCGCAACATGTGGATGCGCAGTCTGTGGCCACATTGAAATTTAAGTGCTGGGAGGTTTCCATACTCGTCTAAACCTGTGCGCAGACATTGCTCCAGCACAGAGCAAGCTATGGGACCACAGTCGACTCCGTTTTGCTCCCAATCATTTGGTATCACAGACACATCGGTGACATCCCCTGGGTTCCAGCCATGCAGGAATGCGATTCTCCTCCAGTATTGAGGTCCGCCCCAATCCCTCCAGTCGTGTGGATCGACATCATCCACTTCCATTATGGTGTCTGAAATGTGGCGACCTAGAACATGGGCTATGTGTCTCTGATAGTCGAAAATAGCAGCAAAAAAATGATCGGAATGATGGACGATGAATCCAACAGGGATCGCTGGGCATGTTCCTTCTTGAGGTAAGAAATGGTTCTTCCTGAATAGCTTCACTTCATCATCCACCATGTCATTCGCCATTGCTGCATACAGGTCCACGTATCTCATTTGTGACCTGTCCACGACCTCATACCAAATGTGACACAAATAATAGTTTGCCACTGTCGCATCAAGCCACTCATTCGATTCAAGAGTTCTCCAGTTGTGCCAAGCAGATGTCCACACAACTGGTCGGGCCATTGCACGAGCTGTTATTTGATGGAATTAACATCTCTCTTTATTTATGTATCACAGTGAACTCACAAGATGTTTCCTCCTCTGTAGGTTCAGCTAACATAGCGAGTGCCGGTACTTCAAGTGAGGGTGACCGAAAGTCAGTTTGTGGTGGTGGCGTAGGTCTATAGTCAAGATCCAGTTTGTTTCCATCAAGGGGTGCTGAACTGCCTGTTGGCACAAAAATGTGTTTAATATCCTGAAGCATCCTGAAGACCATAATGAAGATCCTTACGTTGAGATTTTTCAATGAGATCTTCTTCTTCTTCTTCTTCTTCTTCTTCTTCTTCTTCTTCATCGTCATGCATTTCAACAACACTGTGAATAAATTCTTGAGTTACATCTTTCTGCGATGCTACAAAGTGAATGCTTTATATTATGTTTCGATGAAGGGTTTTAGACACCAACCAGTCACTTGCAGACGCCTGAGTCGCTTTTTTGGACGTCCCCGATGTCGTTGATTGGGGTTCTGTTTGGCAAGTGCTATCTCTTCCACAGCTATCTCATTTAAATCGAGATCAGGTCCTTCTGTAGTCCTTGGTAGGTCGTTTGTTTGACATTCATCTGTAGAGATGAAGGTGTCATCAATACCCTCGCAGTATACTCTATCTATTGTTGCTGGCGATTTCCGCTGGCATGGGTTACTTGTCGCACGTATGATAAATCTGACACCATCATTATTCATGGAAGGTCTTGTTTTGTATTGGCTGCCTGTGCTGAAGTGTCATTTAAATGAACAAGCAGGGTTGATTCTAGGTACTGACGATGTGTGATAACTTTTTTAGCTGGCCTTCCTCGTGGCCGGCGAGGCTTATCCTTTACTCCACTACCCTCCACTATGCTTGAATGCTTCTTGATATGACAGTTGATATCTGGCCCACAATCATATGTCATCTGGCTTGCGGTCCATGACTCCTGCGAATTCCAATCCATGATGCCAGAGTTTATGATTTTATGTAGTACATCGAATCTATCATCCTCCTCACTTACTCCACCCTGTTTATTCGCATCGCATATGGTGCTTATTGGTTTTTTAGGCGGGATACAGTGGACCACATTTGCTTGAGTGGGAAAATGTTGTGGCACTGGACTTGTGGTAGCACAGATGGTATATTTTCTGCCTGCATTCTGAATGTTCTCATTTGAGGTGCTCTCCAGAGCAGTCGAAACCTCTGCATTTTGCCTGCTACCTGCAAGCAGATGTTATCTAAATTAAAATAGGGGGGAGGTACATGTACTTACGACGCTGTATTGCTCGCTTTCTTGGCCTCCCTCGTCGCCCCTTATTATTATTTTCAAAAAGAGCCCTATCTTTATCCACAATTTTGCAGTTGTCGACGGCTGTTGACAGTGCTCCAATATCATCATCCGTATTCCATCCATCTTCAGCTGTCTCTCTGGTTTTGCATCCATGAGTCTCTAAGATCTTCGAACCATGTGGGTCCCAATCTAGTATCTTGGATTTCAAGATTTCCTGTAGAATGTTGATGGAATTGTCTTCCTCCATCAGACTGTAAGTGTGTGCTGTACTCGAGCCCAAAATCTCTCCAACGTCCTGCAGACCACGTGTTATATGCCATAAATTCATTTTCACTGTCCTAAAAGCCTCTCAAACGTTCTATACATTCCACTCTTCGGCTCTTACAATTCGGCTCATGAAATTACTGCATCCATATGAATACATTAGGTTATGTACTAGACTAAACTCTGCCCAACCTAATACTGTGCTGGTGCGTTTATCTCCAAACACATTATTTCCCGATCCGCCCGGATCTCAGGTGTATGAAACGGATCATTTCTATGACTCAAAAACTTTTTAATGCTCGACTGGTATTATTTTATATTGTGTCCGTCTGAATTTCGACCTTCATGTCTGTCCGACCATCGATTATCAGCTCTGTATCCCACACAGGGGGTAGAGGTAGAAGAACATTGCCTCCTATGAATAGTCACCCAAGGCTACACAAACTGAGGCGATGTACTTCCTTGGAATGTATGTTATTTGCAGCCTTCAGTTATTGCTTGCTAATAAATTGCTTTCTTGTCCCACTCACAGGGATGTATGATTCCAATGAAGACTCTGATATGTCGGTTGATTATTGCCGTTTGGTGATTAGAGTTGGAGATGAGTAAGACGAATCTATAATATTTCCTTTGAAATACTGACATGAATATATAATCCAGTGTCGCGATATTTCCGCTTGACAAACGATCAGTACCAACAAATGATGGAAGTCTCCCTATAATGTCATACTGGTATGGAAAGGTCGAGGAAATATACTTGAAGACCGTCAAACAAAAACAGGTGACCTGATTTATGACCCTAAATTAAATTGGGTGTTTTGGCTGACATTGTATGTGGAAGGATGTATGGCTTAACATACGGTGGTATTATAGGCAGGTGGATTTGGAGGATCAAGGTGTCAAGTGTGTCTATCCTTTTATTTATTGGTGCAGCGATGATTCTAAAAAATGTATCAAAATACAGCCTTGCAGCTTTCGTCGGTGAATACGAGCTCATACTGAGTGACCACACCTCCATTGTCGACATGCATTGCATAGAAGGTACGTGCCTTGGGGTATTTTTAATGGCGAAGATGATCTAAGCTACGCGTCTGCAGATCATGCGACAATCATTCAGTATGACGAGGAAGATTTAGCACAACCTCAAATACCAGGGGAGACCCTATATTACAGGTGGACTGTTTCAATGCAATTCGAAACTCATAGGAATGTTATACAGCTGCAAGGGGTTCATATCGAGGTGGGTATATATTTTTCTGGTCCAGTCTGAGCTAATCATCGTAAATTCAACAGAACTCACAAGTGTCCACGCGCTGCAGTTGCGATTCTTGTGATCATTCATTCTCCTCCCCATATAACCTGCAGCGTTACTGCAGAACATGTCAACAGTGGTTTAACGATACTTGCCTGGTGGCTGTTGCTAAGAAGATGGAAAGAACATTGAAGATGCGTCTACCGTCTATCTATGATGCTGTTGAATTCGATAAAGAGTTCCTTGCATTGTTGACGACACCGATTCGACGAGGGGGTCATTTTGGTGTGGTCGGAAATGGCATTATTTTATTCCAGGTGAAATCACTCCTGGAGGATGCTCTGACGCTTGGTAGACTTCCTGATGGGTGGATGGACCGTGTGCAGCTAATGAAGCTTTCATCAGTTGATGATGCCGTCCCAAGATACTACTGCCCAGTGTGTAAACGAGTCGTAGTATAGCGGGAGGTTTCTTCTGATGTAGACATTACATATCTATGAATGTAAATATGCGAAAGTTCATAGTGGTTTGTGATGTTAGTGACGGGTACTATACTCCTCCCTGTCGGTCGCATCGCTCCCGAGCAAGGAACAGAACTGCGAGCTGCACATGGCCGCCTTCATTTTAACTCCGTAGTGTCGATCAGCTGCCCTAATTGCATTTAGTCATCTGTGCCCCAGACAATTTGATCTTAAACTTACAATCCTGACATCAAAGAATGTAATGTATGACGACCTTACAGCTAACTTAATATTTAATATTGATAGGTCAAAATCCAATTTTTTTCTTCATTCACCACTTTTGTTTAGTTGTGGAGCTGGCTAAATAAAATGATCCCGCCTATTACGATACTTCGTCAGGTGAGATACCAGTGGTCCAGTGCCATTGTGAGGCATCTCGCCCCGACCAAGTAGCGTAATAGGCGGGACCCTTTTGTTTGGCCAGTTCCAAAACCAAATAAAAGCGGTGAATGAACAAAAATAGATTCTGGCCTATCGATATGAAGTTAGCTGTAGCATTCACGGCTGTGTATGGCATACGGCATTAGTTCAGAATTGATGGGCCTCGATTCTATGATGGAAACCCTCATCGATGCATTCTGATGAGCGCCAAACCATTAGAGGATCACGTTTAAAGTTACAATATGCATGCTTTCGAGAGCCGATTTACCAGCGAGTCGCTACCGAAATGTATTTCATAAGATTCAATCGAAGTCCTGGAATAACAAATCGATCCCTCCATGAACCCATCATGTCAGCTCCGTCAATGGGCTCCACAGGATATAAGTCGATTAATGAAAGTAAAAGGGACCATTCAGGATGTCGATGGAGAATGTTCGTTCAAGGTGTCTGGACTGTCTCGCACCTGCCAGATTGCTCCGCATTACCGTATCCCGCTTCATGCGCTGAACAAGAAGTTTGGTCTCTACAAGAAGATTGTGGCCCACCTCGACGCTTCATCCCACAAAAATGCTACTTATATGCGTGATATGTATTTATCGACCATTGACTACATGAATAATGTCCGCATTGCGTTCTTGGAGGATGCTGCTGGATCCACAGATGCATTGTGCGGAGATTTCAGATCTCCAGTGCTCGATTATTACCTGTGGTTGGATCACACAACCAGTGGCTTTCATGCCGAGTGTCGTCAGGCCTTGAAAGAGAGTCATGGGGTGACCTTCGAAGGTCTGCAGAATTCAACATGTCCAGACATACTCAAATTTCGTGCGTGCCTCCTTTCCATCATTTAAAATTACCAGCCCTGATCTTGTCGATAGTCAATTGGAATGCTTATCACAATAACGAGTGCAAAGAGCATGATTACTGTGGTGCATTGCAGGGCTGTGGGAGTGGTGAGGATATCGAGCAACTGCTGAATGCAGTAGACGCCTCCCTTACCGATGATCCTGATCCTGTAGAAGATCCAGAAGGCGTTACAGAGTCTATTGGCGCCATCGACATGGATGTTGTATCCACTCCAATTGGAACTGAATCTAATAGTGTAGATATGGTACGTACGTATTTTCCTCAGAAGATTGGATGTTATACGAAATGGATCCTACTCCCCTAGCCATCAAGTAAATTTCCACAATTCCCGCTTCCTTTCGATCGGAATTTGCAAAGGATGTCTCTGCAAACACTTGGTGATAGTGCACGTCAGATCCTCATCGGCGGGTTCGGAAGATGGTTGCCTAGCCATATTGCTATGCGCTTTCGAGAAATCCAAGGACTAGATCACAACGAGACTTTAGAGAATCTGATGGAGAATGGGTTACTCATCACAGCACGAAATCAAGAAGAATTCTGTGAGATTTTCGGCATGGTGGAAATGATGGCAAAGTGCCAGGAGTTATCGGTTGACCGTGGTGGCATGGCACGTTTCTTCACTGCAGTTGGCCGTGGACTCTACACATCACACCAGGGTTCTAAATGCTCTGTCGAGTATGGTCAACATTTTCCATCGTCATTCGCATACATGCGGTCATTTGTAGAATGCGAGGTGCAGACAGAAGATTGTGATATACTTATAACGGTGGACGCACATGACCATTCACCTGATTCTGGACCTCGGTATGAAGCGGACATTCAGTCCTGCAACGACCATCCACACATCTCTTCAGACGATGTGTGCTCATTCGTGGAATGCGAGGTACAGACAGAGGATTGTGATGTACCTATGAAGATGGACGGACCTCAGAATGAAGTGGACATACAGATCCACGACGACCATACACACCTCTCCGAAGAGGATGTGCGCTCATTCGTGGAATGCGAGGTACAAACAGACCTTGATACACAAGGTGAATCACAGACCATCCACTCCAATCATCCTTCGGACCAAGGATATCCAGCGGACCTTCATCAATTTGATTCTGCAGTCATCTCACAGCACAACGAAGAATTTGACCTGACATACATGGTATGTTTATTAAGTCGGTAATCGAGTGTCATATTATAGAACCTAACATAATTTATACAGGATCTCACAGGATTCCCTGAACCACCAGAGAGCTCTGGTGAACATTGTAGTGACGTCGTAGATTCGTCCACAAAGCTCGATCTGGATAGACTTCACAGCATCGCTCACGAGGAGAATAAAGTATCCAACATCGATCTTTCACCTGGATGGCAAGAAATAAATGATCAAGACACGTTTCAGGATGTAGATTTATCTACCTCCCCTCCACTTAAATCAAGACTGCGCGAACGAAATACAAGCAGAGCACCCGAAATAAAGAGAGAAACAAGGCGTATGGAACAGCCTGACTCCAAGCACTCACGACCCGTGGTGTTTGCTACCAACAGGAAAGCGCATAGAGGAAAGCCAAAGGCGGTCAACCAAAAATTAAGATCGCCGCAATACACCATGAAAGACCTGATTCGTGAATCTCAGACAGAGTGGACGAACGACACGCCTTTCGTAAGTCGTTCTTCAACTATCAGTATCAGTCTTGTTACAGGTCACGTAGATCGACGCCTTTCTCACGGACCCGCAGGCATACAAATTTATCAACTCTACCATTGAATCAGATCATGAATCGTGGTTGGCTATTGCTCGACATATTGCTGTACGTATGCAAAAGCAAAGCATTTCTGATGACTTTTTGCAATCAGTGTCTATGGTCATGTCTATCGAATTCTGGTTCAAGGATGTTGCAACAGAGTGCCGCCAGGCATTCACGCATGACAACCAGGATGTCGCACTATCGCCATTGGTATGAAATAAATCTTTTGACAACTACACTATGCTCATTTAGTCTTTTCTCAGTCACATCGCGTTCTTGTTGAACTCTCTACCAGGGCAATGGTCGATGAGCTTTCTGCGCACCATGTCTTACAAAGTATCTTGGTGAATAAATTCACTTCTTCCTTACTTAGGGTGTTAATGTATGGATTTATTCATGTTACGATTCAGAGTTCCGACAATGGAAAATGTGCGAATGCAATTCTTCGATACCTGCTACGCTCCTCTCAGAATCACGACAATGACCCATATGCACCTGGCCTTCGTGTGCTTGCATCAGCTGTGATGAAGCATGCTACGATTGATCGGTTGGCTTAGCGTTCTGGGTCCAAGTGCCGATATTTCGGATGCGTTTTGAATATCATAGGAAATGAGTCAAGGCGTCATCAGTTACCATAATATTCGGTTCATGGCATGAGAGCGGGTTTATAGAGAAGATATTTAGCAGGTACTCGGGCAATCGTCGAGTTCAAACAATGCTCGAGGCAGGTCATATATCCTGTTGTTATGATACAGTGTATGTAATAACTAAAATCCATATTTCCGCCTTCCCAATTCTTGACATAAATGTGTTTTGAAGCAATTATTATGGTGATTAATGTGTTCTGAATTATACGACGATAGTGATGAGATATGAAGAGTAGCATATTAGTATCCATCGAATAAGTGAAAGTCGTCATGTCTTACCCCGTACATTGTATTTGAGGCTGCATTCACCTGATTTGCGTGACTGAAATCAGGTGAATGCAGCCTCAAATACAATGTACGGGGTAAGACATGACGACTTTCACTTATTTGATGGATACTAATATGCTACTCTTCATATCTCATCACTATCGTCGTATAATTCAAAACACATCATCCACTCCAATGTAGATCGTCTCTCAAGTGTTATATCGTAGAGCAGAGACAACATTTAAGTGCCAAATTGTACAGCACTTCTAATTCATGGCAAGGAATACGCGCTTTCCTTCCATGTACATGCTAACGACGTATGTAAGGATACCAGGAGATGATGTAATAGGTACACTACTCTATGTACTATTTCATGATATGATACCAATGTCCCGTTGCTGCTCTGGAGTAAGCGGCCACTGATACCAGACACGTCCATAGTTCTGAGATCGAGCCCCATGGATCCAAGTTGGACAAGAAATTCCCCTTACCGTCTCCTTGCACACAAGGCACGAATATCTAATCTTTGTCTCCACCCAATGCTTCCCATAGTACTGCTTTCCATGCGGATGGAATATAATGTTGTACGCCGGAGCTTGGCATGTTGCATTGAAACAACGGAAGATATCAAGGCCCCAAGGCCTGCCGTCCTGGAGGTTTGAGTATGCGAGCACCCTGGTATCAACCACACGGTGTCTCTTCTGATTGCTGTCGATCTTAAAATCTGAAAACGACAGCAGCACCGGTGAGTGATTGAGGGCGTGTCTGTCCTCCCCAAACGACTCCTCCAGGGCCTCCCACAACTTCATATCGTAAACATACACGTTTTCCACGAATCGGTTCAAAGCGGGGACGACGACCGCATCTAGTGTGGATATTCCAGCGAAGGCAAGAACAAAGTCAAATATATCTCTGAGATATAGTATTTTAGAAAGAGCTTAGAATGATGAGACGACTAGACGCACTCTTCAACCATGCGTTTCAATAGCTTGGCGCTTTTGGTTACCCTCCCAGTCGAACCACAAGAACATACGACAAGTCCTCGAACGCACGGTCCGGCCCCAGACGTCTTGTTGATTGAAGCAATGGCTCGAGTTGCAGCCCACAAATTATTCTCTCCTATGTAATTATTGAGAAGCTAGTTGCGACAAAATTGAGCGACGACTATTTGGATATATATTTATATCTCCTGACCTCATGAATCGGCAGTGATCGTGGATTTTTTTCATTCCCAGACACGACAAGATTGCCAGTCTCAGTATCCGAATGGGTGTTGACGAAAATTAAAATGTTTCCCTCGTATTTCATATCACGCAGCCATTCGAAGTGCGGAGTCATGGCGCTCGGAGAATTGTTCCCAGCCTTTAGTGTTCGCGTTGCGATGCGCATCTATCAATATTAAGTTAAGATATCCCAATGACAGTAGAAAATGGTATAAATGACGTACCCTACTTGGGTTGACCTTGAAGTGCTCTTTGAGCGCTGTTTGGACTATGGTGGAGGCGTATGGGCTCCCAAATCCACTCCAGGACAAAAAGACTGCAAGAAGGGGAAAATAATTTCGATACAGATAATTCTGTCTAACCGAATAACCCTGAACTTTGTACTGTTAAAATAGCAGTGTCATACGTTGTCCCATATATACCCAAGCTGATGCACTCACCTGAATTACTTGACCAGCTGCGCGATGACACTGCGGGCATTTGAAAGTCGTCTCTGTGACACTCTCCTCACCCGTCAGCTGATTCGGAGAGCAATCGATGCATCCATAGTCTCCCTGACCCTTACTGACGCACACTGGGATCCTGCAGCGTGGCTCTATGCACCTCCAGATGTACGAACCTACGTCATGACAGTATATACAACACTGTAACCTAGTCAGTAACGTTGATATAGACAGGGATTGACTACAAACTATCGTCGGAGGTTTGATTATGTCTGCAGACTTGCTAGGTAACATCGATTTCTTCTTTTCTTCGTCGATATCCATCAACATCGAGATATCGCTTGTAATCGGACTTAATTTAATGTAAGGCGCGTTTAGAGAATTCCTTTTTGGATTGCGTCGTAGACCGGTGCTTTCCTGGGTCGATACAGCTGCAGGCTGAGTGTCCGTTCTGGGAGGTTGCTTTCCCCCTGAAAGAGAAAGCGCCGTTGATGCTGTTGTCGCCACTGCGTTTGTTGGTGCCACTGGTGCCTGTGATGATTGTGTATTTCCACCGGCAACAGGAGCAGCCGTAGCTGCGGGAGGCGGTCCGAAGTGTCCCATCTTCAATACCATGTTGAATATACAAAGATCGCGCGTGCGTGAAGCTTTGAAGGTTGCGATCAACTTGGCGGCGCTCGCAAGCCAGGTGGTAAGATGAACATTTGTGTATCACGTGAGAACCACGTGCATAAGCATGTGGATTACCTATTGGGGGTATCATCACAAAACTCATCAAACGTTAACTAAGCACACAAAGCAGACTTTCCATTCAACCATGGCATTCCCAACGCAAGACCCGATCGTGCTGAAGATGGTACACCACTCACAATCTCATATTGATCTCATTTTATCTACCTTTGCGCTATTGTCTGTTAATCAAAATCAGACGAAGGTGTTGGACATGGGAGTTGGAAATGAACCTGTAAGTTCGAGTTGGGCATTGGGTGGCGCATTTAAATAATTCGTACATATCTTAGATCGAAGTTCCTCGAAAGTGTGCTGATGTGCTTGAGATCGTAGCTCATCAGCTTAAGCTTTATCGGGATATCGCCAGTGTACTGATCAAGCTCCCAAAAGCTGCCCATATCGACGAGCAGATCATGTTCTATCTATCTCTCGCCACATATTTGGCTGACGTAATCTATGGATTCATCGGCGAGGTGAAGCAAGATGGGCCGAAGGCTAAATCATCTAAGTGGCGCTCTGCGCATCTTGATTTTCATATTGCACTGGCATTACAAAATAGTGCATTTACTCCGGAACATCAGAAGATTGCACTTAAGAAGATGAATCGTACATGGGCTCAGTTTAGAGAGAAGAGAGTTTACAAGAAGATCCTAGCGCGTGAGTTCTCGATTTTCATGGATTTCATATATTTATTGTCGCTTTACATGCGATGTAGTGACATATCAAGGGTTACACAAGTTATTGTGCGCAGATGGGGAAGACATGTGTGGTGGTACCTTTGAACACAAGCTCTCGACGGATGGTATAATATCCGAATTGCTGAAAAGCATCCAGCAAGTTCCGCACGCACCAGAGACCGCTGACAACGCAGACACAGTTGTTCCAGTCAAGGGCTCCACTCCAGCATCTGAGGTGCAAATGAGTCAACGGCCTAGGGTACAAGCAACCGTTGAACCAGTTGGTAAGTCGCAGACGTTGTTGGATGTGAAGTACCTTTATCTTAAAGTTGCTGCAGCGTCTTCCATGCATAAGGAGCGTGCATCTAAGTTGAAATACGCGGACAAACATGGAACTAGCAAGACATCTGCGACGATCGCTGTGACAGGTACGGTTCTGTCAGACATGGACGCTGAGGGGGAGGTGGGTCAGCCTTAAACCTTGAAATAATTGACATGACCCATTTTAGCAGAGCGATAGCGCATGCATTGCAAATGTATTTGAAATACAGGAAGATGCGAAAAAGTCAACAAAGGGCCGTAAGGCAAACCGCAAGTCGCAGCCAGCGAAAGGAAAAGGGAAGGGGAAGAAGAAGGCAGCCAAACAACAAATGCCCCCAAAGGACGATAGCGATGATGAATTAGGTGCTAGTGAGTCTATAACACGATCAGCTGTAGGTCATCAGCCCTTGTATGGTTTTATTTACTAATGGTCATCACGTAAGTCGCAGCCGGCGAAAGGCAACGGCAAGACGAACAAGAAGGCATTTAAACAGACATTGTCGCAAAACGATGATGGCGATGATGAATTAGATGCTAATGAGTCAGATGTTGCACAGTCAGCTGTAGGTCATCGCAACTTAACTCGTATTATCTAAGTTACTGATGAATATCACGTTTGTCGCAGTCGGAAAAAAGGACTATTAAGCTCACGGGATTAAATCGGGTGCTGGCGGAAGACTCCGCTGACGATGAATGGCGCCCATTGGCTCACAATACTTCAGATGCTGGAGAGTCAGCTATGGCGAGTCATTCCTTACTCTATTATCCACGTCACTGATATTCACAACCTCAATCACAGTCGTTGGGGAATGAGAATGTTCATGGCACCCCAGTGTCACAGACGTCTCTCCTAGCTACTGACGATGATGAAAAGTACCGGTCTGTTAGTAATGATTCTGACATTCTCCGGAGGAAGATGGTGAGTTGTTCGTTATCTAATAATCTCAGAGGCTGACGTTCGCTCGCATTACAGAGGACAGTGAGCGCGAATATCCTCGATACATATATTAACATCCTAACACAAATTTAGGTTAACGAGGCTGACTTAGATCCCAATTCACTCCCACCTATATTAGGCGATTGGCCCACATGGAACAGGATCGCATTCGAGCGGGGAAACTCGCAAGTTTTTCTGAAGCTCGGCACCTGGATGCTCCTGCGATTTAGACAGCTCGCACTGCTTGACATGGATGGTGATGTCGATGGAGTTGTCATTCCAGAAAACCCCCGTACAATGGCGTTTGATAGCGAAGATCAATTCCTTGAAGCACTAGGGATGGAACGACTGTATTCTGCGATCGTCCACATGGAATCCCGCCCTCGCTTCCTCAGTCACCTCTTCCACTCTCTTGGGACGTTAGCTCATACTTCTGACATCGGGGAGAGTAACCCGAGATTCTGGTCAATTAGCTCTCCACCGCCCGTTATTTCAAGGTAAGTGTTAAACCTTTTGCTTGTACCTTCTAACGTGAATATCAGCATGATGTCAGATATGGACATTCCATGGTTATCTGTGAAAGGCGAAGACACAGATGTCGCCGATGAATTTGACGGAATGGTCATAGGTGACGATGATCAGCATCGTGACATGGAACTAGATCAGAGGCCTACAAAGCGTAAGCGAACATCTTCCATCGCATCACCGCCAAAGGTTGGTCATGACGACACTTGTGATTCTCTTTATATTGACGTATCACAGAAGGAAGGTGGTCGAGGTCCTTCTAAACGTCCGAAGGAAATACCTTCTCCCGTGCCTTCTGAATCTCCCTTGCCTGATACCATCGACGAGATGCTTGTAACGGAAACGGAGGTCGCTCATATGTCAACATCAGCTATTGCGTCCGGTATCACACCTTCTGACACTCCTTTACACGATTTGACATCACTTCCATCTGACGCAAACGAAGATGACGTCACGAAATCACAATTCAACGAGGACAATATCACTTGTCCAGCACCGTCAAACGACCAATCATTATTGTCGCAAGTGTCCGATGTAATCATGGACATTGACACCTCTATCACGTCTATTCCGACCGAGATTCAGATATCTCACGGTGACGAGGCCTTGGTGGATGTCGCTGATGCTGGATCATCGTCCATCACTCCCACACAAGTGATCCTCCCATCCCAGCCGACGATGGACGAAGACTCAGATGTAAGTCCTTCTAATCTGTCAGAAACACCTGTCAACAATGAGATAGGAATGGTTTAACACTATGACTCGCTCCCATCGCTGATGTAACGTCTACATATTCTTTCGAATACTTTCATTACCTGTATTCGTACCCTTGATGGTTGTACACATGATAAACTCACGATTGATCTCGAAATACGTCACGGCTGATGCCCATTACGTGATGTGATCTGGAAAAACTTCACAAAATTTGTTCAAGCATGGATCGGTGTGGCTCCCCTCGTTTTTCTCCTAGCTCAGCCTGATGCCTATTTGGACTGTGATTAAATAAAGGAGCAGACGTGTAAAATATCAAGAACAATGCATGTTACTTAATATTCGAAATACGACAGTCTGGGGATGATGCGTTGTAATTGATCCTAGTGAAGATATGATGCAAACATAAATGTGATATCGGTGTGATTTATGCTTGCAGCGCCCGGACTGTCGGTGATTGCCGTGGTCGAGTGGCGCACATTGTTTCTTATCGCTGATCAGTAACAATACACGCCACTCTGCTCTGAACCATCGCTATTCTTCCAGCAAAGACATGTCTAACTCTGATAATTCGACCTTTGAAACCCTTGATCTCACTACCGGAGTGTTAGGCAGCCATGTCCCAGAGAATAGTCCGACCATCAAATGGAAGGATGGACATGTGACCATTCTTCCGGCGGTGTACAACGAGTCCAACGTAAATGTTTGCGAGGCAGTCGATATACCAATCATCAGGTTTATGGCAGAGTTCCCCATTTCCAAACCTGGCTCCGAGGTTGTCATCCACTTCCCACACGATGCCCTTGCGCGCAAGGGTTTCTCTCATGCTGTCGGCTTAGGACTCAGCCAAAACAAGCCAGTCGTTATTAGAGGCGATAGACGCCAGGAACGTTGCAAAGATCTCTCAGAAGATTACTTGCATGATACATTCGCCATCTCACCGCGTCGACCTGTGTGCATTCATGGTAATGTCTTGAATTCTTCTGCAGACGTGCGTTATATCATTGATTATATACAATAGATATGATGTTGCGTTCGAAGAACCATGTTACCCCTACATCATCCGGCACGATACAATCATTCATCCTATCGATGACTGATGAGACAAAGATCCAGTGTATATTGGATCTATCCCTTGCCCAAGCCGTCCTTCCGGAGCCACTGAGGTAAGCTATGAGACCTTCCAGGACTCATCTAGGAATTTTTCCATGTTTCTTTTCTTGAAAAGTCTATGACCTAGGAGTGGGAGTCCAGGACTCCCACTGTGTGCAGGCCTTGTCACTCTTGTACATGCTTTGGCTTGCATTTCTAGATAGTGGACGACGGGAGTCCTGGACTCCCACTGTGCACAGGCCTAGTCACTCTGCTATTAGATGTCAAAGTATTATCTATTGTGGATGTGGGAGTCCAGGACACCCACTGTATGCAGGGATGGTCCACTACCATCCGCCACTCTGAGTGACACTGATCTCATAGTAGTTCTATAAGTCCACTTCATAGACATTTTGACTTGCTGATCCATGCATAATGGATGTTATATGCATAATGGATGTTATATGCATAATGGATGTTATATGCATAATGGATGTTATATGCATAATGGATGTTATATGCATAATGGATGTTATATGCATAATGGATGTTATATGCATAATGGATGTTATATGCATAATGGATGTTATATGCATAATGGATGTGGGAGTCCTGGACTCCCACCATGTGCAGGCCTTCTTACTCTGGTTCTATATGTCATTTGCTTGTACACAATGGATGAGGGAGTCCAGGACTCCTGCTGTGCACAGGCATTGTCACCATGTTCTATATGTCATTTGCTTATACACAAAGGATCGTCACTATGATTTTATTTTCCATGTATTCATGCACATGTCATGTGGGAGTCCTTGCCTCCCACTGTGTGCAGGCCTTGTCCTTCATAGACATTTCGACAGGTAACAATTTTTGACTTGCTGATCCTTAGATACATGCAACTTATGGATGTATTATTGCTCAGCTACTAGATGAACAACCTGATGATAGTCATTATTGATGAGATGTGGATGGGACTCCTGCTGTGTACAGACCTGATCAGTATGGTTTTTATTTCACTTATATATGCATAATGGATGTGGGAGTCCTGGACTCCCACTGTGTGTGGGCCTTCTCACTATGATTCTATTTTTGATTTGTATATCAAGTGTGAATATGGACTCCTGGGCTGCTGCTGCTTGCATGGTGCATCACCCTAGTTTTATATTTCATCTATTTATCAAGTGTGAATGTGGGAGTCCTGGACTCCTGCTGTGTGCAGGTCTTGTCACCATCTTTGATTTATCATTTATTTATGCAACACAGATGTGGGAGTCCAGGACTCCCACTGTGTACAGGTCGTATACCTCCGGTTTTATATATCATTTATTTACCAAGTGTGGATGTGGGAGTCCAGGACTCCCACTGTGTGTAAGCTTCATCACTCTAGTTTTATATTTTATTTATGTATCCACTTTGGATGGTGGACTCCTGGACTCCTGCTTTGTACAGAGCTTGTCACCATCTTATATGTATAATTTGCTTATACACCATGGATGTGGGAGTCCTGGACTCCTGCTGTGCACAGCCATTGTCACTATGATTCTATTTTTTTCATTATTTCATGCATCATGGATGTGGGTGTCCAGGACTCCCGTTGAGTCCAGGTCTTATCACTCAAATCCTGGATGTCATGTATTTATTCACTATAGATGTGGGAGTCCTGGACTCCCACTGTGTACAGGCCTTGCCACTTATTGTGGTGTTCAACCACCACCTTAACACCCACTGCAGATGTCCATCTCATAAGATATAAGGTAGCAGTCATGCAGATTCTACCTACCTCATGTGATTGCGACTGACTGTGATGCCTCACAGGATAAGTGTGTAAGCAGATGCGAGAGTTACTGATATTTCAAATAACAAATGTTCTACTCCATTTCTGTTAATTCTGATTAACAGAAAATGTCCGCAGTATTACTGTCAATGTAACTGTGTAGCCGTTTAATGCATAAGGGTCTGTTCGGACATCAGCCATTTTCAAAATTCCAGTTTAACACATACAAGACCAAATAGTCGGAGACCGAAAATGATGTCACGCTGATGCTAATGATAATGAATTTGATAGCGGTCACCGAGCCTATTGTGCCACGCAATGCATCCCAACGACCTCAATGCCGACTTCGATATGCTAGACCTGCTAGATCCACTAGACCAAGATGATATTGTCATTGAAGAACATGATGACAGTTTGGATGAAGAGTCCAATCATGCTAATGCAGCGGACTCCGACCAGCTGGATGTAAACGAGCTGCACTGGATAGACACGATGTTCCGCGGTGCTGCTCGTGTAGCAATGGCTATTGCTGATGCTGCTGGCCAAGTACTCCAAGATCACACACACACTCACTACAACAAGCAGCCCTATCATACTTCCGCCTTGTCTGGAATGACATGGGTCAATGAGCTCCTCACAGGACATCCAGACCGCATACGATGTGAACTTGGTGTGCGGCGCCATGTGTTCTATGTACTGTTGAATCTACTTCATGATTCAGGGTGCAGGAATTCAAAATATGTCCCGCTTGAGGAGCAGCTCGCCATCTTCTTGTATGCAAGTGTCACAGGTCTCTCTGTTCGCCATCTTGGTGAACACTTTCAACGCTCCAATGACACGATATCAAAGTATGTGATTCCCCAGTGTGATAAATTCGCTCATTTTTTTTGAAGGTATTTCAAATGTATTCTCAACGCATTTTCCTCCCCCCCCAATTTATTCATTGTATGTCCGGCTACCCAGCGCAGACAGTCCAACACCTCTCGAAGTCCTTCGAAACCCGAAATTCTTCCCATACTTCTCCAATGCCATCGGTGCTATAGACGGTACTCATATCGCATGCCACCCTAGTGGCAAGGATCGCGATGTGACTCGCGATCGTAAAGGCAACTTAACTCAGAACTGTCTCATAGCCTGCTCCTTCAACATGTCGTTCCTTTACATACTGAGTGGCTGGGAGGGATCAGCGGCCGATGCACGTGTTTATCATGATGCTCGCATTACAGACTTCAACATCCCTCCAGGCAAATACTATCTTGCTGATGCGGGATTTGCTGCATGCGATGAACTACTTGTGCCGTATCGTGGAGTACGCTACCATCTTGCTGAATGGGGTCGTGGACATCAGGCGTAAGTAATGTTCAACTTAAGCTAACTTGTACTTACATTGTTTTGTAGGCCCTGTAATCACAGAGAATTATTCAATCTACGTCATGCCATGCTCCGAAACGTCATTGAGCGTATTTTTGGTGTGCTCAAGAACCGCTTCAACATCCTGCTTCTCCCACCTCATTATAACATGGATGTGCAGGCTCGTATACCTGCGGCACTGTGCCTGGTGCACAACGTCATCCGTATTCACGACCCAAACGACATGATGGACTACCGCCAGGTTGATGTGAATGAGCCGGAGTATAATGTTGGCACACTTGCAGAAGGTCCTCCCACTGCAGAGGCACGCACACGTGCACACCGACATCGTGACGAGATCGCCCTTCGCATGTGGGAGGACTACAATCTGACGAGAGAGCAGAGAGGTCAGTCAGTCATAGCGGACAATCTTTTGTAGTCGTTTGCGTCAATTTTATGTAGTCATTTGCACCAATTTTTCATAGACGGTTGAGCAGCAAAGTGTCATAGTATTTGGTGCTGCTACTACTACTAACAATATCAAATGCGAAGGTGATACAGCGAAAATTTACTTCAAGTATGTCGATAAGAAAAGCTTCCGGACGCTCTCCTTCTCAATGACAAGGTACGAATCAGCTATGGCAACATCTGCTTGGAAATGCTTGATAATTTCGACGATCTCATGGTCCTCCAGACCCTCCTTCTGTAGCTGGATGATAGCCTTCTGCTTGCGCACCGGAATGGGATCCACTGTGGGGCGCGAGGCAACCTGAGTTGCGCGCTCATGCATGACATCTGTTGCGCGATCGAAGGAGGTGGAGAGACCACGAATCTCCTTGGACATGCTTTGGAAAGCTTCTGGGACAGCCACACGTGGTGACTTGATGGACTTCCCTGACTCGGATGCAGATTTCGTAGAGCCCGGAGGGCGAGCAAGCGATCTCATGTTATCACCTGATTCTTCAGCTGCTTCTCATTTGCCGCTGGCAATGGTAGAAGTACCTGGTGTAGAGGGAGTGAAGGTGGGCCGTTGCATCGGATCAAAGAGAGAGGGTGGCTCAGTCATGATGGTGGAGGGTGGCGGCATCATGGCGATATCTACATCCTGCGACTCGATGTCATTCAACGCTTCCTCCTGGTCGAGTATATTGGCTTCATCATAACTGATGCCATCTGGGAGGTGAGAAGAGGTAGCGTGACTCGGAGCCCCTACCAGCACAGCGTTGTCAGCAGGCATGCGGGTGTAGAAAGCACGGCTTCCACGTGTATTTGGCGATGGTAGGAGTTCCTTCATTGCTTCATAGTGGGGCCAGCCTTTATTCTTAAACTTCCTTGCAGTGATAGGAGCCTGGATCATATTAGTAGTTGCCAGTGGTAGCGGAGTATTGACAGCACTCACTTTCGATGAGCCCATGTAGTCAGTCCATACCGTCTCAGATTCAGCTGTGATGTTGGCGCCATGCTCCAGACTGTACTCCCATCCAGAATAGGTCGCAATTGAGTCTACAACACCAAACGTGCTACGGAGCTGGAGGTCTTATTAGTATAGACTCTAGTACTGGTGCAACATGATGAGAACTTACCCGCACCCATTTCGATTGGCATGCATCAATTGTCTTCGGCGCACCTTGTGTGGTATGTTTAGATGTCTCATTAGAAGCAGAGGTCCAGAAGGTCTTGTCAAAGTTCATTCCGTTACCACCCTTAGCTCGGTGGGTAGCGATGTATTGGATGAGGTGTGTTTCATCGTCCAGTGTCCAGAAACATCGGTCCTTGGTTTCAGGGTCCTGACACTCCGGTGCACTCTTCTTTCCACGTACCATGGTGCTCTTTGAACGTCCACGGTGGCTGAGACTTGAACGAGTCAATCTAGTGTTAGATCGCGTAGCTGGCATGTTATCGATGGGCTGATATGCTTTGTCACATATGTCACACTGACCCCCAAACATTACAAAGCACCATATGTTTGAAATTTGAAAATTCGTGGCAAAATTTGTGTATCCGAACAGACCCTAAGGCTCCTGATTAATTGATATTACAATTTTGTCTTCAGTCACTTTTTCATCACACTTGTCACGTGAGGTAGGTAGAATCTGCACGACTGCTACCTTAGGGACCTGCTACAAGGGCAAGAGAACAGCTATGGTGCCGATCGCTTAGGGGCCACTACTTATGTGCAGTGGCCAAATCAGCCATTAATGTGGTAAGGCTCTAACCATAGTGCCTGCGACACTCAGTACTAGTAGCATGTGTGGTAGTCAATCAAATTATTCATTGTTCGCCATCCGACACCGCTTTTTGCCAGTCACACTAATTCCCACCTCTCACGAGAAGCTTGCTGCCACCTGCGTGAGAGCTACAAGATTGCAAAAAAATGCTCAGCCCCCGATATCTGAACATGATAATTCCACACCCACCACCAATGAACCACTGCCACCACAAATAAATACTATAGAAGTATCTAAAAGCTTTGGTGTTGAATTCTGTCCAATAGAACTGGACCTTAAATGTCTTTCTGACTGTGGTTATACTGGTGGTGATGGTCAACTGTAGGCCAGATGATGATGATGTATATATCCGAAGCACACAAACTGATACACTCAGATTAATGCAGATTTATCCCTAAAAGATCAATCTTCAATCCAATACAACTCACACAGATGATAACCGCCTATGCAGACGTCATGGAAGAAGACAGAGTTATCGTAGTGCTTGACCAAGAAAAAGCTTACACCACAACTACCTGATTGAGACCCTACATACCTTCAATCTACCAGTAAGATTCATCAAAACTGTCTGAACACTATATGAACATGCACACACCAGAGTGATGATAAACAGGTTCATGAGCAGCCCCTTCAGAGCAACAAGGGGAGTCTGACAAGGGGACCCACTGTCTTGTTTACCTTTCGGCCTAGCAATAGAACCGTTAGCCTGCACTCTACAAAATTCAATGAAACTAAAAGGATACAACATACCTGGGTCTCCTTGTCTTCCATGTCTACTGTGACGCTCGTGCAATCCCAGAATCGGACCATGCTCCAGCATCCTCCACCCTCATTTCTGCATTCATTGCCTTCGCGGCCGGTTCATACTCCGGAAAGACCATCACGAATTACATTTTCGGCGTGCGAGCATGGCACATCCTCCATGGTGTGAAATGGTCCCTAGACAACGTTCAAATTGACACACTACTGAAAGCCTCAAGAGAACCTCACACCACACTCTTCGAAGCGCAAGAAGCGCCGTCCATACACTGTCGACTTCTTATGTTCACTACACGACCATCTTAATTTAGAGTCACCTCTCGATGCTGCCGTGTTTAGCTGCCTCACAGGAGTGTTTTATTGTACCACGCTGTAACACTCGGACTGGCGTTGGTCGTGTATCCTCCCTAAATTGTATGCGTGTCACACTTATATTCCCCGACACTCCTTTTACCTTCCGAGATGTCACATCGCCCTGGAACAGCAGGGCGCACCGTACTATGTAAGTGTTTTGTTTTTATTATTTGTTCATTCACAACTAATACTATGACAGGGCTTCTATCACACTAATGGTGTCCCGGTCCTTGAGTCTTTTCTACAGGTCCACGCTTCCCTCGAGCTCTCATTGCGTGCTGAACTTTCAGCAGGCACCAGTGATATTCATTCACCTCATCCTTGTCGACTTCGACATTTCGGCCAGCCCTTTCTCCTTGGCTCATTTGTTTCTTCAGCCCTACTTCACCAGCGGCGGCATCGAATATCGTGAGATCGCCTACAACATTGTCTCTGACGCGTCCGGTTACCGCAAAACCATCTGTCAAATCATCAAGGACCTCAAAAACTCATTCGCATGGGAACGTGTGGTGGTTGGTATATCCACTCACACTGACAATGATTCAGGTGATCCTTTTGCCAGGTACAGTTTGGATGGCGAGAAGCACTATGCTGGCGCCCCAACTGAAGATGTAAGTTTTTGTTAAATTTTTCTGCCGCTGATTACTAACTAGAGACTTGAAGTTCTTGGAGGGTATCCTTAGTCCATGGCAATCTCTCCTGGACCATGCTGACGAAACCTACCTGTGGCTCTTGTGCTGCAGCGCAATTGTCAACAACAGTGACTCGTTTGCAGGATTGCAACGCGCAGTAGTTCAGTAAGTTCATTTAAATTGCATTTTTTATCTTATCTGACATTCTAACAGTCACAAGCTCTCTGCCACAGTCGCATTCAATGCTGCACGTTTTCAACCATCTTTTGCATCCCATTTGCTCCTGGCATTCACTGAACAAGTCCTTGTGGAATGTTGCCCCATTGGCCTCGCATTTGGTGACATGCTGGCGCAAGCTTACAAACTCGGTCGCCACACTGATGTCTTCTTACTGACACCACTTGTGGGTAGTCTGAAGGTCTCCAAGTTTGTATGGGCTGATGTCAAGTTCCGGCCTTGGGGCGGCTTCCTGCCAATCCAATGCCCAAGCTGTGGGTGGACTGATTGTTGGAGGTCAGTCTTTGTGAGGGCTTGCAAGGATAAGGTCTATGTCTTTGAGTGCAAGAATGACACCTGCACCCAGTCTTTCACCTTCAGCCCTCCTGAAGGGGCCACCATGTTGACACCAGGTAGGAAGCAAGGGTGTTCATGGATGCATGTACCTTTGAAGCCATTGTTGACTTGATTATGTACATTTCTTACTTTGGTTACTCAAATTTGGTCACTTCATATATGTCTTAGCTTTAGACAATAATGTTTGGTTGTTTGTGAATGAAACTTTGGTAGATGCACTTTGTGGATTTTGAATATAGTGAAAATTGTCAACATAAATGTCACATGACCTTGTTTGTAATGTTGAGTTTTTCAACAATGAAGTCTCGTCCAACAGTACATCTGCAAACTTGTACCGGCCTGCATCCCTGTGATTCTTATTTGTCAGATATAATGGCCAGCTGGACTCTTGTTTTTAGCAATGTGTTGAATGAGCACAAAGATTCCTTTGTAGCAGCTAAAGGAAATTCTGTCATCAGGGCTCGCATCCTCAAGACAATCAAAGATGCTATAGGCAGCAGTGAAGCAGCCAAAGACCCTTGTGTCATGCTTCCTGAGAAAAATCTGCGCAAGGTGAGCTTTTATAATTGTGTTCTATACTAATCTAATCAATACAGGCTGTTCGTGCCTATTATTTGGACTTCCTGGAAGATGATGAGGATCGCAAGGCAGAGGAAGAGATTATTGAGGGAGGAACTAAGGACACATCTGCTCCAGATGCTGTTACTGTAGAGATGGTGAGACAGAGGGAAGATGATAAGCCTGAGGATGCTGGGAAGTACAAGACAGAATTCTCTGGTTTTGATGTCGTCCAAAAATTATTTAAGGATGAATTTGCAGAATATGACAAGCAGCACAGAGATACCTCCAACCCAAAGTCTATGGGTCAGAGAACAAGATTGGCCCGCATGTGGCACCAGGCCATGTCCCCTGAGGTGAAGAAGGAGCTCGAGCGAGTTACAGGAAAATGGAACCAGGAAGGACCTCCTGCAGATACCAAGGACAGGTATTTTTTTCCCAAGATTCTATTGGCATACATGCTATATAACTCAACAATACATCAACAGATACCGTACCCATAACCAGAAAAAAATGATGGAGGACTTTATGGACATGGTCCGGAGAACCATGAGATTGCATGTCGTCATCCTTACAGCCTATGACCGAGGTGAGGGAAAGGCTCCTGGAACTACTGTGTAAGTGTTTTTGATGCTTCATATTGTTAATAATGACTAACTTGTTTCTAAAGCTGGGAGACTTCACCACAAAAGGCCAAAAAACCTTTTACTCAGGCAACCAAAGACAATCGGAAATGGGCAGAACATGCTCAAGATCGTCTTGCCAACTGGCTTCTCGAAGGAGAATATGGTAAATGTCTCTTTTAATTTTTAAATTTAATATGGTAGCTAAAAGTCTGTCAGCCGATGGAGAGGTTAGTGATGGAGAGGACGACAATGAAAATAATCTCCCAGATCTGACTGTTGAGGTTGATGATGATGGTTATCCTTGCCTACCCACAGGCTTTGTATCTCTCAAGCTCAAGCACAGGCAACAGCTTGTTCAGACTGTCTTTCAAAAGGCCTACGGTGAGTTAATTTGTCTTATGTGATTGTATCATTTACTCACTTGCCCCAGCTGTTATTACCAACAATCCCAGGGCTCTGGTGCCCTGGGGTGAGATGTCGACCGATTCCAATCACTACTTTAATTCAGGATGCATTCCTGAGAATGTCGTCATCAGGGATCCTTCCCACCTGCAAAAGGACACGATCACTGCAATATACTCCCACTGGAAAGACCATGCTAGTCATGACATGCCGATTGTACGTTTTGTTGGATATAGGCAAGCTGATTTCTATGATGCTCGCACTAAGAAGGGAGCTGCAAAGGGCAAGTCAAGGACGAAGCCTGCCTATGTTGAAGTCTCTTCAGATGAGGAAGGACTCTTGAACAAGGTCACTGATGGTAAAAGCTCTTCAGATGAAGATGACGTCGAGGTGGAGACTCCGACCATTCCTGAGTCCAGCCCCAAATACTATCTTGCTAGGGACATGGTCCCTTACCTCAAGTCTCTCTCTACTGTCCCTTCATATCATTGTCTTCTTACTGCGGTTCAAAAGCTTCCAGTATGTCAGATCTCTTAACCTCATGATTTTACATTGATTTTGTCTTTTTTAAAGCAAAGAACAGATTCAAAGTCAAGGAAACAGCATCTTCCTGTCTGGGCTTCTTGGACATGGTCTCAGGCATATCTGCCTCAAGACATCCATGAGGATATGAAAACCACCTCAGTTGCCCTGGAGCATTTGAGTAACTACCAGTTCGATTCTCGTGGATGGGGCATGGTTGTGGCCCTGGGACTTAGACTCCTACTTCGTCAGTGTCGTCGTGCTCAGGAGTATGAAGCCAACAAAGCTGGAGATGATGTACCTAACTACTTGGGTAACTCTATCTTGGGCATCCAGATGGGCAACCAGACTGAGGAAAAGGTTGTAGAGATAGGGGCAGAAGTTGAAGCCATGCTGAAAGATGAGAGCCTGGGGTTGTCTATTGTGAGGAAAGACATTGAGAAGAGGTGTTCAGAGAAGAAAAGGAAGTTGAAGGAGAAAAGGAGAGTCGAGGAGGAGAAGAGGGTTGAGGAAGAAGAAAGATTGGCTAAGGAAGCAAGCAAGGTGGACAAGAGGGTAAGGAAATCCAATGCTAAAGGGAAGGGTAAGAGGCCTGCTGCAGATGTGGAGGAACCATCCAAGAAAAAAATGAAAGCTTCCCCTTCTGATCCATCTTGTTGTTCTGCCAGAGACAAAGCACCTCCAAAGAAGTACAATGTTTGAAATATTTGATATATCATTCTATACATCTTGTATCACAATGGCTTAGAGTTGATTAAATGTTTTGTATATCTGTGCTTGAGACTTAAAGAAATATTCAATATGGCACTGGCCATACATGTTTGAATATAGGTCATTAATCATGCAGCTGGCCCATTTGCATGTACTGCACAACCAGGCCGGCCTTCATTGGTATGGGTCACTATAGGTGCGGCCAGCCCCCTTTTCATACAGTAGAAGCAGGCCGGCCCACAGGAGTATAGGCCATTACCCATGCAGCCGGCCCATTTGTACAGACTGCACAACCAGGCTGGCCCTCATTGGTATGGGTCACTATAGGTGCGGCCAGCTGTCATATCCCGCGTTCCGGACCCGGACCTATCACACTCATCATTTCTGGATTTCCGGATCCGGCCGACTTCTATGTATCGTCCGGATCCGACCCACGTCTAACTTCCGCGCCTTATCCCTTTGGTATTTCCCTTATCAGTTAGTACGCTTTATTTTCCGTTCCTTATTCATTTCCGTCTTCATTTTACTAAGTTCCGATAGACTAGTGATAGTCGTCCCATATGTTTTCTTCATAGCTTTACATAGCTTCGCACTGCACTTACTGTTCTCCGTTATGTCCTCAGTAGTATATAAACCCCTGTACAATCTCTGTAGTTTCCTCAGTTCGAATATCATATTAGACTCTGCTCATTCTCTCCTCCGTCCGACTTGAGTTTCTCTCTCGTCGACCTCCGCTCGTCTTAGGATCGACTCCTATAGACTTGACACCTCCGCCTCTACCTCTGGTAGTCCTCCGCTGTTTCCTTTCTAGTTCGGACTTCGTCTGGATTAGTCTTATCTCTTGTTTCCGAATGTCCGCCGGAATTCCCGCGCATCGGACATCGGACTCCAGACATCGCCCGACGCCCTCCGGACATCGTCCGGTAACCTTCGGACATCGTTCAACAACCCTCAGGAAGTTAGGGGCACGTACTCGGGTAAGGGGCGCAGCGCACGAGCTGAAGCCAAGCCCTTCGGATCCGACCTTTGAGCACGTTCTTAACAGTATATTCGAACTCACACCTTACCGAGTATACTTACATCTGACTTCATGGCACCTACACGGGCACAGACCGCTCTTAATGCAGCGGGTGTAGTAACCGCCCGACGCGACTCTACTCCCATAATTGATGCCTTCCTCAGTTTCTCACAGCGTCGCGCTAGTGCGCAAGGCGCTGCCTCCAGCATCTCACAACTCATGAATCGCCCACATCCGTCTACCCCCACCCCCACACCCGCCAGAAATCTTCCGCACAATGATTCCGACGATGAACTTGCCCTAGGCGGTAACCCGCCGGGAGGAGGTGGCGGAGATCCGGATGATGAACCTCCGGAAGACCCGACTGACGATGAAAACGAAGGTCTAGGTCCACAAGACTTGGTCTTCCTCCGGCTATCCCAAGCCATCAATAACCTGGTACGTAACAACCGCCAATCCTCCGGATCCGGTGATCCTAAAGTCAAAGTCCGAGAACCGGATACCTTCGATGGCACTGAGCCCCGGAAACTCCGGGCGTTCTTTGTCCAATGTGAGCTTAACTTCCAAGCTAAGCCGAAATCTTTCCGTACCGGCCGAACTAAGGTCAACTTCGCGCAATCATACCTCAAGGGCATGGCCCTTGAATGGTTTGAGCCGGACCTCCTTTCGGATGATCTAACGGATCGTCCGGACTGGATGGACGACTACTCCGAGTTCATGTTAGAACTCCAAACTAACTTCGGACCTCATGACCCGGTCGGAGATGCGGAAATGCAGCTGGAACAGCTCTACATGCGCGATGGACAGCGCATCAACAAGTATGTTGTAGAGTTCCAGCGGCTAGCTTCCCAAGTCCGAGGTTGGGGCGATGGAGCTTTGCGCCGTCAGTTCTACAACGGACTTCCGGCTCGCATCAAGGACGAAATCAGTCGTCAAGGAAAACCCACCACTCTGTCCCAATACAAAACTCTCGCCCAGACTATCGACGCTCGATACTGGGAACGCAAGGGAGAAGTCTCTCGCGAAACCAAACCCTCCGCATCCGCGCCTCCTGCTAAGCAGTCAGCTTCCACTTCCGAACCGGAAAGAATACTCCGGCGGAAAATCCGGAAACGCTTCGGCTTCCTCCTCCGCCAAACTTCGGACTTGACGTCCAAGCTCGGAAAAGACGGTAAACTCACCTCCGAGGAACGCCAGAGGCGCATGGAGAAGAAGCTCTGCCTCTTCTGCGGCGGACCCAGTCATACTGCCCGGGACTGCCTAAAGTCCACTTCCCGTGCGGCCAAAGGTCGTGCTAGCACGGTGACTCCGGAAGCCAAACCGGAGGTCTCAGGAAGAGACAAAAAATTAGTCCGCAACCCTCTTGACTCCGCGCGGGATGAGGGTTGCGTTGACTCAACCCGTGCAATGGAGCTACGTCTCAATGCTATTTCCTTTTCCGATCTGAACTCTCTAGTACCATCTGTTTCAATTTCTACTTTTCCCGATATCTCTCCGTTTCCGGCTCTTGTAGATTGTGGATCGTCTCATTGTTTTATAGAAACCAGATTAATCCGAGAAAATAACATTCCAACCTATGCAATTCCTCCGCTTCCGCTCCATCTGTTTGATGGTACTTCTAATGCCACTATTACTGAGGCAGTAGATTTACCGATCCGGTTTCCGACCGGCGTGGTTACCTCCGAAACATTTTATGTTACTCCGTTGGACTCATCCTGTTCCATCGTTCTAGGATATAGCTGGCTCACCCGACACAATCCGTTGATTGACTGGGTAAAGGGCAGCATCGATTTCCGTCCGATTCCTCATGGAGTGCCTCCGTCCCCTCCGACCTCTTTTCCGCCGGCTCCGGCGGAAATCCCTTCCTCAACCTCACCGAGTCCCTCCGCTGATAATACCGTTCCTAATATTTCCCTAATCAATGCAGTTGCCTTTTGCCGGGCCTGTAAATTAGAGGGGTCAGGTCCAGTTCAGTATTTTTGTTCGTCCATCCGGTGTCAATCTCCGCTCCGCTACACTCTCCTCCGAACCTCCGAACCTATCCGGAATCCCTTCGGAATATCACGAGTATGCGGATGTCTTTGATAAGGGCAAAGCCGGACAGCTCCCTCCCCATCGTCCCTATGATCTGAAGATCAATTTGGAAGAAGGAGCGGCTCCGCCCCTTGGCACCATCTATTCCCTTTCTCCGGTTGAGCTTGTAGCTCTTCGCAAATTCCTTGATGAGAATATTGCGACCGGACTTCTTCGTTCCTCATCCTCTCCGCACGGAGCCCCTGTCCTATTCGTCAAAAAGAAGGACGGCTCCCTATGCCTCTGTGTAGATTTCCGAGGACTCAATAAAATCACAAAGAAAGACCGCTACCCGCTTCCCCTCATTTCCGACCTTCTCGATTCTCCGAGCCGCGCTAAAGTTTACACTAAGATCGACCTCCGGTCCGCATACCATCTAGTCCGGATGGTGGAAGGAGACGAGTGGAAAACTGCTTTCCGTACGCGCTACGGCTCGTATGAATGATTGGTTATGCCGGAGGGTCTCACCAATGCTCCGGCGGCTTTCCAGCGCTTTGTCAATACCATCTTTGCCGATATGCTTGACATCTGTGTTATTGTGTACCTCGACGACATCCTCATTTATTCCGCAGACCTTGCATCCCATAAAAAACACGTCCTTGAAGTCCTCCGACGCCTCCGGAAGCATCGGCTATATGCTAAACCGGAGAAGTGCGAATTCCATTCCGACTCTGTAGAATACCTCGGTTACCTCCTATCTCCGGCCGGACTTACAATGTCCTCCGACAAAGTCCAGACTATCTGCGACTGGCCGGAACCTCGGAAAGTCAAGGATATTCAATCGTTCCTCGGATTCGCCAATTTCTATCGTCGCTTCATCTTTAACTACTCGGATATTGTAGTTCCGCTTACGCGGCTCACTCGCAAGGATGCTCCCTGGAATTTCTCCGAGGATTGCCGGAAATCTTTTGAAACTCTCAAGAAAGCCTTCACTACCGCTCTGGTGCTTACACACTGGATGCCGGATGTTCCTATCGTCGTTGAGACGGACGCTTCTGACTACACTATCGCCGGAATACTTTCTATAGTATGTCCGGACCAGGAGCTCCGCCCGGTTGCTTTTTACTCCCGGACCCTTTCGGCTCCGGAACTCAACTATGACACCCATGATAAGGAACTTCTAGCTATCTACGAAGCTTTCCGGTCCTGGCGACACTACCTTGAAGGCTCTGCCGAGCCGATAGACGTCGTCATGGATCACAAGAACCTTGAGTACTTCGCTACCACAAAACTCCTCACCCGCCGCCAGGCCCGCTGGTCGGAATACCTTCACCAGTTCAACCTCATCATCCGTTTCCGACCCGGAAAACTCGGAGCTAAGCCCGACTGCCTAACTAGATGTTGGGACGTCTACCCCAAAGAGGGGGATAAGGACTACACTCAAGTTAATCCACACAACCTTCGGCCGATATTTACCACAGAACAGCTCGCTTCGTCCCTCCGGGCATCACACCTAGCAATTCCGGTGCTCCGGACAGCTGTACTGATGGATGTCGAGCAGCTTCATAAGGACATTCTGTCCGCCCTCCCTAATGACCCTATCGCTTCCTGTCATCTTCCGGATCCGTCGGACCCGAGATGGACAGTGGACGCTGTCGGACCCGAGATGGACAGTGGACGAGAGTGGTTTCCTCCGTTGCGACAACCGTATATACGTTCCAGAATCCAATGACCTCCGTCTCCGAGTGCTCCGGAATACGCACGACCACCCGCTATCCGGACATTTGGGTCAGAACCGGACCCTGGAAGTTATCCGTCGGGAATATACCTGGCCCGGAATCCGCGCATATGTGAAGGACTATGTTAAGTCCTGCACGACCTGCGCCCGAGCTAAAGTTCTGCGACACAAACCATACGGATTATTGAAGCAACTTCCCATTCCCGAGAAGCCGTGGAATTCTATATCCATGGACTTCATCGAACAACTCCCTGATTCCTCCGGCTTCACAGCCATCCTGGTAGTCATAGATAGACTATCCAAGCAATCCATATTCATTCCGACCTACGACACCATCACCTCTCCGGACCTCGCCCGGTTATTCCTCCTCCATGTGTTTTCCAAGCACGGAGTTCCGTCTCATGTTACTTCCGACCGCGGTACGGAATTCGTTTCCCACTTCTTCCGGTCGCTCGGAAAAGCGTTAGATATGATCCTCCATTTCACCTCCGGATATCATCCGGAAGGTGACGGACAAACCGAGCGAGCTAACCAAACCCTAGAACAATACCTCCGGATCTACTGCAACTATCAGCAGGATAATTGGTCGGAACTGTTACCCTTGGCCGAGTTTGCTTACAACAATGCTCCTAGTGCTACTACCGGAGTTTCACCCTTCTTTGCCAATAAGGGTTATCACCCGAACATTTCCATACATCCGGAACGTGATCTTTCCTCCACCCGCGCCCGGGATTATGCTATAGATTTAGATGAGCTTCACCAATTCCTCCGAGAAGAAATGTCCCTTGCCCAAGCAAGATATCAAGGACCCGCGGACGCTAGACGGAAACCCGCTCCGGACTTCAAAGTCGGAGATCAGGTCTTCGTCAAAGCAAAATATTTCCGCTCGACCCTGACCATCGAAAAAGCTCTCGGAAAAGAATCTCGGACCATTCGACATCATCGCTCGTCCCGGCACCCACTCCTTCACCATCCATCTTCCGGACGCTATGTGATCCGTGCACCCCGTATTCCATGTCTCTCAGTTAGAACCCGCAACTCCGAACACTATCCCTAATCGCATCCAACCTCCTCCGCCTCCGGTACTAGTCGACGGAGAACCGGAATACGAAATCTCCGAAATCCTGGACTCCAAGATCGACCGCCGGAGACGTCACTGCCAACTACTATACTTAGTACGTTGGGCCGGATATGAAGGGACGGACGAAGAAACTTCCTGGATACTCGCAACCGAACTCGGAAATGCGCCGGAACTTCTATCGGATTTCCATTCAGCATATCCGGACAAGCTGGGACCAACTTCTAACAAAGAGTAAGGAAAAAACATGCATATATGTACATTATTTAGGTGTCCGACATCCGGACTTCGGATCCAACGACCTAAGAGTCCATCTCCATGTCTCCGCCGGATCCGCCGGCCTCTTTTTCCGCCTCCTCCCCATTTTCCTCCTCCGGAGCATCTTCTACATGCATCCGGAAACCGCCCCTCAGACTCTCCATGAAGAGAGTCTGAAACTCCCTCTGCTCCTCCATGAACCGGAGCATGGTCTCACTCACCCGGTCCATCGCAGCTCTACTTCCCTCCGCCGCTGCAATACCCCTCTCCATCAGCCCATTCAGTCCGGGCCAGTTCCGCAACTATGTTGTTGGCAGCTGCGACCCAGGCCTGGTCGTCGTACTCCGTCCAGTCTTGATCCTCTCCAATAACCGTCCGGGGATTGGAGACTATTTCTATGTCGTCGTTGATGTCCTCCGGACTGCGCTGACGTCTTTTTCCTTTGCCCTTGGGGCTTGGAGATCCCTCCGGACGCGCGCGTTTCTTGCCTTTGCCTTTGCCGGCCGGCGCCTTGACAGGCGGATTTCCGCCGACGCACTTTTCCTTGGACGCGCGGCACTGGTCACAAGTCCGGATCTTTCGGAAATCATCAGTAGTCATCCGGATCCGGACAAAACAGAAAAACTCACCCTAGGCGTCCTAGACGCTACTGCCCAGGTGCAAATCTTGCGCCTAAGGATGCACATCTCACACGCAACCTCCGGATCCGCCGGACCGGAGGACTAAAAATTGTTAAACTCCGGAAAAACGCAAAAAACCTCATCCGACTCACCTCCGACGCATTACCCATCCTAGCCTTTGCCAAACGCTCCTGCTCGCGCTCAGCCAACCTCTTCCGAGTCTCCTCGATATCCTTCCGTTTCTGCTCCTCCATCCGTTTCCGTTCCTCTTCCGCCTCCTTGCGCTTGCGTTCCTCTTCCTCCGCCTCTCTCCGAGCGTCCGCCTCAAGCCGCGCAATTTCGGCCGCCATTTCCGCCTGTCTCTCTTCGAGAACCTGCCGGGCGGTCTTCTTGTTGCCGGAAGTGGAGTTAGACATGTTAAAAGCAGTAATAGGAGTTAAAGGGAAAGTTTTAGACATCTCATGGGCGCCCCGGCCTACTTATATGCTCAGTGCTATTTTTACGAGCTCCGCCCATCATCTCGCATTCATAAAAGTCCGGTCCGGACTTCCGAATCAGAAGCCTCGTGGGCTCGGCCCTAAAGGGGGGATACTGTCATATCCTGCGTTCCGGACCCGGACCTATCACACTCATCATTTCTGGATTTCCGGATCCGGCCGACTTCTATGTATCGTCCGGATCCGACCCACGTCTAACTTCCGCGCCTTATCCCTTTGGTATTTCCCTTATCAGTTAGTACGCTTTATTTTCCGTTCCTTATTCATTTCCGTCTTCATTTTACTAAGTTCCGATAGACTAGTGATAGTCGTCCCATATGTTTTCTTCATAGCTTTACATAGCTTCGCACTGCACTTACTGTTCTCCGTTATGTCCTCAGTAGTATATAAACCCCTGTACAATCTCTGTAGTTTCCTCAGTTCGAATATCATATTAGACTCTGCTCATTCTCTCCTCCGTCCGACTTGAGTTTCTCTCTCGTCGACCTCCGCTCGTCTTAGGATCGACTCCTATAGACTTGACACCTCCGCCTCTACCTCTGGTAGTCCTCCGCTGTTTCCTTTCTAGTTCGGACTTCGTCTGGATTAGTCTTATCTCTTGTTTCCGAACTGTCCGCCGGAATTCCCGCGCATCGGACATCGGACTCCAGACATCGCCCGACGCCCTCCGGACATCGTCCGGTAACCTTCGGACATCGTTCAACAACCCTCGGAAGTTAGGGGCACGTACTCGGGTAAGGGGCGCAGCGCACGAGCTGAAGCCAAGCCCTTCGGATCCGACCTTTGAGCACGTTCTTAACACCAGCCCCCTTTTCACATTGTAGAAGCAGGCCGGCCCATAGGAGTATTGGTCATAACCTATGCAGCTGGCCCATTTGCACAGAATGAAATACTGGGCCGGCCGGTATTGACCTTTGGGGCAGCTGTTCCCCTTCACATATGCTAGGGGCAGACTGCCAGAATGTTGGGTTCTTCACAATTCACTGTACACTATCAATGGCTATAACTTGATATAGATTATGCATGACCTGGCCTTCATAGTGTACAGTAAATTTTGAATAGCCCAAGATTGATGCCCTAGCCACTGTATATATTTTACAATATTCACAGATTCACCATCACAGTGATATGCAGGGTGAGGATGGCTCATCACCTCTACATGCATGTGTTACAGTTTTGTGGGTCACAACTGTACTACTAGTGTATTGCACAGATTTTGTAGGTTTTATATTATTTTTTTCATTAGCCTTTATCATCAGTATTCAAGTTGGATCAAAGGTAATAACCTCATCCCAATCCTTTGATCCAACTTGAATACTGATGATGTTTGGATAGTTTAGTTACTGATCCAAAATTGTTTACACTGCACTGTATTTTAGATATTACCATTTTTTTATACTGGAGGATGGAGGTCTTCAAGTGCCTTCAAAACCATACTAATCCAAGAGCTACCATTAGCCCCTACAGTGTTTGGCATATCTGTCATTTATACTAGAGACACCAGCCTGTCCAGGTCCTGCAGATACATCATTTATACTAGAGACACCGGCCTGTCCAGGTACTGCAGATATATCATTTATACTAGAGTCATCGGCCTGTCCATATTTCACATAGTCGGCCGATCCTGGATATACGTACACCGGCCAGCGTCCGGTAGGCCAGGTTTTGCAGGCCAATGTACACATCCTATGACAGGGTTTTACAGTGTCATATGACTGAAAGGTGTGGAAAAATTGTAAGGGACGGGTGACAAAATGGTGGGGAGAAATAGAGAAAGGAAACGAACTCGACGAACCTATTTGTACCGATCCTCACTAAATATCGAGACATATTGGGCAGTACCTAATGAGGATATCCAACAGCCGATCAGTGTTTCTGCCATCCTAAAATATTGTTGTCTACAGCTGCATGTTTGATAAGTGCGAGAGTAAGCAGTTTAGAATATGATCATACCATGAGAGTTGCGGAAAGAGGTGTGCGACGAAGTGCCTCGCCTGGTTGAGAGTCATCTACATGAAATTATTGTCTGAGTAATCAAGAATATGGGCGTGATGTGTGACATTCATCAATGACAACACCGTGAAGCGTCGTGATCAGGCGGCCAAGAATGAGTTCGAAGATCTCATCCTCCATCTGATGGGGTTAACAGCTGAGCAAACTCAGGACGTAGAAGCTAAATAATAAGGTAAGAATAGCGCCACATTGGATATATAAACTTTTACCTTGAGCATGGAGAGACACGAAAATGAAGTGGCCTTGTAATACCATGAGACCAAGAGCATTGTTGATTAGAATAGTATTGTACCATCAAGGGCAAGACGTGAATAACATAGCTGATCACACATCAGCGGGTCTCATAGAACATTGAAAGACAGGACTTACAATGGTACAGGGTGCAGCAGAATACACCTCCGGGGCCTAAGACACAGAAATAAGCACATGTTTGACCATATTCTGGAATAAAATTGTACCTACGGGGACATATTCCCAATTGAAGCGTCTGATCCATTCCTCAAAATAGTTTGTAGATCATGCTCTAACGTAACCTGAAGGAAGTTGATACCCTGTAAGTGTTTAGTCACGAAGTAGACACTAATGAGGGACACAAACCTTGTTAAAACCAGTTGGCGAGTTGGAGTTTGAGAAGATGTCCTTATGAAACCAGCCCACGATGCGAAGAAATGTCAAATAAACGCATGGGTGAATATCAAACTTTAGTACAACTGATCAGCACCTTGAAACACTGAGACGATATATCAGAGCACACCTTGTCTCTGAAATGAGATTGTTTGTACCAGTCTGCAAAACGACGAGTGATATGGTCCTCATGGTGGTGTCGCTGCTTTATAGGATGCAACTGAAAGCGATGTTGCAATGTAAGGGTTGTGCAACTGGTTGCAAAGGACTTCAGTGGGCGAATATATCGAAGGATCATGGCAAATAACCCACCTGCTTCAACAGACTCCATGAACTGATCACTGTAACGGGCCCGAGCCAAGAGGTACTTTCATTTGTTGACGTTATACGAGTACAGAATAACTTGAATGACTCAGAAGACTTGGCGGACGGATCCGAAAACATGAGAATCGACCAAAAAGCAACCAGGAAACAGGAGAATGCACCACCCGGATGCAAGATTGACATGATTGAATATAATATTAATATTGAAGCTTCGAAGGTCGCATTTCATCTGTAATGTCGACTGGAGACGAACGGAAACAGATACAAACTGCTATACGTCGAAGTTAGTCGCGATCACGTGACATTGATAGTTGATGACACCCAAATCAAATTCCGATAATTGATAGTCAGCTACTTCGTAGAGTTGGTGAACGATGATGTGTATGTAGTACAATGTAAACATATGATGGGACTAGATTGAGTAGAGATTCAAAGTATGTAAAAAGAAGCATTTAACCAGGTGATTTCGCTAAGCCAACTTTGGAATTTTAAACCTAGAAGTGGGAAGCTTGGATGACGGGAGAGCATGCTTACGCTCTGAGCCCTCAGCAATCACTTGATTTCCCTCATATACCTCCTGCAAATCGACGTAAGAAGCATTGTCACCCTCCTCAGTCACAAAAAGCGCCTTGTACCACTTGAGATAGTGTTTGTGGGCGGTGGTGTCTGAAGCAGAATTGAGACACTTTGAGGCTGACTTCCAGTTCCAGTCAGATAAGGTTATGATACGTGCTTCTGCAAGAGTGGTGAAGTCGAGATCAGGTTCGATCTGCTCCTGAAAAGTGAGAAATGACTCCTTGATCTTGGTCAAGCCTCGTTCAAGCATCTGTGTGACGGCGTTCATGTCAATCATAGGTACCAAAATCTGCATCAGATCCGTTACATCGATTTGAAAGGTTGAGAACGACGAAAACTTACACCGTACACCATGTCCGCAGGATCATTGGAACGGATATCTATCGGAGTCTCATCTTTTCTGACCCATACAAAGTATTCGACTGAAGCAACGTGGCACCAAGTGTGGCCCGCGACCATGATGGGCTCACCGAATGAACGTGGCGTGGTGCGAAGATTGATGAAGGATTTAAGAGAGAGGGGTTGTGGTTCATTGTCAGTTTCATTGTACAAGGCGTTTGACGCGGTGGAACCTGCAACCAGAGCGGCATACTTCGTAGCTTCGCGTACTAACACCACAACCACACAGATGAGGTCCGGATGCATTGCTATCACATCTTCCACCTTTTCAAATACATGCTCATCCGTCTCCGTGAGAGAGCACTCCCCATAGAAGGGGATCAGGACAACTTCTGTGGGTCCCTCCAAAGCGGTGACGGATATAGTCATATCAGGTATGATCCATCTGTCTTTGGTATCGAGAGACTGTCCCATGTGGATCTTGGGGGAGATGATGTCACGATCATATGGAAGAGCCTTGATGACATCGCCTATCAAGTCTTTCAGATCGTCGAATGATGTTTCATGGAGAACGGTGGGCATGCTGATGATGAGAATACGAGTGTTGTAATTGTAAGCTAGCCTGCACGAGTTTAGCATTGCCTGAAACAGTTAGAATCAAATGACTTGCCTAGGCTTGATCGACTGCCCCCTACGCGCATCAGCAGAGAGGGTGATGCTGCACGATCAAAGGTCGTATGTATGCGATGCTGGACTTTGCTCGTCTGCCAAGATCGCTATGGGGAGAAGCAGCACTCACGGCATGTTATTTATTCAATCAAACAGAGTCACGTGCGTTACCACCGGGTAGAAGCATTTTACGATGACTTGAAAGAATCCCTCTCCTTCGTGATCCGCTGTTTTCCTTACCATCGCAGGACCATTCGCCCCCAAATACATATGAACTATTCCCTCCAGATTGAGGACAAATTGGCCACGCCTGATTTGATCATATCACTGACCCCTACGCAGGGACCTACTGAAGTTGTGCTTATTCCCTACATTGGAGAAACTGCGTTGACGGAGGAATGGGATCACGTTTTTGAGAAGATGGAGTCGATGATCGCTACACATCCCGAGGCAATCTTAGCATCAATCTGTCTTAGTATGAGAACACCAACGCTACGCTTCTCCTCCACTCAACTCAATCACGACGGAGACACTTGGAGTATTTCATTTGGTTGAAAGGCGAGAAAGATAAACCAATCGACATGCGGAATGGCAAGCCGGAGCACAGGGTGCATGGCGTAAGTTCTCACTATCGTTCTACGCAACGAATCACTCAAATGATCATCATGTTCAGACTTTAGTGCCTGAACTGCACATGGACAACATAACGAGGATATTCGACCTAGGGTTAGCAAAGATGAAAGACCTCTTCCTCGAATTCCAGAAAGAACGTGATCCTGCCGTCAATAGTTCTGCTCTAGAAAATTTCGTTTCCGAACTGTTCCCCATTGAGTGGGATCTTAGCGCGCTGGGAGTCATGTCTGCAGTGGATCTCACTGCCCACTTGTGTTATGTCGGTTGGCATGCGGTTTGTTTCAGGGATGCGAAGCATTCCCGTGATTCGTCTTATGTCCCCTCGGAATCAGAGGACAATAGCTCCGTCTCTGGGGCAAATAACACCAACAATGATCAACCTACCAGTGCAAGCACCCCAAAAACCCCTCGTGTTCCCTCCGAGGACGTATTCAGAATGATTATGGTAGGTCCCAGCAAGTCCAATTCTACTGTGACACCCGTGGCGGGTACCAGCACCAAACCCTTGAACATTGCTGCGACGAGTACGTCCAAACCTTCGAAGGCCAAGACCAAGCCTCGCCGCAACAAAGGTTCAAACAAGTGTACAAAACATTAGTGCGCTTCAAGCTTCATATACCAAGTCTGGGGGCGTCTCACAATGCAAGTTCATCATGTTGATTTTCAATATCTTGTTTCACGCTTTTCATGTTTTCTCAACGAGGTCCATGTTCATCGCATTTCCAGTGTTACTCACTCCTACCGTAATCGATAGACAGTGATGATCATGATCTCATAGTTGCATTTCCTTCTACTAGTAATAGTACCTCTACGTTGTATAACTCGAATCAGAAAACTTTTCCACGTGCTATTACACACATGTAGTAGGAGGCCTAGATAAACCCACAAGCTCTGCACTTATTCTCGACAGTATCATGATACGGTCAGTACTAATGGTAGTGGTCATTTGGGTCATAAATTATTGTTTTTGCCAGTGGCCGATCATGTGGTCACGTCACGCTTGAACCAGTTGTCACCTGCATCGTGTCACAATGATGTCCGGCTGACTGGGAGGAAAGGTTAATAATTTCTAGTGGCGTATCTTGCCTGAGGTACTGCCAGTACTTGCAATCACGGTGAGTCGGATGATCATCATGATGGCATACTAATACTACTACTACACTACTAGTAGTACCGTTGAACTTTAAACTCAAGACTCCGAGGCCTCGACTATGATTGTGGGAATTTTCCATTCATAGTCGTGATGAAAGTTGCATACTAATTGTAGTCGACTCACTACCAGTGACTCACAGACTTTCAAGTTGACCCCGATCATAGTTGAGCGCTGAGGTGAGTGATAATTCTAACGTGTGTGTGACATGCAAGTTGTCTAACAAAGTAGCAGCTACTATGCTACGATGATGCATTTCTTCGCACACCTCCGAGTCCGCCTGACGATAGTTGATATCCCAGTGCTGCGGCTGCTCGACATAAGCCATTCATCACTACCTACCAGTACTGGAAGTGAGAATTTGTCCTTAGCTATCTCGTTTACCACTGATCATCTCCTTGTCAGTGCGACTGCAGGCCAATGAGAGTCGAAACTGTTCAATGCAACATTTATATCCTGCTGGACAGGACTCTATATGATCAGTATCAAGTGAATCTTCCTTGTACTCATAACCAATTCATGCTAACAGTACGGCGTCAGCAAGCATGAGGAATGGTACGAGCGCCTGGGCAGATGGCAAGAGGCACTTAACACGTACGAGAAGAAAGCTCAAGAGGATCCAGACTTACTCGAGCCAGAGTTAACATCCTTTGTTGGAGAAGGATATGGCCAGTCTCACAAGTGAGTTAGGTCTTGTACCCGAGTTTACTGTGTACTAACATAGGGCAGCACTCTTGTTCGCGCACAGGTGCTCTCGGAGCTGGAGGAGATTATTGTGTATAAACAGTATGCAGATCAAACCGACCACCAGGCAGCAATGCAAAAGACTTGGATGAAGAGGTGCGTCTTCAAGACTTGTGCAATACTTGCCCTTACCCTTCACAAGACCGCAAGGCTGTCAACCAGATGTCAAAACCTGACAATGGATTCTGCAAGTTAGAGCCCTTGTCCTCAACCCAGAAGATGATCCTGTTATGTGGATCAAATTTGCGAACCTTTGCTGCAAGTCAGACCGTATGGTATTGACAGAGAAGACGATCAATTCATTGCTTTCACCGGAAAGGGTGCGTGAATGACAATGTTCTTACATTACAATGATTCCATTTCTGTTTTGTTTTCAACTACAGCATCTCCGAGACGACCAGCACTTGAAAGCTCCTCTAAACATACATAACTCAAATGTATGTGGTCCACCGGCGCTCGTGAGGAAAACCTCAACTTCTTGTGGCAATTCTCTCTGCAAGCCTTGCAAGGGATTTGCAGGTGGAAACTAAGGATCACTCACAAAGATCTGGTGTTGGTAAAGCTAAGCTGGAAGAACTCTCACGTCTTCTCGCTCGTTGTTACTTTAAACAGGGGCAATGGCAAGTAGAACTGAAGGAAGATCGGGGCCCTGTACGTGCGTTAATCCTAGTCACATCTCTTACTCACTAGCTGGTCAGCGGAACGTCAAAGACATACTGCATTCGTACCTTCTGGCAACCCACTATGATCCTAATTGGTATAAGGCCTGGCGTACATGGGCGCTAGCTAATTTCGAGGTCATTGGCCATCTCGAGAGTCAAAAGGAAAGCATGGCTGCCAACATCCCCGGGAGTGGGCTTGCTGCCCACACCGTGCAGGCTGTTTAAGGTCAATTTATTCTTTCCAAAGTTCAGGTTCCTGCTCACTCTGAAATAGGGTTCTTTCGCTCGATCGGCCTCCGAAATGAGAACACTTTACAAGATACTCTTAGGTTGCTCACGCTGTGGTTCAAGTTTGGCACACACGACTATGTCAGTCAGGCCATGGCCAACGGCTTCTCCATGGTTGAGGTTGATATGTGGTTGGAAGTCATTCCTCAGGTGAGCGAAAATTAGCATTTCTTGTTGAAATGTTTCCTTAGATCATTGCCTGCATCCAAACTCCAAGCATCAATGTGCGGCGAAATATCAACAACCTTCTTACCGAAGTCAGAAAGTACCACCCCAGGCTCTCATATATCCTTTGACTGTAGCTTCCAAGTCCTCTAGCCCATCTGGGAAGAATGCAGCACCTGAAATCGCGAAGTACAAATGTGCAATGGCCTCATGTTGCTAGATGTTTTATTAAAGAGGTCGACTTTGCTTACGTCTGGTTACGCTTGAGAGTGACCTCGACGAGGATGACGTTATAGCGGAATGGAAGGGTGATACTAAGGCTTTCTTAGATATTACCCCACCCCGTCTACTATCATTGAGGTATAGGTTGAGTCTTATCACCTCAGGATCGTCGATCGTCGATCGTCCTTCATACTCACAGATACAGATTGCCATCCATCTACAGTTGAGATTGAAACCTGCCATGTACCGTCCACAGTAAGCGGTGTGTAAAGCACGCGCATTATTTACACCTCTCACCTCTTTCATTACAGACCAAGGCACATTCGGTGTTGATTTCTGATTGGCAAAGACCTTCGCTCTGTTGACAGAACAGGTAAGCTTTTCCGCGTGCATGTTGCGCCCGTTCTAAGATTATACCTAGGCAGATCTGATTCATTTGCCGTCTTCACTCCCGACGGCATAAAGGTGTTCACATCAAATTAAGCTCTAATTGGTCAGAAACGTTCGAAGTTGATGTGGTATACCCATTTGCCATTTATTGAGATATATCTTCCACTGAATAGCATGTTAGCCGATTGGAACCAACCCAAACAATCCAGGAATCTTGGACGTTATACCATTAATTTACGTGGTATTGAACCTTCCAGGCCGCCAAACAGGTAATTGAGCGTGCCTCTGAAAAGCATTCACGATAAGCCGGCTTCGAATTGCTGGTGAGACAGAGGAATCATGACGATCGATTCAGACTTCTCAATGATTGAAATAAAAAACACGTCGAATGTTCTTTGCCCCTAAGTAATTCCAGTCTAAGCATGCCTTCGGTCAACTTGACTTTTCCTTCCAGGTTCTAAAATGTGGCCTTCGCATGTCCTTCTTCACTTGCCTTGCCCTTCGCAGTGTGATTCATGCACGACCCGTGCTTGCAGTGTCCTCGAGACAGACCTTGGCGCTCCGTGCGAACTACTCGGCAGCGGCCGGTTTGTCGAAGGAATCCATACAGACACGCATACTAGACGTACTAAAGGGCTTCGAGAAAGTGGACATAGTCAAGGTCAGTATATTTTCTCCAATGTCACTTTATTGACTGTACTCCATATCAACTCCCGACTTCATGGATGATCTTGGTTAGATGCAGTTGAGGTGGTTTGACAGTAGGGGAGGTACGTGTCTATGTCTGTATTCACAGAGAACTATATCAACATGTACCACTTCAACAGGAGTTTGTCATGGACTCGGAGATTCCGGAGGCGGAAGTTGATAAGATCAAAACCGTACAGCAAGGTTGACAGCATCTTAGCAACACCGCCGTAGGACAGAACACAAAGGTCAGTCAGTATAATTGTCATTTGACTTTACCTGAAGCACAATTCTACTAGCATCTTTCCTCTGAAGAAACACGTCCTAGTGGATATTGTGGGATAACTAGGTGAGTATATCGCAGCCGTGAGGGATCTATCCTAACATATGAACACCATTAGCAACGTCTGCACAAGACGAATGTTACGTCGCCCAATCTTTCGATGGAACACATGTAGATATCTTTTGCACTCTCCAAGATCGATTAAGCAGTGAATGATAATCATGTTCCCTATGCGCATGTTCAAGATTCGACGGGAGTGAGTGTTGGAAAAGCAACCCATCTGCCACGCCCTCATACTCACAGGTGACTATACAATCAAATACTAGACCCCAGTCAGCGTCTTGCAGTGTCACAGTCACTCGATTGTTTGTTTCATAAAAGTTTCATAAGGCCTTTAAACCTTGTAGAATCATGATAAATGATTCAAGAACCGAGGATTGGAGGTTTGGGGTCTTGCAACCTCAGACTATCCGATTTATCATCAGGGACTTGTATTTCCGTTGTTCGAGGCTCGAGCCGAGGGCCTGTTCAGTAGGCAACGATAAAGTCTCGATTCAGTGGCAGGCATCACTGGCAGATCAGAGTGCTGGAAAGCTCCGAACACGTTCATTAAAATTGAACATGGATATGACATAAGTACCTCGAGGTGCGGACATGCACTATGATATGTAATGTTATGGCCACCATGAAGGTGAGATTTAAATGCTTCTCGCGCCGCCGAATAACGATTGCACTCGGACTCCCTTCAAGTGCTGCTGTCCCAGTTTGTGTTGAGTACTATCACCTGAACGGCGTAGCACTCAGACATGCCCCCACTGCATACTAGTACGTTTTCCTCTGTTGTGTCCCACTCGAAGTCATTATTGACGATTGCAACGTACTAACTAGAAAGCAACAGCAGTCACATAAGTCTCGATGATATCAAGTTTTATGATCCTGCACGTAGGACTAAAGCGCAGCGCACTGCGAGGCAAACTTTCACAGTAGCCGCTCAGGCTGCAGCGGATAGCGCGTCGTTCTGTTATTACCGGCCTCCATCAGTTCCATCCCGGCAGTCTTCATCAAATGTAGCACTTCCATCGAGCTCTCCATCCGTGTCGCCATCACAATCTCTTCCGCCTCCTCTTGTTCCTCCCGTTTCTCCTCCCCATCCTGTTCCTTCTGTTCCTCCTGTTTCTCCCACTCCCGATCCTCCTTCTCCTCCTACGATACTGCCATCTCCTCTACCCACATCCTTGCCATCCCCTGCATCAGTCACGGTAGCTGCAGTATTGCCAGGTGTTGCTGTGGCCAAGAAGGCTGCCAATTTGGACGAGGTCTTTGAGGATATATGGAAACATTGCATAAATTTTGTTGTCTCTGAGTCAGATGGATAGTATAACTATACTAACAGTGCAGTACTAGTGACTCAGACTGCATTCTGGTGGTGCTAGTAGACAATTCAGTGATGCTTCAGTTCACCTCGTGAACATCAGTCGGAGCCCTCTCAGAGTTTAAAAATGTCGTCGATTTTGCATCCCTATTTGACATTCCCAAATATGTTTAGCTTGAACACTGTGGCTGTTACCGACTGATAACCATGACTGTCAGATAGTCAACACTTCCGGTACTGAGCTTGGTGAAATTTGAGGTGGGACCTGAACTAGCAGCGTCATTTGAGTAGTATTTGAAGGAATCGAAAGATAGTACTAGTCCTCAAACTGCCACCGCTGTCTCAAGCCTGAGAATTATTTGCGACTCGAACTTCCTGCACGTGACATTCTACTGATCCTTCCGGAGTCAGGTATGTACTAGTATTTCCTCGATGGTTTGCCCTTCAAGTTACTTTTTGATCACTTGTTCCCGGAGGTAGAAAGACAACTGCTCAAGGTTAAGGTCTGTCTCTGTACACTCATGCTACTTGGCACGAGTTTCACCTGCAACTGGAATCTAGGTATTTGGCCGTGGGCAGCGATGCGATAGGTGCACTCATGGAACACGTTTCAACGGAGATTCTTACGCATAGTACGCAACGAACCATGCAGAATAGACCGTGGGTCCTGTACCATCTGAAAACCGGGTTCCGTTCTTGCTCTGGGCTGGTGTTACTGTGGTGTACTCATTCCTAGCATCATGGTCACATGTATTGTCGTGGGTGTCCGGTATGGCCAGAACGTTGGTATCACAATTCTAGGTGAGGCACAACTCCTTCACAATGACCGGTGCTTGAACATCAGACTCTAGTCATTGTCTTCTCATGTATGTTTAGCTTCATTGGATGTGAGAGTGCCGGCCGCACAAACATTCATCCTGTGGCATCTATCGTTGAGTGCATCTTGGAACATGTGATTCTATACTGACATCTATCTCAGAAGGTAGTACTTCTCGACTAATCTTTGTGGTATTGGCAAAGGGCAATGATACTCAGTTCAGAGAGGCGAGTTCTCGAATTCGTCATCAGGAATGCTTGCTTTGGGTATGTATCATGCTTCTCTGAACTACTGCTGATATGACTGACCGGCACCATCATGTCCATCTTCATGGCCGCGTTTACATTGTTTTCTCGACTGCATATCCATGCATCGATGATCTCTCCTACACCACTTGCGACCTGATGCACGATCTTGAAGGGTGGGTTCTTATTCATGAAACTCTACCTTTCATTGCATGCTATTGACCAAATCAACAGGCAGTTGGAGTTGCGGTCTCATCATCGAACCTTCCATCCCACCATCATCAGGGTATCCAATAGGTTTGTGTATTGCGGCTGTGATTTTGGTTGTTGCGGAGCTTACTATCGTCCCGCTGAAATATTGTGTTTGGGTTCCATAGGTTTCTCTGTATATTACCTCAAAACGAAACCTTACAAATTAGATATTCAGGAACCTTAATGCCATTAGCATCGGTTTCATTATGAGTGAGGAACACTTCGAAGCTATTGTATACTTCTAATGTTGTCTCCCTTGAAGATTCATGCACCTATCCATTGGCTATGTTCTTCGGCTTGACGATCGCTTTCTTCTGGCACAGAATGCAAGTATCTTTGCCGACTGCACTTTGATAAATTCACAGGTTGTTCAGGTCCTTCACCCACTATGAGATGTATTGCTTCGCCGTAGTTGCTGGGTTCATTACTGGCGAGGGCTTGGGTGGCATCGTGAATGCGGTGTTGACGGTCATGGGAGTCTCTGGTGCTGTATACGGAACGACATTTGGCTGCTGTAACTGGTCACGGTGGGCGTTCGGTTCATCATTCCGAGTCAAGTATAAGTTAGGGCTTACTCTGTTACAGTCATCGTTTCACTCAGTATTCCTGGTATCAATACCTTCGCACACCAGAGATTTCATGACAATTTCGGTACTGTCGTTCCGATCTTATTCTCCTAGTAATGACTCAACTGACCTGACTTCATGCAGTCAGTTATCTCCAGCCTGTCAAACCTATTAGTAAGACCTACTACGTTATGATACCATGTTTCGAGGGGTGAGCCTCGCTTAGTTACACCCACACTCGTATCCTCATTTGGGATTGCCCTATAAGTCTCGACAATTTAGTGAGTGTTATATATAATGGTCTGGCAGGCAGGGGTTTTTTTACTTACCCGCATCTTCTCTGCAGCTGCTCTCTTCACCATAACTCTTTAATATCTACTCCTCGTTGCTCTCTATTCTTGTTGTTTCATCGTGACTTGACATTATCACTTCTGCCATGTCTGCGTCAGAGCCTGACAGTGGGGCATTGCCGCACGCCCTCGCACTTCCAGACATCTCTGGGGCAGTACCTACCTCCTCAGAGGCCAGGGCCAAACGCCGCATCGCCGCATTGGAAGATGAATTACAGACGATGAAGCAAGAAAAAGGAACGAAGCAGAGGTTCGTCGCATGCCATCTTCCTCGCTGTCTCTTCCTCATAGATGCTCGCAGAAAGACTACATACTACGTCGCCCAAGGCAGGGCAGTTCGCCGAATGACCGTCCTTTATACTGGCTTAGAAGATTTGATCGCTGAGAATGATCACAGATACGAGCAAGCCATGGTGGATGATGACATGGTAGAAGGCACCACAGAGTAAGTCTTTTTTTTTAACAACATATTTGATTCTATTATTCAGACAAGATCACCTGCAGCGCGGCTACCTTGTGCTCGCACAGACTCTGCCATGGATACATTCTAAGCTTGCAGAACTTGATGCCGACGAAGCTGAAGATATGTTAAAAAAGGTTCGTGTTCTCAATACTTTCACGCTGCATACTCATACTTTCATAGATCAAAAGAGGAGCCGATGCGGCCCGTGGCGACAATACATCCACTCTAAAGGATCTCGTCGCCGCCTGGGTCAATCAGGATTTTCGACCATCCTCTTTACTCAGGTCTAACGACAAATACTTGCGCGGCTTTGTACACGATATCTGTGGGGATGTTGCTCTGCCCTGCAGAGTGGGATTGGACTGATGACTGGTAAGTAATTACCTTCATGAAACTAATACATGACGCTGAAGCCTAGGCAGCATGAAGGCTGGCATCCGCGACAGAACATCAGACTTCATTGTATCAGAAAATTCTTGGCCGGTATTTGTGTACGAGAATTACTCGCTCGATGAGAACAACCTCGAACAGGGTCTCTTTATGTCCAAGATCCTCGTTCAGGTCAGTACATCATGATCGTGTTGTACTAGCTTACTCAAACTTATTACGGTGCTAGGCTTTCAAAGCTGTATTTACGTCTCCATCTTCTGCAAGAGAAGCTGATGGCGATGGTGATGGAGCCGACATCCTCGAAAATAACCGATGCGCCAGGCGGGCATTAAATCAGGTCAAGGTTAAAATGTGTGTTGCCTCGATCATCAACATGAGGAAGGTCACCCCTCACTCCATCGCTTATGTTGTCTGTCAAGTGAGTACAATGATTATTTACCATCAATGTCTGGCTTAGAATCGTTTAGGTTCGTTTTGCGCTATCCAGCATCTCATCATGGCGCACCATTGATGGTGACTTCAATTATGAAGTATTTTGGAACAACATCGTTGATTTCTTCGAGGATGTTCCTGGCCCTGTCGCACAACGAAGGGTGAGCAAACTACTCGAATGGTGGACTAGGTAATAAGTCCTGTGGTCTGCTATGTATCATATCTAACATCACTGTTTAGGAAGATTTTTGGAAAAAATCATCGAGAAGATCTAACACCGGAAGTTGTATCCAAGATGTCCGTTACAGCACTAGCCGAGCAGAGAAAGAGGCTGGAGGATGCTGCTTTTGACTCGGATTAACTTGACCCTGACATTATCTATCCGATGTAATGTTTTTAATGCAATCATAAATGTTACATTCATTGTTATACTTCGAGATCGCAAATGGGAAGGAATGATTTTCAGTGATGATGATAGACTTTTTAATGTGCAATCTACTGCAATATTTGTTGCACCTTTCAATTCTATCAAATCAGAGATGCTTTGTAGGTGACACAACTCGGGCAGACATCAGTATATTCAATTGCACCTAAGCGGATCATGCAATTCCATCTTCGTAGTGTTCAGTCTCCAAGTGACAGATCATTTTGCCACACCCAGTTTGATGTATCCAGTGTACCAGTGGAACGAAGCAATGATTGTTGTCACCATTATTTGTATATACTGATGCTGATTAGTATGAAATGACTTGCCCTGCGAACGCAATCGTAGAATCGTGCAACTTCATATAGATTTTTGCTAGGCTTCCTAGCAGAGAAATTTCTGGTGGTATTCAGAACAGGCGTGAATTATCATCTGGATTTGTCGAGGCTGATCAGTACGAAACAACTTGCTGTGCGAACGCAATCCCAGAATCGTGCAACTTCGTATGAATTCCTGCCAGGCTTCCTGGCAGAGAAAATTTCTGGTTGTATTCCGAACAGGCATGAATTTAGTGGTTTAGGGCATCGTGCTTAGCGCTTGCCCTGTCTTTAAAATGGGCTGATATAGTATGCTTTGTACAAAGTAATCAGCAGTGTCAGACTTGTGCGAAGTAATTACCAGTGTCAGAACGATACATTACAAATGTTTCCAGAACAGCGCGACCAAATGTCTGAGCTATTTGCTGTGTATCAATTCTGTGCGATCGCTATGTCGTTGCTCAGACACATAAATATATATCTATATATTCAAATTGGGTACCTTCGTTGGTAAATGTCCTATGGGCTGGTATGTATTTTGATGTGTGAACACGCACCATAGTTTCTTGCTGCCCCCACATTTGCGATAGTTCCTGCACACATGAAACGCACCTCTTGCGTTACAGGTTTGAGTTGCACAGAATTAAATTGAGGATGGAGCACGATCGCCAAAAAATGTCGAATGTAGCAGACTGCCAATATCTGGCTGGAATATGCAACCACCCTGTGACTGTGTGAATCGGGTATCACAAGCAAGATTACAGTCGAAGCCCTCTTATCCCATAGCCCTGGTAACCCATACTCCCATATACTCCATAGTTTTTTCAAGTTACCAAGTTGGAATGCGGGGGATTTCAACCCATAACCCATAACTCTCTAATACTCCATAATCCATACCCTTCATGACATAAAACCCATACAATCTACTAGTGTATTTTTGGTACATTTGTATCCCAACCCTAATTTGTAGAGCGCCAATGCGCCACAAGCACTGTATATATTCTCTTGCCCACCAAATCAAAACAAACCATGGCATTAAAGTCACTTGATATCCTCAAAAAAGGCCTGAAAATCCTCAAAAATCGAGTCAAAGTGAGGAAAGAGACTCTTCAGGCTCAACTAGCTGCAAGGAAGTCAATCTCACCACAAGATGAGAGTTGGCTCGATGATGATGCCAATCTGGTGGATGAGCAGCAGGCCTTAGAAGTACTTGAGGATGCCTCAGACTATGAGAGGGGTTTCGAGAGACTGGATGAGGCACAGAAGGGTGCTGTGAGGAATTTACGAGAGGCTGCAGGTGATCTCAGCAAGGTGGTAGGGAGCAAGCGAAAATGTATGTGTGTCTCTTGTCATGCTTGTTGCAGGAACTGACTAGATTAAAGGGTCAGAATGCAAGCAAAGCGAACCCAATAAGAAGAAAGACAGTCCCTCACTGGTTTTCACCAAGAAAGAGAATGCAACACTCAGCCAGCGCATCGAAATTTTGGATTGGTACCATGCTAATGGTGAAAATCAGTCCAAAACTGCGAAACACTTCAATGCAGTATATCCAAACCTCAGGATTAAGCAGCCCCTGGTCTCTGCATGGGTCAAGGAGGAAGCAAAATGGCGAGAAGAATGGGTGCATGCAGGAATCACAGCACACACAGGAAAACGGGCTCGTCAAACACAGCACCCTGAAGTGACTGAAATGATGGACCTTTGGGTATCGAAGGCGATGTCAGATAACCTCCTTCTTACTGGTGAGGTCCTGCGTCAGAAATGGACAAGATTTGCAGACCTGGTGGGCATTCCAAAGGATGAGCGTCTCAACTTAAGTGATGGTTGGTTGGCTCGCTTCAAAGCACGAAATGGCTTGAAGCAATTCAAACGTCATGGTGAAGCTGCATCCATGGACCCAGAAACAGCCAAAAGGGAGCAACATTGTATCCGAGAACTTATTGCCAAGCATGGTTACGAGCTATGAGATATATTCAACATGGATGAGACTGGATTATTCTATGTGTACGCACCATATCCATTCCCTTGGTTCCAATCACACTTATTTGAGAGACAGGATGCCCCCCGATCAAGGTCTTGCCAACAAGAAGTCTTCGGGGGTCAAAGGTAGAAAGGTTAGACTGACCTATGTCCTCACATCAAATGCGGATGGATCTGAGAAACTGCCACCCCTTATTATTGGGAAAGCAAAGAAGCCTCGAGCCTTTCGAAACCAAATGGGTGCACAGCTTGGCTTCTATTACCGGAACAACGCAAAGGCTTGGATGACGACGACACTATATCAGGAATGGATTCAGCAATGGGATCATGATTTGGGAGTAAAAAACCGCAAGATTCTCCTTCTACAAGACAACTTCTCTGGTCATATCGTCCCTCATGGTCTTCGGAACATCCAGGTTGAGAATTTTCAACCAAATCTCACAGCACATGTCCAGCCAATGGATCAGGGTATAATTCGATGCTTCAAGGCTCATTATCGTGCAAGATACATTCGACGCGCAATTGACATTTACGATGGAGGTGTCACTGCCTCCGAAATATATGACATCAACCAACTACAAGCTATGCGACTTGCTGACATTGCTTGGCGTGACGTGGATACCACAACTATCAGACACTGCTGGCGTAAAGCAGGTATCCTGCCTACTACAGACTCTCCCAGTGTACTAGCTCAGCCCATAATTCCAATCTCGTCACTCTGTAACATTGATGTTACTGATCTGAATCAAGATCCTGTTGCAAATGCAGAGAATGAAGTCAGAAATGCTCTCAACAATCTGCAGGCAACTGGTGTGCTTCGGCCGAGGAACAGAATGGACATCGAGGCCCTACTCAACCCACCTGAGGAGTCGTGGATAATGGAGGAGACAAGAGATGAAGAAATCTGTCAGGCTGTGTTAGCAGCAAGAAATGTTCAGGAGGAAGGGCCCATCAATGGTGGGGATGATGATGTTGAGGATGACTCACCACTCGAACCCTATCCAACACATCGCGAGGTGTTTCAGGCAGCATCCATCATCAACAGGTATATTGAGCATCTTGACAATCCCCTTGCACGCAAGCTCGAAGCAATTTTAGCCTCTTTCGGACGTCAAATACATTCAGAGGAATCCAGGTCAATGTCTTCCACTCACCTCACTGATTATTTCACTCGTACATGATGGAGGACGAGTACACAGATCTCTTCACACTCATCCACCAGCTGGGCCTCAAAAAGATTCGAGGCTTCGCCGAGGCTGCCAATCGTAGCCATTCTCAGTTCTTTTCTCGCACTCTTACACCAGCCGGGCCTCAAAATGATTCGAGGCTGCCAATTGTAGCTACTTTCAGCTTTTCAGTTAATTTCGTTCGCTCTTGGACTCTACTTGGTTAGAATTGGTGTTTTCCTGATGTTCATACTATATCCCAAATGCACAGTACGAATTTTTTCAGACTTTTAATTGCATTTTTCAATCTATTTTTAATGAAATTCTCAAAGCCCATACTCTCTCATAAGCCATAGCCTGGAGCCATGACCGAGGAGTATGGGATAAGAGGGCTTCGACTGTATATACAATCTCAGCTATCGTAGGTTGAGTGCAAACTGCTGAACAACACCGGAAGCACACAGTGAGCCGAACACATTGATGACGGATGCAATATAGAGTAGTCACAAGAGTCCGTGCGAAGGACATCGTGGATGTCTCAGTCGGCCTAGACAAATGTCCGCCACATAGGAATCGAGTGCCTTGTAGGCAACCAACTGAAAAGGCTGTCGAACTCCAACTCGCGTTTTCTCATTATACAATCAAATATGAAGAACAGACACTCACAAACAGGGTGAACCGTTTCGGCTTTCACATGAAGTGGTCTGTGCCAACTAATATTCACACGACTGAAGTAATGTATACCAATCATGGGCGGCAACGTCTGTGCCGATGTTGATAATTCTAGACTACAATTAACTTCCTTAGCCTGAGTTTCGTATTTCTTTTGCGTTAAAATCCACTTAGAGGATAGTGTCTCGAACGCACCAGGACTTGATTGGTCATCTTCGAAACGCATCCTTCCTACATAAGGTTACATATTTCCATGTCAAACCCCCCGCCACATTTGTGAGCATTGGTGCGATTGATATCAATATATGGTATAATATAGTATTTTAATATGTTCATCAGTTCACTGATGTCAACAATCTTACCCAGTTGACAATGGAACGATTCGTCGGTCATTCTCAACACCTTTATGCGGCGGGGCAAGATCCTTCGTCAGAGCTCGCATTTGTTCGTTTCGTGTTAGCTGGCAGGGTTGGCCCGACTGCAGACGAGGAAACCGACCGGTACTAGTACTTAGTTGTCATAGACACGTGTGCTATGAGGTTTGCAACGAGCACTTGGGTACTGGTACTATACAACCAGCTAACCAGCTACACTGGGAAAAATGAGCATTTGTATCTCCAAGGGCATAGGGAATGGGCAAAACATCAGTTGCGAAGGAGATCGCGCGCAGACTAGAAGCAGATGTGCCCGTGTATGCTTGTGAGTGAGTTATTTTGTGCTCTGATGCTTTTCTGACCCACCCACTTTTGTTGCTACTCGAAATCGTCAAAACATCAATCAGCCGTACATTATATCGACCTCTCCCCGCTCGCATCTCAGCCCATTCAAACCCTCGGTGCACTCTTTCGCCACCTCTTTGCGCTAGCACGATGGCACAGCCCCACCGTCCTCGTCTCGACAGAGTCTGTGCTGCAGAGGTCGAGCACGCGGATTCTTTCCGCCAGCGACATGTAACGGAGCTCTTCCTCATGCAATTTAGCTCCAACGCATGCCTTGCACCATCCAACTTCCGTGGTATCGTGCTCCTCGCCACAGCAGAAAGCCAGACTAGCGCGCACTCGCTACTACATACGCCGCATGGCTTCAAGGATGCCGCTTCCATTCCTCCGGCGGAAAGGGAGGCGCGGAAGGAGGTGGGTTCGTCCTTCATTATTGGTACCTTTTGAGTAGAAACGACTTGAACAGATTCTCGCTAGTGTTGTGTCACGCCGGCTTGCCATGGCCAAGGAACCACTGTCATTTGTTGTCGACGAATCCGACCCACCTGAGTACGCTCGACTTGCAGTAGGGATGGAGGGCTATTCTCCTGTAGACCTGCGCGACCTTGTCACATGGACGGTACAGGTCGCCGTTGGGCGGGCGGTGTCAGAAGTGGGCGTGGGCGTTGAAAAAGTGAGCATCATTTGATGCGCATGTTTCACTATCTGACGATGGTTCGGGAAAGTCGCACTTTCGGCGAAAGATTTTGTGGAGGCCCAAGAGGGATTTGTGCCTCTCACTGAGGGGATGTGCCCTTACAAAAGTCGGATGTAGAGTGGGCTGACATCGGCGGTGCGTGCTTCTCTTCGAGAATATCTATCGTCGGTTCATTAATTGTGGCGGCGCAGGCTTGAGGGACATCAAGCTCGCATTGAGGGAAACCCTAGAGTGGCCGACGAAGTATGCTCAATTATTCAAGCAGTCACCATCGAGGTTGAGGTCTTGGTGCGTTTATAATACTCTCTGTTGTGGATCCAACTTACGGAAGGAATGCAGGCTACTCTTATACGGCTATCCTGGTTGCGGAAAAACGCTACTTGCGTCAGCCGTCGCGAAAGAGTGCGGGTTGAACTTCATCAGCATCAAGGGTTCAGAGCTGTTGAATACATATATCGGACAGAGTGAAAAATCAGTGCGTATGTAGAATGTTGTCCAAGTAAATACTCACTCTCTTTAGGTGAGAGATATTTTCGATCGTGCGTCGGCCGCAAAACCCTGTGTACTCTTTTTCGACCAGTTTGACTCGATTGTACCAAAGAGGCAAGTTTATGTTTATGTACTCTATCTGCTATATACATAAATGTTGGTCTGCAGAGGACACGACAGCACGGGCGTGACGGACCGTGTGGTAAATCAGATGCTAACCCAGATGGATGGGCTCGATGGAGTCTATGTCCTCGCTGCAACGAGGTGGGTTATGTTCATTGACCACATCGTCTGATTGTTGATCTTCCGCAAGTCGACCAGACCTCATCGACTCCGCACTACTTCGTCCCGGTTGGCTTGATAAATCCTTGCTATGCGACCTGCTTGGTATCGAGGACCGAAAAGAGGTCAGTGCCCCACTGTATTTCATATACCACATTGTCGTGTGCACCTGTTCAGATTTTGGTTGCAGTATCCCGGAAGCTAACGCTTGCACCCTCTGTTGACTTTGATCAACTTTCAAGTATCACTGAGGGCTTCTCGGGTGTGGATTTAGATTTACAGGCTCTCGTGTACAACGCACATCTGGAAGTAGTGCATGCTGCTATAGATGCTGAGAAGGCAGATGGTGGTGGTGGTGGTGATGTCGAGGCGGGAGGTGGGCGTGGGGCTGACTGATGAGGTCCCGGTGAAGTATGTGGTGCTGGGCGCTGGGAAGGATGCAGCAAAAGCTGCGTCTAAGGCAGACAACGAAAATGCAACGACGAGTAAGAAACTGCGCTCGTGCTGGCACAGATGGATATTTACGATTGATATTTTTTCTAGCTGCAATAATTAAGGCATCGAAGTCTGGGGGGGGGGGGACAGCAGGGTCGTTGTGACGCCCAAAAAGGTCTGTTTTTTCCCCTCTTCTCGTATAGATCCCTCTAATGACTGCTGTTTTCTGCAGCACGAGATCTATCAAGAGCATCTATTGAAATTGCTCAAGACGACAAGGCCGTCTGTTTCGCGCGAGGAACATGTAAGGCTGGGGAGAATGCGAGCGTCTTCTTTTCCACCAAGTGTCAATATTTATTCATCATGGGCAAACTAGATATCGAGAGTTTGTGTCAGATCGAGGTGGTGGATGATGGGCACTATGTCTGCCTTTAGGAGGAGGTATCGGGATTTCACTCCAACGATGTGCCGATACGCCAACTGCATGCCCGCTGTTTTCAACCTGTTGTTCCCTAAAGTAGGGTCTTGCATATCGTGACTGCTTCGAGAGATAACACTCTCAATCAGTGTTGGAGAATCTCGACGGGGATCCTATGGCCAAGTGCTTGTTGCAAACCCCATAGCACACGTGTCTATGACAACTAAGTAGATAGTCTATATTATAGTACATTGTACAAGCACAATAGTCTGCACAACACGCCTCACACCAAGGTAAGGTGTCGTTACATATGTATTGATATGCAGAACATGAAATGCGATGCGAAAAAGTTGTCTGTTTATTAAGCGCGGCTCTTGCCCTTGCCCTGCTTCCCCAGTGGTACATAGTCGTCATCGTCTTCTGGGCGAGAATGCGCCTTGCGTGAGTTGCCCCCATGAGAACGGGATTTGCTTCTTTTGCTTAGTCCCGCAACGAGTGACGGTTTCTTGCCTCGCTCACTGGTACGAGACTTCTTTGTGAACTTTGTATCGTCTTGAGTCGACGAAGCTTTGCGCTTGGGGTTGCTAACAACACGAGACGGGCCAGAGGCGACAATGGACGGGGCAGCGACATCAACGGGGAAGGTGCCGTCATCGTCATTGTTGTCAACAATACCCTGCGTAAGGGTAGACACATTAGTTGGTAGGTCATCGGTAGCGGTGGATGTGAGGGCGGCAGATGCACGAGATTTTTGGGAGATGACGTCTCGATGGGGAAGGTCATGACGAGATGGCGGTTGCACATCGCCCTCGGGAACCTCACTGGTTGCTGCCACGGCGGTCAAGACAGAGGTGATCTTGAATTTCTCCGAGGGCGTATACCACGTGTCATCAGGAGACGTCGAGGGGAGTGTCATTTGGTGAGGTAATTGGGTTGTTGGGGCGCCGTCAGCGGGTGCTAAGGAGAAAAACTCGTGCTGTGATGCAACATCTGTGTCGATTTGGGAACCGACATCTGAACTTTGCCCATCGCCCTCTCCATCCTTTGCGTCGGCCTCAGCTCCAGATTGAATCATCTCCTGGAGAATAGGGATCACGTCTTCATAGGTAACACCATCAGTCGTGCACATTTGCGAGAGGAGATGCTGGTTTGGGTCGTAATGACTGAAAATAAGCTCTCTTAGTTTATCCACCGAGCCAGTCCAGCATTGGAAATAATCGCTGAAGAGGCAGGCAATATTGTCTTGCCATAGCCCGTGGAGCTTCATCGACGAAATCTTCCACTTCGCAGAAGATTTCCACTGATCCGGGTTCCACCACATCTTGTCCAACTCAAGGGGCGCGAATTCTGCATCCAATCTCTGGACACCAGGAGCACGGAAGACAACCATGATGATAAGTAGGACAAAGAAGAAAGATTCGAGATCGTCGCGAATCCCGTGTTCGATACCCGGCTGGCCCAAGCCCAACATCAGACGGACTGAGACAAAAGCAGCGTTGCCCTGCAAAAGTGTATGAATTAGCGTTGGATGCGACTTCAACGAAATCTACTTACTGTTCTCTCCACCGATTCAACATTCACATCGCGAGGCCATGGATTGAATATGGACCAAGGATTTTTGTGCCTTGCGGAGGCAGATTTACTAACTCTCTTGGTGTCCCAGTCTGAATCAACATCTGTTGTCGTTTCTCGGTAGTCAGGGGCATCCCTGCCCGCTGCTTGCATACGATGCGTGCCACCACGCAAGGGAGGAAGAGATAGTGGAGGAGAACTGGGTGCTGTTGTTAGCGAAGAGGCAAGGGAGGGGGGAAAGGGAGGGGAGGAGGGGGAGGAGTGGGGGGCAGTGTATTCGCTACTTGGTGCTGATACAGGGAACCCTCTCCTATTTCCAAGACGCTCCGAAACTTTCTCGATATCCTTACACTGGGCAAAGCCCCAATCTCCAAGCACGCCGCCTATCTCCCGTCCAAGAGTACCATCTGAGCCGTCGGTCTTGATATACAAGTTGCCGATATGTATATCGCGGTGCAACACGCCAAACCGTTGATACGCGTCTCGGTGCGCTTCAGAAAACGAATCAGTAAAGACAATAAGGAAGATTTTCGCATACCTTTGATACAATCCAATAATGCCTGAGCCAATCCCGCCCTGGTCTTAAATTGTGTGATCAGCTTGATGGAGGCGTCTTTCATCAATAGTCTGAGGTGCATCCGATCCTGAAACTCGCCATTCTGAAGGGCAGTGGCGACTTGAGCTGTCGTGAGAGGACCCAGACGTGCCGCGGCTGTGGAAGAGTAGCGGTCCTCGCCCACCACATATTCTTCGTGGATTGTAGGAACGTTATCGATACCGCTGATAATGCGCAAGATTTGCCCTTCTGTGAGATTTCGACTCACATTATGCCAAGTGTCCTTGGCAATATATGCGATATGTGTGGAAATATGTCGAATCCGACGAACTACAGATCCACGGCCAAACATGTTATCTGCTACATGAAGTAGCATTTCTATCTTGTATTCTCTGGGAAACGGAGATTGCCGGGAACGCCCACTTGCGGGTTGCGCCTGCAGGGCCATGTACCGTGGTGGAAAGTGGGGTGCTGTATGACAACTGGTATCGTATCCCACCAGATCAAGGGTCCCGTATGCTAGAGAATACGCTACACGAGCGAAGTATTTCCAACCAGTTGGACCATTGATTGAGAATGACGTGACACGCATCAAGCCACCGCGATCAAATCTACGTGAAGGACTTGTCAATATTGAAACGATACATGATTGATGCAGCTCAAACCTGTAGACAACCATATCGTACTTAGCGAATCCAAGAGCGAGAACGAAGTTTCGATTGTCCTGAGAAGCAAATATAATGGAAGACTTGACTGCGAACCCAGTGTAAGCCCGACACTTTCACGATAACCATAGATGACTTCATACCGCTGATCTGATTCAAAATTTCGGTAAAGCCAACAGAAGCATACCTTTTTGATTTCATTTCACCAACACTCCGCACACATCTCCAGTCGGCGGCCATGCCTTGGTCGATTAGTGTAAGGTCAGGTTTTCTTTGTGCTTCATGGCCAGTGAGCACGGTTGTGCTATACCTGGCCGTCCAGTACCTGCTAAGTGGGCCAGCACCCATTGCCTGACCACAGCCCAGTGCAACATCGTTGAAGAATATACAGAATTCACCCTCCAAGCTCTGGTGCCATTGGGTCAAATCTGGGCATCTAGCCCAACGGCCTTTAGTTAGGTCAAATAAGTGGTTTTCTAAGATATATCTTTCTGCATGTCTGCTCATCGGATCAGTTATGACAGCTGTCCTGGCCAATACAGCAGACTGCATGCTTACTGCCATACATCATGCATGCCCGTGACCGGGAACAATTCTTCAATATATTCTGGAAATATGGTGAGCCTTTCACTCTGGTTCAAATGTCTTTGCAGGGAAACTCACCCGGTCCCATGATTTCAATTTTTTTGGTGCTCACACCTTCTTTCACCAGCTTATCATAGCGTTCTGCAACATAAAAAGCAGTACCTTTCATTGGGTATGACGATACCTGGTATGTACAGATGCGCAAATGCCAAAGGTAAGCTAGGTTGATACAACAATCGTTATCATCTGAACTGAGTGAGACCCACGTTTAAACCGACTTTGGTGGCATGAGAGACAAGCTATGCGATGACGAAACCCCGACAGCAATCAACAAATACAGCCTGGCCCAAAGTAAGTAGACCACTCACTTTTTCAGTCGCCATTCTTCAACTTTGTCCCACTGTAAGCCTGTTAGCAGAACGTTCTTGCATTAATCGCATCGATTCCGCTTGCCCACTGCCAACAGCCAAATATGGGATTACACGTATGACTCTACCCCATTTTGCGATACCAGCAGCCGGAGCACCAATCGCATGCCTCTGCATGTTGTTCTCTTCTCGGTTAATCGATTTCTCACACCTTATCTCCCTCCAATGCGTGTTGTCAAGCTTCTAGGCTCTGTTGGAAACATTTGAAACGTCCCATCAGATGAACTCTTGGGCAACTCTTTATGTAAGATGTCAAGACTCAACAGGGATGTTTGGCTGCTATATTGAAGCTTCTTGCGCTGGCAGCATGCAACGACATTCAAACACCAACGTCCACGTATCCTATTACCGGTCAAGTGAACAGTGTTTGTGTACGAGGACCTGCAGAACTTCGGTACCCACGGGTAAGACACCAGCCACTATAGTACACTAGTACTCGTCATCAATTTCTGCATCATAGCACACTTACTTCGACTATTCGCGAGATACAAGAAGATGTAACAGGAGGACGAAGAAGATCCCAGAGACTTGGACGAAGATGAATTCAGTGCATTGGAAACCCTCCACAAGGTTGCTTCGATCTCACTCGCAGTTTCTGTTCTGTTGACTTTCTTTGCAGGACCTCAAGTTGTCGATGGGTTCACAATCGACCGAGACCTTGTCAAGACTTCGGCACGTAGTTCTGAAGCCTGACTATGAGCAACTTTGGGCACGGCATATATTCACTGCGTTACTTACTAGTAGGTTCATAATACGAGCGGGTGCTAGCACAGAAGTAATGAATGTATTAATCAGGTTCCAGGTCAGATATACTACTCAGGGAAAGTTCAATCCTCCTCCGAGTCGGTCGCATCTTCTTCACCAGACCGATCAAACATGAGCAGGGTGACTTTTTGCCTCTGGCGAGGGTTGATGGCGATCATTGGGCCTCCTTTTGCTTCGCCAGGAAGCGTAGTCCATCCTTTGGTATGCTTGGCACCTGTTGCCCACATACGGTCTGCACATGTGTACGGCACCCATGCAAGCTTGTCAAATTCTACCTTGAGCGCGCCTCTGGTCTTCTTCAGAGATGGGGGTTGTAGAGTATCGATAAGAGCCATGTAACGCTGGTAGTAGGTGCAATTGGGGAAGTTTTGACCACTAGCATTTTGCGTAGCCTCAGTGGAGGAGGGCATGGGGAAAATGCGGTTAAAGTGTTTCTCCCACTGCTCTGTCGAGCATCTGTAGTATTGCGCTTGTTGGAAGGGGAGAGCAGGGGTCATCAGCAACTCTGGACGTGCGAGGTCGATGCGCCTGTGGACAGGAATGGAAAGGTATGAACCGGCCTGCTTGGATTTCCTGTTAGGAGCCTTTTCGATGACGTCAAAGCAGAACTGCTCATAGATGTTGGCAACTTTCTGATTGATAGCAATTTCAAGCATCTGCGCATCATCCTCTGCCCCATCAACTTCTTGTTCCTCGCCCCCGTGCAGGGCATTCAGGTCCACATCCCTGCCCGCCAAACGTAACACGGGTTTGACACAAACACCCTGGATCCGAGTGGCAAGGTGCATGGGCTGGCGGTCCGGGTCTCGTAAATCATCGACATCCCTTGTCTTGCGGCTGCGGTTTTGCGTCCTTTGTTTATTCGAGGGTTTCTTGCTCTGTGATATGATACTCGAATCAAAGGCCGCCTTGATCTCATCCATGGATTTCCTGTGATAAACGGAAGTCATCGACTCTGGCTCGAACTTCCTCTGTATCAGCAGGCGTAGAAATCCATTACGTCCTGCGTTCATGACGATGTCGCACAGGAAGTAAGTGCCACTGTCGTATAAAAGAGGAATGATGGGGGAGTCTTCATTATCGGGATCTTCCAGCGCATGGCGGGCACAACTCTCGAGTAAGCTCTCCCATCCAAATCCCTCAGCGGGACGGGTGAAGCAAGCATTGAGTATGTAAATGCATATCGCCGCCAAGCCCAATACAGGTTCCAGAGTACGCGCTTTGGCATCAGCTTCGGCCAAGTTCCTGAGCACTATATGTACTGCGGCCAGGCGATAATATATGAAGAGCCTAGGACAAAGTATGAGCTCGGTGTATAGAATGACATGCAGGTGCGTTCTCACCACCAAACTCGTCTTTTAATTACAACCACGGCGCGCTTAATCAGTTCTTCAGGGAGAGTAGACAAAGCATGAATGGCCTTATCCAGCGGGACTCGAATCTCCAAGCGCGCGCAGCCATCACGACCATCCACACCTTTCTCTTCCCCAGCGCATTCGAAGTATATTTGGCTTATCGAATCCAAGTCAGCTAGGACCTTCCGTTCCTTCTTCTTTTCTAAAAGCTCCTCAGGTTTTCTTCGGCGAAACACCCCTGGTATTAATTGGTAAGAGGCGTTCTTCTCAGTGCAGTATGCCTGAACATAGGAAACGTCGTCTGCAAGATCTGTCGTGGTGGCACGGAAGCCGGCAAGTTCCTTCATCTGCAAGGTGCGGTCAAGATGGAATTTGTCTTTCCTTGTCGTGAGGCTAGAAATCTTTTCCAGGGGTGCGGCTGGCATGAGGTGGCTCAGGAGCTCCTCGTGACAAGACTCGCGCCAGGTGACAACATGCCCCTCTGCCCCGATGGTCAGAGCGACGTCAACGAGCCAGTCGCGAGGATCCAAAGCGTCAATATTTACATGCTCGAACATGTCTTGGAAAGCGAAGTGTCTTTCAACATCATCCTCCCCATTATGCATAGTGCTTCCTTTTGTTCCTCTCAACTCGTGGACGAAATAGGCGTCCTTAAAAGTACTCTTCTGCTCCCCAAGTTTAGCAAGGAATATTTCAGCAACTCGTTCCAATCTGTCCGGAGGGATATCAAGGCTGCCGAATGCGAGCCCCCCACTGCAAGTCTTGGAGTGTGTGAACGCAGCGGCATAGGAAGTTGGTAAGCGGTCTCGAAACTCTGGCACGACCTCTATCAGTGTAGGACGGAGGCAACGATCGTAAATGAGGGCTAAATCCTCTTGAGATACGTGGACGTCGTCGTTAAGCTGGGCTGCGCTGTAGAGGCGAGGAAAAAATATTCTGACAACATGCCTTTGCTGGACTTTGCCCAACGGCACGTTGGGAATTTTATGCATGGGGACAAAGGTACTTGTGTCGGCGTCCTGGTCTCTTGGTCAGCATGCGCAGCCAACAATCGACAGTGAATTGTCTCACCTCAGACTCGTATGCGATACCCCTTGCATGATTGTCTTTTTGGAGTGTCTCTTTGAAAGGTGGAATAGGCCATACTCCCAGAGCACTAGTATAAGGCAATGTACGAGACACTCCGATTGCAGAGTCAAGGTCCCGAGTGATCCTCGTTGGAGGCAAAGGGGGAAGACCCTGAAGACAGTTTAAAGTGACACACTGGTCGGTTTCCTCGTCTGCAGTCGGGCCAACCCTGCCAGCTAACACGAAACGAACAAATGCGAGCTCTGACGAAGGATCTTGCCCCGCCGCATAAAGGTGTTGAGAATGACCGACGAATCGTTCCATTGTCAGCTGGGTAAGATTGTTGATCTCGTTGGGGTATTGCATGGCTTGCTGGTGAATACTTCGGATGGGAAACAGAGGGGGGATGAGGTGGCGCAATGAGACTTGAAGCTTGAACTTCCAGTGCGATCTGGGTTCTGACCCCTGCGTTTGCTTTGAATGGTGTTAACCGCTTGGTGACTGTCATGGGTACCACAAGCGGTAAACGTCAACTCCGTCAGCTTCGACGCACTAAGCTGCTCATACATTAGGGTCCGGAACGCAAGTTACTTGCTTGCCGAGGTCTCCGCCATTTCGTAAGAAGCGCGAGAACAACTTTAACAGAGCGCTCCCGCATCTGCATAGCCTCTTGTCCCTCACAGCTCAGTGGATGTGTTATGCAAGTGCCACCTCAGTTTGCAGCAAACAAAGCAATCCGTATTTATTACACCTGCCTGCCTCAGTCGTTAATCCTTCATACACTTTATGTATGTCACAGCTCGTATATATTTACATAAGGGGGTTCGCTCCGTGCTTATATATATTAGAAAGTATATTACTAACTCCGCCCGATAGCCTAGCTTAGCGCGGTCCACAACTGCATCACATCCAGATCTCGCTTCAACATGGTAAGTAATACATATCTTAGCGCATATTATTTACCAACAACAGGACTTTATTTTCTAATTCGCTTCTGATCTAGTAAGCTTGGCCAGATCCCCATCTCTCGTTGGAGGACTGGCTTGCATACAAGCTCCGAATATTACATAATGTAGGTGTAGGCTATTCGGTTATTCAGTTATTCATACCATACTTATTCTCCCTACTTCGTACACTAGCCACCACGTCTTATGCATCAACATCAACAACATTATCCAAATGGAGTACATATGTAATCAGTTTACCATGGTAATACGTGGGCGTCCGGGACGGCCTCTGTGCATGGCATGGGTCAGATCTCAGATCTCGGATCTCGGTCCAAAGTCACCGAGCCAATTTGTGTAGGCTTCTAGCCGATTGAACACCCACCGAAAGGACCGCTTGACGAGCACTCAACAAATCTTGTGAACTCAAGATCTGACATCTTGCTTATGCGTGCAATAGCCAATGTCTTCTGGTTCGGAACTCCACCGCAAAACATGAGTATGACTTACGTGAAAGGCGAGTTACTTTAAATTCCTCCTGCCCATATTGAATTCTCCTAGCAGCTCATTAGTATTCTAATGTCAGTGAGTGGCCAGGTCCCCCACCAATGTTTCATCGCCAAACTTCCGGCGGAAACTCTATCCAAAATATTCATGCTAGTCGTACATGGCTCCCTCAAACGACGTGAAACATACGAGATTGCCCCTCAAAGTGCCACGATGCCGGATTCACTAGCATTAGTGAACCGGCACTGGAGGAGAGCGGCCCTCTCTCACACCAGCCTATGGTCGACGCTCACCGTTGATCTCTACAAAATGGTCTCCAATAAATCCGGAGTCGGCTGGACATGGTTGGCCACCATGATCAGACGGTCAGGAAGATCCTCGGTAGATATCACGATCAAAGCTCAACAAGGAGCAGCGTCTGGTTGTGAAGGACGGAGGTAAGTTGCGTATCGTTGTAGCCTACACCTGTCTAAACATGTCTGCCTTTAGGAGGAGGTGTCGGGATTTCACTCCAACGATGTGCCGTTACGCCGACTGCATGCCCGCTGTTTTCAACCTGTTGTTCCCGGAGATGTACAGATGGCGTTCCCTGGATATAGTCAGCGATACTTGGATGCCACTTTGTAGTGCCCTTTATCTTCTCAATGACCGCAGGACAGAGGGCTCTGGAGCTCATCGCCTCGAGTCTATAAAACTCGTAAGAACCAACGACACCCTTTCTTTCTTCTGGAATTTCTGTCCGAGGTTCATTCAGACAGTCGAGGGGACCCCATTCGCCGCTCTTATGGTTAGTTAGGGTTAGTTAGTTAGGGTTAGTTAGGGTTAGTTAGGGTTAGTTAGGGTTAGTTAGGGTTAGTTAGGGTTAGTTAGGGTTAGTTAGGGTTAGTTAGGGTTAGTTAGGGTTAGTTAGGGTTAGTTAGGGTTAGTTAGGGTTAGT